CTTAAGCTATATCTTATTAATAGAGCCTAACCTACCTATAGTACCTATCTATAGTAATAGATCTAACTCTTCCTAAAGCGTTCCCTATTTACCTACCTACCGAGCCCTAACTGTAATAAGCAGTAGCTTTTACTATATTAATATCCCTCTCTAGTCTTTAATTATACTAAGTATATCTTTTACCTATTATACTATATCTCTTTTAGTAGCTACTTTAATACCCTTATAGTGTTTTTTTAAATATAGCTTAACCTCCTTAGTAATATATATATAATAGTATATAGTATAAATTATAAATAGAAACTTAGCTAATTTAATAAATAGTAATATCTTAGCTAGGTTTTTCTTAGTTTCTTATAATATAAATAAATAGTTATTTTTTTAGCTATTTACTTATCTATTCTATACCCTAATTAAACTTACTTTTTTTATTACTATAATATAAAACCTTAAACCTTACTTACCTCTTTGTAGTCTTTAATCCTAGGTTTATTATAATAACTAACAGTTCTACTAGATATAATAACTAACCTAACCTACTAAATCCTAGTCTCTGTAAACTTTAATTAATTACTTAATTTAAACTTTAAGTTAGTTACAATACTGAAGTTATGTAACTTACATAGGTCCTTTGTTGCACCCTATCTTTAGCCTTTATGCCCTTACCATCTTTTCCTTATGCATCTCCAGTCCTTAACGAAACAACCGTCTTACCGAGAGTCAAGATAACATCCCTTTTTACCACATTAGAGCTAGCTCTGTGTTAAATCTTGGGCCAGCTTGGGGTTAGCTGCTAGCTTGGGGTCGGATTGGTTTTTTAGCTTGTGGTTTTGGCGGAATGATCCGTGCCTCTGGTCTCTTGGACCTATCAGGACGCCGCAGGAGGAATTCCCCGCTCCGCACGCCATTGTGTTTCCGCTAGAACCACACGGGGACTGGAGTACTAGGGGCTTTACAGGCAGCTAGGCTCTCAGCTATCCTAGATCGCAATGACCAGCCTTGCATCCCTCGCATAGGTCCCTTTCATGTTCACCAGTAAAGTCTCCTGAGTAATGAGGCGGGTCCAGCTTTATTCCGCTCCATTTCTTGATGCGATATGCTACCCGATCCGCGTATGATTTCTCATCTAGGAAGGGTCGACTGGTGCTATTACATGCTTTGCAATGCTGGTTGTAGACTCTGGCATTGTATCGCTCGTTGTCGTACATTCGAATCGTAATAGCAATCTTCTTGCTCGACCAACCATTGGTTGCACATTTGCGGTTATTACAAACGAACTTGCCCATCACGTTTGTGTCGTATGATTTGATGCATGTGCTGTCATCGTCGACATTGTGAAATTTGAAGCGGAGGTTGTCCTTAGAGAGCAGGGGCGATACTTTTCTATGCAACTGAGGGTACATAGACCACCTCCAGGAATTGATACGCGGCATGATACAATAGTAGATGAACAGCAAGGGAAGATTAAGGGAGCATAAACAGACGTGAAGACGGGTATGTCAGCTTCAAACATAAGCGGATTAATGCCTTCACGTTGCGATTGTTGAAGCCCACGATGATGCGGGAGGCCCACCAACGCCACTCTTCCTGCCAAACACCGATAAGCAGCTAAAACCTCGATGCCTGACCAAGAACTGCTTTTCATTCCGAAATTATGAGCTTAAGCTGAAAGTGATCAACTTGTACATCCTCTGCGCTGATTTGAGCGATTCTACTAATATAGGAATGGGAGGGGAAAGCTCTTAATCGATAGATATTTTAATAAAATACTATATTACTGTATTTATGTGCTATGGTGAATATGATACCGCTCTCTCCCCCTGCATTTAGCTAGGACTAGCATCAACCCTACAAAGCCAACGATACGACTAACGTCATAGCCAACAGTACAGCCACATTCTATCAGTGTCGCATGTCCCTCGCCTTTTCCGAGTGACCCCTGCATGACGTGGTCACCATTTATCGATACGATAGCGCCAACAGGCCCAAGGTCCCCGAGGGAGTCGAGAGCACTGATCAGGGTATATCCATGGCAATGGTGTCAGGGACGACCGGGGGTATGTTAGCACCCACCATCAATTTAACCGCATACACTAAAGGAGTCCACACATTGCAAGGACGGCAACATTTGAACCTTGTTCTCCGTTCACATCACCGATGTACCCAAGCTTGCCGTCTCCCACAGAAGCGAATGTGACTGGGCTCTCTCCAGGAGCCCTAGCGTTTGTTGGAAGGAAAACAGACGACTCAATAACCGACTCTTCATCTGTTATATACCAGGCTTCATCGAGCGCAACGTTTTTGACAAATTGAGCCTTTTGACTGTATCGTGGAAGCAGCTTTGCAGCTAAACCACTCTCCACCGCCGCGTGATTTAGCACGACTGTCGTTCTGTGGTATGCGCCAACCTCCCAGCTTAGGCCGGCTTGAGCGAAGAGTGGTTTAATACTCAGTGGCTTAACAAAAGACGAAAAATTGCCCATAACCACTGCCCTTCCGCCCTTGCGGACATATCGAAGGACTGCCCTCCAAATATGGTAGTTTCGATTGTCACTGAGTGACTCATCGGTTATAAGAACAGCTGTCGGGCTTGGCTGCTCTGAAAGTAGACGTGCTGCCGAATCTGCGTCCTTGGCTTGCAAAAAATCCGCCTTTGACTGAATTTCGGTGAGGAGTGGTTTATAGAGTTGATCAAAGTATGGCTGGTGGTTGAGGGAGATGGAGAGGAGGTGTGGTTTTCTTGCTGCGGCTGTCATGGTGTGTGATTGTGGACGACACCTCGTAAATCTCGTGTATCTTAGTGCAGACGAAATTTAAATGAAAGCAGTCCGACATAGGGCTTGGAAACGAGCAAGCACGATTGGCACAGCGGACTGCGACAGCGGTTTAAGAAGTTGAAGATGTACTTTCCAAAGATCCTTCACAAAGACTTGTCGGTGGAGAGTGGAATTGGGGGACAGCGTCTTTTCAGGTATGAAGGGCTACATTTTATTGATTTGTAGAAGTGGCCCGGTTTACAAGGCGTGAGTAACTACCCTGCGGGAGGCCTACCAAAGCCTGATCCTGTCAAGTTTGATGCATGTGACTGAAGGGGCCTCAAATCCATTCCTACAATACTTGACGCCTGAATGCCTTAGGCATTAGCATCGAAAAGGCTACTTTTCTCTTTACCGATGTTTAGCCCGGGATTTCCTTTCTAATGCTCATTCCTCCACATAAACTTGAGCGGCTCCAGAGCAACCCTATCAGTCGCGGTCGGAAGTCGCCGGCCTCAGCCTCAGCCTCAGCAACGTGACTATCCGCACTCCCATGAGCAAAGATACGCCACGAGCTAAGTGTCCCGTCTTTCATCTTGACTCCATCTCCTTACCACCGCACCCCTTCCTAGATCTGCCAAAGCATAGCATAATTAAGACGACGACCTCTATGAACCAGCGAAATCGCACCGATAGCCCTTCGCCCCACTAGCCGAGACGATTTTCCCGTGTCGATCTTCCCGTGACAATTATCTATACGTTCAAGGTGGAATATGATGCTATCTCTCTAGTTGACTGTGCCGAAACACGCAGTAGCATTAAACGATGACATTTATCAGCGCCTACTTCCCCATAAGCCTAGCAGCATATTATAAATTTATTACTCTTGGAACTCGTGAAATTGAACGCGCTGGCGTGGTAGCGATCTCGTTCCTCACTTTGCCGTTGATGCCCCTCAAACCCGCCCTCAATATCGAACACTGGACCCTGTACGTGTCGCTCACCACGAATGGGACGGCCGATGCGACTTGCTGCTGCCGTTTTGCGAGGAGCAAAATGAGCTGACGGAGGCCGTGGCTACTCTAGGCCCCAACGAGGCGAGCAGGACGGTTGACTTTGCCCATCTCGCAATCAATAAGGCAATCACACAGCGGCATGTAGTCGGTATCGGCGTCGATAATCCTGGCGCGGCAAACTCTATTCCGCACCGCGGCTTGAAGAGCCCGAATCGGTTTGCCTCCCTGGCTCGAACGTTCATGGGGCATTTCCACAGCCATCAAACCATCACCCAGGAACAATCCGACAGCAGCAAGGTCGATTTACAAGGGAGCGTCATATACCTGGGCTCGTCCTTGCAGCTAAACCGGGCCGACTTCTACGACGAGCAGCGGGGCGTCGCTTTGTTCGATCTAGAGACACTCGAGGACGAACTACTTATCAACCCGCATGCTGTCGGCTATATAACAGCTGACCTGCAGCAATTTCTTAGCGGTCAGGTTGACGAGCGCGCCGTGACCGACAAGCATGTCATGCTCATCGCCAAGCTTACCCATCTCAAGTATGTCACAGCTCGTGACAAGCTTCTCTCGCTGGGCGTGCGGAGCGTGCGGAGTTGGACTCCTATGGGCCTTGCTTTGCACGCCGACCGATCTTCATCCAGTGGTCTCGGCGCGTCGGTGCCGCTGTCCAGCTCTTGGAGGAGCCCACCAGTGATGAGGCCGATCTGGCTGTAACCACGGACAGTGTTTCGGGCTCTGACACTGGCTCCAAACCCCGGTCTGAAAAGCTCGATCCCGCCGCAGAAGCTCGCGAATATGCTGAGTCGCTAGATCTGGACAAGTCTCTTCTCTTGCGACGGCATGAGTTGGTGCGGGTTGGCAAACGCATGATCCAAGTCTCCTGCGAGATTACTGACTAGGATGGCGAGAACAAGGTTAACTACCGAGATTTTCTGGATGGATCATCTCAAGTAGTTGGAACAAGAACCGCCACTGAGCTGGTAGGCCCTCTACCCACGTCTTCGTCGCCGAGCCTCGCATGCTTACATAGAATAGGGCTATACATCTAGTTGACTCGGTCTCCCCATTGATTCGTGGTATGATCTACTTTCTTCCAGCGATTGAATCCTATTCAGGACTTGCCCCACCAATATCGAAACATTATCAATTTGTTGCGAAGTCTCCTTGCGTACAATATCTAACGTTTCTTTAATAGAAGCATTGGTGTCTGAGGGTAGCCTAAGGATTTATAAGCTAGAACGATGGAAGGTAAACTAAGTAGGTGAAACGTACTGATCGTAGATATCTGAGAGGCCTTCTCTTAAGTCACTTAAGGACTGATCTAAGTCTTTCAGGAGCTGCGTAATCATTTCTTTGCAGAGAATGAATATTACCCGGTCGCGGAAGCGGAAGCCGCTTGCACACTGCCTCCCAAGAGGCTTTCTTCCCAGTGCTGCGGCATCTTGCGCCTTACTCAATAAGACCTATAGACGATAGCTGGCAGACGGGTTTTCAACCGTAGCTTGAATCACTTCATGTCGATTGCGGATATATTCGAGACTTTCCAACCGTGTGTTTAGCATTCGGTATTTTTCTGTAATGTCTTTACTAGATTCTCGGAACAAGCGAATGTAGACCCAAGTAAAACTTGATATTGCCGTGGCCAAGGTTAAAATTCCAGCAATACTGCCAGTGATTGAAAGTAGGCTATCGGAGCGGTCGCTACAGACGCAGGCAGGACAAGCGGTCTCGATTGGCAAGGTCATGCTGTCGATGTAGGCACCTAGCCTTTGAATAGAATATGAACTCGTGCAAGTTATGTATCAATAAAGAGTGAGGTCCACGCAAATTGCCACAGTGGGCTGGCTTACGGCCATGCTGCTTTAAAGGCGACATGGCAGTCCCGAAGTGCCAGCCTCATTTTGGAGTCAGCCCAATCAGTGGATGTTTAGCCAGTCGGTTTAATCCAGTCCTTAGTCGCAAAATGATGATAATAAGCAGTGTGCATTCAGTTGGATCTCCCCTGGTTTTTATTGGAAAGAACATCATACCCTCCAGTAAGCCATTAGTATTGAAGAACCATCGTTTTGCATTGACTTGCGGTCCGAACTATTGTACCGTCCTAACATCTGTGCTGTGGTATTATGTGATATCATAAGAACTGGTATAGTACGCAATGCATTATCTCATAACCTGGGTTGGCATATTGCGAGGTCCGAAAACTGAGGCCTGTTGTGTTGCAGCCGGATTGACGGTCACTTCCGTGGCCCAAAGAGTCTCGTGTTAGATGCGACATATTGAAACCTCATATTTGGATAAGCAAGCGCTTGAAGTTTAGCTGCTCAATAGCATAGCTCTCGAAACAGCACCCATGACTTGGAGGGCGCAAGAGGTGCATCCAGACGCGCCGTAAAGTGAGCCTGTATCCCTCCCTGTGCAAAGACAGGCAGGTCTTGGCTACGCGCGTGCGGGGCAATTCGACTACTACAAACAGGGGAGAAAAAAGAGCCAAGGTCCAGGGGACCAAAACAGGTCTCCTGTGGATAAATTTGTCATGTCCTTGTGACGCCATCCACTAAAGTCATGCCGTCAAATTTAGCGCAGCGCTTCCTGAGCTAACCTAGTCCATTGGCCTGTATACAGATCAGACACCAACCCAGTGAGTCGGCTTCTCTGTCCCAGTTCATGTGCTCTGTCTGGCACGTGCGCCTTTGATCTAAATGTAAGCCTAGTTCGAGGCTGCGCGAGGCAAAATTGGAACCCGAATGAGTGGCTGGCCCAAGTCGTCGAATAATCATCGTCTCGGAAACTTCGCTAATAAAGTCCGCTCGAGAAAGACGATGAATCCCAATGTAGGAAGGCTCGATGGTGTGGATTTTCCGAGAGTTTCGAGCAAACGCCTTTGGCTAATTTTCGCTGGCATAGTCTGCTCCAGGTTTTCGAATAATCCTATCTGGCGAATGATTGCCAACAGGGTCTGTTCTAAATTTTCGTATAATCCTTCTGAAGGAAATTTCACTAAAGAAGTTTATACGAGAATATCGACGAAACCCGGCTTAAGGAATTTCGCTACCAGAACTGGCACTGGCTAAGCAACAAGACGGTGCTCTGCAATAAGATATCTTAAGGCAAAATGAGCTAGGGACGCAAGTTGAAGGCGGCCATAAGCACCGGCACGACGAGATTACAAAGGTAACCAGTCAGAAAAGGCGACATACTCGCCAGGCGGCCAGGTTTCGGAGCGGCATATGCGGGAAAACCTGGTAGAATGCGACGTGTCAGCCATGCGAAACCACATCGAATCACGTCGAGCCACGACCCAGATTCATGCACCGCCCCAGGCATCACTTTGTAAATCACAAATAAGAGTCCTCCCATCTTCATTATCATGACAAAACGCTATACAAAAGGGGCCGACTTCCAAACTAGTACTTTACTGCTTTTTGCTCTTATTCGAAATGCCTTCTACGATCTATATGCAAGATTTCGAACGCCGGGTCGACCCACAGGAGTCCAAAGACATCCCCGACTTGCGAGAACGTGCAGGCCAAGGCTGTTTCCTCTGCTTAGAGAGCTGCAAACAAGGGCAGTACGCTATTCTTGTACCATGCCGAAGACCGACGAAGGCCAGCCGCATTATCGGATGTACTAGGAACTGGGACTGCACTGGCGATCCGAAACCAATATACGAGGAGACTATGCCTTGGGACAGTGCTTGCGAATCTGATGAAGAAATCTACCAGAGATTAATTGATACATGTTATCAGCATCTGGGTTGGTGGAAAAGATGGCTGCCTTACTTCGGGATTACCAAAGTGCTGGAGGTAAACGTAAGCTTCAACACATCTTGTTAGAGCTGAGATTTGACGATATTAAAAACATAGTTTCAATTTGCTGGTTTTGCCGAGCCAGATGGTCGTTACCCTATTCGCATGAACACAATCGACCTCAAGACTGTCTCAGAAGAATGTGAAAGGATAATAGCAAGGCATCCGACTGATTCGTACTTCGATCTCGACGATGCATGCTTAGACGACACTCAGCATAGTGAACAATGCACGATTGGTATGCAGGAATGGTCCCGGCCTTGTATCAGGGTCGAAGCAGAGGAAGCAGAGCAGCGTCGTAAGCGGCTTCTGTTCCTGTCTCATCTAAAGGAGTGTGCCCGAAACCCAGCAAGAGCCAATGGACTGTATACTCTAGAAGGCTTAGCGCAAGAGAGCTGCATCTACGACATCAGGTATGTACAGCGTCTTATTTCATCTTTTACCCTCTCGAAAAATCATATTCTAAATCATATTCTGACTTCCTTAGGGGTTCGAGCCAAGGTGTATTGCCTCTTCCATATCAAAAGTTCCAGGGAACAGCCTGGATGAGAGGCATACACTTCATTTTAGGGTGGCAGACCGACCGAATGCATATAGAATTGCCGTTCAGAGTCTCATGTGCTTGGTTTGGAATTTCTTCCATTTGGTTCAGCCTAGTACTCTGGGGGGGCGTGGGGGGAGACTGGGGGACTGCTTTTGCATTCGCGCAAGTTGTTGCAGCATCCGTTGCGATCATCGTTACATATGTCCGATCGTAGATGGTTTTAAAGTAGCTGCTGGCCACAGACCAAGCCTGCGAAGAGGATGAAGTAGTTTTTAATGACCTTGATTGAGGGTTACTGATACCATAAGCCTTATGCGCTACAAAGGAAGCACTCAAAGCTGCTTACTGTATTGATCACCTCGGTCACGCCTCTGCTACTACTAAAGAAAAAGCTTACTCTCTTGCTCCATAATCTATTCTTATTATCCCCTCCTACCCTGCAAGGCGTAAATAGAGCTGATCCGCTATGTTGTTAATCATAGTGGTTGAACATTGGCATGTGATATGGTAAGCGTGATTAAGCTGACTAGTGAAGTGCGCGACTCTATAGTAGGAAAGGTAACGCTCGATTAAGAGCCCAATCTTTGCAATATTACATGATATGTTACGATAATAATATTAGTTTAAACTGATTAAGACTTGGCTTGGAATACTAATTCGAGCTCTAAAAGAGAGATTACAATTTGGTTTGGCCGAAAGATGTGTTGGTGGCCTTGAATCCCAAGTCAAATTTGCCTAACGGGGGCTCGAATTTGGTTGTCAAAGTCTCGATCTGGCGATTGTGGGGCGATAAGGATGGGAATTTGTGATGGTTGGTGATGTTAATTCTTGCTTAGTCATTATCTGTTCGCCAAAATATCGGAGGATAACCAAAATGAAGTGGAGACATTCAAAGCGATTATCCAATGAGACGAGGCAGCTTGAATATCGTGGATACGCGTTGGCCCTAGCAATATGAAAAACAAACAACAAACAGAACGATTTCAATTTATTAGCAAGTATCGACCACCAACCTCGTAGCTTCATACTGCAGCTACATATCGAAGAGAAGACCATTGTGTCAGAGAGTAATGCATCAGAATCTATCCAGCGTTGTCTCAAACCCCGCCGCCAGCTATTCGCTACCACGCGGCAGCAGAAGAACATTTTCTTTTATCATCCTGGCTACCAAGACGGCCACAACCTCCTCCTGAATCTGCCAGCATTAGATGCAGGAGGAATCCACCATGAGACTGCACGAATCGCTTGTGCTATCCTCGCCGCCTGTAGATTCGATGGTTATTTCTCGATAAGTAAAAATGGGCCTAAATTTCCAGACAGGCCGGATGATATCCTTCAAAACACGAAATATTATTTCTGTATCGAAGACGGTAAGTTAGCCTTGGAATCTATGTGCTGTTTGTACGAGGTTTTGCTGATCAATATTGATAATAGAAATCAACTATTCGATTGTACCATCATTCGATAACTTCCAATGTCCCGACGAGCTTCCTGAGTCATGGTTGGATGTTGTCGCTCCAATCGAACCAGGAGTCTATAGAGATGCCCGCGAGCGCGACAACGGATGCTGTATAACAGGCTCATTTCTACTTACCGAGCTAGCCCATATCATTCCACAAGCGCAGAGCGAGTGGTGGTAGAAGAACCTTATGTATACTCACGTCGCCAACCCCGATGAGAGTTTTGATGCAAAATGCCCGGACAACACAATTCTCCTTCGATGCGACATGCATAAGATGTGGGACGACAATCGATTTGCTATCCTGCCAAAAGCTGGCGCATGGTATGCCCATGTGCTTCTCAACAGCACTACTACAGAGTTAGAGCAGGAGTATCACAATCTCCAACTGCAACCCCTGCGAGGTGTGCCACGGTATTTCTTCTTCTGTCGCTTCGCTCTTGCCATTTTGGCCAAGAGTGCGTTCCTCAGGCAGCGTACACGGCGCAAGCTGGTTATCCTCGATCGTTCAGGCTCGTCGAAAGTGCGCGAAATGTCGGTAGACGAGTATAAGGAACTTATCAATCTTGCTGCCCGCGGGACAAGCAGAGGCACCAGCCCAACAAAACGACAAAGGCGTGATCAATCAGAAAGCATTCCGCGAGACAATACAATTTCCCATGTCAACGTTTCAGTCGAGGACGAACTCGGGGACGATGCGGAAGAAGAATTTACAAGAGGACGCCCTCGGAAACGGGCCGGTTCGCCTATACTGCCTGATGATGTCGATATGGATCGGAAACTTACTCCTAGCAGTCTACAATCGAAGCGGCAACGACTTGTCGGTACTCTTGTACCGCCTCACACCCCACCTCAATCCATCAGCCCAACTAGAACCTGATGGAACTCTAAAAGTCAGAGCGCAAGATATAACGAAGATGGTGACAGCAAGGAAAGCAACAAGTGCTCACGTGACCATCGTCAGTGATCTTACAACATGTAGGTTTGGCTAGTGTTACTGCTTGCCAGCCTCCAAGATGCGACTTGGCTTTTGTCTGATATCTGGAACGGCCTCACATATTCTCATCATCACTTTAGTCGCTGCCAGTACCATATCTATTACTTCCATTTTCATCACTCGGATCATCGAGGGGTCTCTTCCGGCGCTCCGAGACCAACACATAAGTCCATCTTATCCCATTCATTTGCTTGAAGATCGTCCCAGAATGGCAGTAAAATCTATAAATAGTATAGAAATAAGACCAAAGCTTCCCTAGTAGTTAATAACAATAAGAATCCTAGAGGGGCAAGAGTGATTGGTTCAACGACTAAGGGGGCGTCGATACTTTGACCGAGGATAGGCTTGTAGCAGGCCCAAGTGACCAAGTCAAGCTCAGGCATCTCGGCACCAACAAGAATGCTTCCAACAGTCCACCCGATTGGGTCCCAAGTGCTTGTGGTGGCGATAGACCATGCGATAATGGCTGAAGAAGCACCTGTAACCGGGCCAGCACAGGCTGAAATTGCCTTCGTCGTGGCGGTCGGTGCTCTAGCTGCTTCCATGCATCTTCGAAGTTTGACATATTCCCTCAACCCTTTTAGGACCTGTTCGCTAACTTTTACACTCCAAACATCTCCAGCAATGGGCGCAGTGAGAGGAGCGGCAGTACCACCAAAGCTAACAGGAAGAGAAGATACAGGCGCCACAGTGGTAGTTTGGCACTTGTAGAGTGTTCAATGTTGAAGTTTCATAAGTCGAGGTCTCAAGAGTTTTTATTTTCACCATCTCAGTAATATGTATCAATTCAGATTGCACAGGGATGATACCCAAAGTCGCGTTTATGCTTGATGACATAAAATCTTAGTGGCTTGGAATGCTACTTCAACCCCTTCTGGAAGAGATTATAATTCAATCTGGCCGAAAAAGGCGCTGATGCTTTTGAACTCCAAATCGAATCTGCGTAGTGGATTTGTGACAAGTTGGACAAGCCACCGATGGACAGCTTTTCCTCCCTTCTGGGTGAATAGTCGGCCTCAAATGGATCCAAATGGGCGCCTAACCTGGAGACGATGCCGGCAGCACTTAAACTCTGCGATGGTGACGGGAAGACTGAGTTGCGAAAGAAGATAAAAACATAACAAACTCAAACATTAACATCATAGTCACTGACTAGCATCAAACAGCTTCAAGTTGACAGACCATGCTCCAGTTGCTGAAAATAGGATGCTGAACATTTTCAGAAGTTGGCCTCTGAGCAGAGTTGAACGAAACTTGAAGGGAAAAAGGTTCGAGAGGAAAGGTGGGGCCTTCCTTTGTGTAGACCAGATCAACGCGGAGGAATCGTAAATAGCTTAGCGTACCCATTGGCCTTGCGGACTTCCTTTTCTTGAGCGTATCGAACTTTACAACTGGGGCTAAGCTCAACTGATGCAAAATCACAAATCCATCTCACTTATCATCACAATAATCTTTTTGTTCTTCCTTCATATGTCATAGTTTTTCTTTGCCCTTTCATCGCACGACTCATTGCTTGTATCCGCAAGCCCCTCCTTCTCTTCACTCTTGACGCGTGCATACCTGACCGCATCAAAACGCCACAATGGGCAATCGCAAGAGATCGCAATCTGTCGTGGAGGAGAACCGCGCTTATTGTCCTTTTACGATTTCTTACACGACATGTCCTTCGCGCGCCGATCAGAAACGTCATAAGAACAAGAAGCAGACGTGCGAACGCCAGGATGACGATAAACGACTTCAATTTCAAATCTCTCCCTTCTCCCCAACCGGCAGCTTCAAGACCCACAACACCATGGATCTACATTACATGGTTGAACCCGGGAAACAATGGCAAGACATCACGCGCTACAACAGCTTCGTCTGTGAGTATCCGATGAAATCTCGCTTTCTTCGGTATGACTGATTTTTGACAGTCAACAACGTCAAGTACTACAGTGAAGGGTTTGTTCAGGTTGCCAACGAGTTGATAAGTGAGCACCAAAAGCCTCACCCGTGATGGCAATTTTGAGAAGAACAACGTGGAGTGGGTCGCGCGCATCCTCGAAATTCGTGCTTCCGATGAGTATCACGTTTACGCCCGCGTCTACTGGATGTACTGGCCCTATGAGCTGCCTCGCGGAACCCATGACGGTAAGAAGACTGTGCAAGGTCGCCAGTGGTACCATGGCGCTAAGGAACTGATCGCCTCCAACCACAGTATGTTCTAGCATACTGACCAATGTCATACTGTGCTGTAGCGCTTCTAACCAACTTTTCCAGTGGATATCATCAATGTTGTCAGCGTTACAGGATCTGTCACCGTCAATCAATGGATCGAGTCCGATGGCGAGGAAATTACAGACGAGCTTTGCTGGCGTCAAGCATACGACTGCCGTGCCTCGGAGCTTTCCGTATGTTGCATAGTACCTCCTCAACCTGACCCTATTAAGCGCTAATATGTATATAGTCGGTAGAACTCATATGCAAATGCCAAACTCCCGCCAATCCCAATAAGACCCTCATAGGATGCACGAGCTCGAGTTGCGGGAAATGGATGCATCAGGAATGTATGGTCCACGACATTCTCATGCAAGTATACGAACGACTAGGAACCGATAAACCTCATCGAACCAAGGGATTGATGGTGGAGAAAAAGAAGCTCGAGGAGGGAACGGATTCTCTACCGTCCGTCGATGTCGAAGAGCAGAAGACACAGTCTACAGTCAATGTCCGGGATGGGACAACTCAAGTCAATACCCAGGTCAAAAATGCTGTTCCTGAAACGCCTCGTGAGACAGAAACCCCAGCAGCTGGGCCAAAGCCCTCGAGGTCTATCACCACCGCATCGGTTGAGGGATTACCTAAGACAGGCCGCAAGAAGAAGATCACAGACTCCAAGCCATACCGAGGACTCTTTGAGGCCAAACTCAAAATCCAAGGCCGGCCCACAGCGTGGGAGATCTGCGACCTGCGTGAAAACATAACAGGTGGTAACAGGACTTGGACTGAGAAGGTTTCGTGTTTGGAATGCGGCGTTAATGTCGACTAACTACTTAAGAGACGGACTATGTGAATATAACGGGCTTGCTTATATGAGTAGGCTTATCGAAATTCGGTAGCGGAATGAGACCGAGTTTCGATGGTGCATGGATCTGATATCTTGACAGGGATGATGATGTGGTTGTTATAATCGAGAGGCTGCAATCAGGATAATTGAATTGGTGAATTCGACACATAGCGTAGAGGGGCATGGTAGTTGGCTGCCTAAACCTTCGGCTTTAGGCATCAATGCAGAGCTTCGTCCTCCTTGCTTGCTGAGCTGTGATTACAAGAACCTAGTTCTGACTTGGATTATGATATAATACTAACTAGGAATTCTGGAAGCTTTGTAATACCCATTTACATTGAGCAGAAATTCTGGTCATAAATCTGTGCATTTTGGGCCTTGTATGTCTCCACCAGATGACGGGGGAAAGCCCATCTTGCTGCATCCTGAGTAGATGCAAAAGCCAACCCTTTTCGTGCATGATATTGACCGATGGTACTCACTGATTACAGGCGCCGTCGAACTGATATGTTTGGAAAAGGTCAGATACGTATATAAAACGATTTAAACGATCATTTTCATCCTACCTACCCATGGTACTATGATGGCTCAAACGCGGCGTCAAAGATCAGGCTATGCAAAGATATATTCTAATCGACCTCCAGATAGTTGTGATCGCCACAATCGGCTGCTCAAGGAATAATCTGATAAATAGCAGTATGAAATCTGGATCTCATATTGTAGTGACGAAACTCTTGATTATGCATTAAGTGGTCCTTAATGACAACGTGAGGGCACCTGACTCGAGCTGGTGATAATGCAGATGTGAGCTTCCCACAAGTCACTTAAGGAGCCAAACACCTGACATACGAAATCCTCACCAGTGGTTCAGCTATGGCGGTACGTTGCAGGTATTGAAGAACCACTTGAATAAATTTGCCGACGACCTGGCCGACAACTTCGTTCTCCCGTGTATGGCCTACTTTGAAGCGACGTCCGGGCCTATTACTAGCACCTCAAAAGTCTCAATCAGAAAGACACCACAACCTACACCAGCATCCCACTCAGCCGTCATGAAACCCCAACGCCAGGGCCATGTATTTTCTGGGACGCCAGAGCGCCTAGTCAGCCTCAGGGGCGCCTGCATCATACGCGACCCGAATCGTTGTGTTATTTCACGCAAGTTCGACAGGGCTAAAGCTCTAGAGCGCTTCCGCCAACATGGTGGTAATAAGGCTGTTGACCAAGACGACGTTCCCTTGTCCGATCCAGGGCAAAAGTTCGACTATCTGGAGGTCGCACACAATCTTCCACACTCCCTCACCCAGCTTAAGTCTTCAAAAGAGCTGGTAAGAACTCTGAAGCCCACAACCTTGCTCGCGCTGACTCTGCGATAGAACTCTTCAAAAGTAGCGGCACTGGCGATACTTACTATGTTTGACAGTGGTGTTGTCCATTTGATCGAGGGAATCGACATTGATCGTCCGTCTAATGCTCTAACGCTGACTCTAAGTCATCATGTGTCTTTTGGGGACTTTCGTGCCTATTTCGAGCCTGTCGGAGATACACCGCATACATATCATATAGGCACATTTCTACCGCCTGATCTTGCAGAAGATGTCCCAGTTACTCGAACTCTTTTCCCGACTGAGGACAAGAGCATTGATCCACCGTCATCTCGATTCCTTGCCGTTCATCGTGCTATCGCGCATATCCTGCACCTTTCTGCCGCGGGGGACTACAGTGATGACATACTGAGCGATGTTGGGGGAATTTGGCATTCGATCAGCTGGGTCTACTGATCTGTCTCGACTACTGAGACTGAGGCTTGGCGATTGGGTAGTTGGAGGTCCACGGATAAATGTGTGTGCCTGAGGCGCTCCAATGTTCAATGATGATTTTCGATCAAATGGGGGCGTAGAGATATCTGGGTGTTGGTAATGGGTTAAACCTGAAAGTACGCTTTTCTAGAAGCACTGCAATCCACAGTTAATGCAAAACCGTGATGTGGCTCTGCTACCCCACCTTACTGTCTTTCCTCTTCGCGTGTTGTCGGCGAAGCACTCTGCTCTTTTGAGGTATAAACAATCGTAGTATCCCAAAAGATCTTCTCCGAGGGAGATCGAAGCTCGCTCCGCTATCAGCACATCGTTCGCCGTGATCGCTACCATTGTGCGAAAATGCCTGCTTGTCGTGCGAAAATCAGCTTATCAAAACTATCGAGTTGGTTGATGATGGCATTTTGAATTTCGTTCGGCAGGGTACTGGGCAACCGAGATGATTGGGACGTGAACATCTTGCCTTTGCGGTGCACGATTTGCCTGCAGTGCTGAGGTAAAGGAAGAGGCCGAATTCGACAGTTTGCGACGCTGGTATTGTGCAGACATGCTTCCTTGGGTGGTAAAAGTCAGCAAAAACGAATGACCAATGGGGTTTTGGTCAAAGGCATCGACGAATGGTTTGATGAAGACTATATCGATCTCGTTGTAGTATTCGACCAGATGCTACAGTAACCTCGTAGAATGGCTGGCCTCATTCTTCAGATTAGCCATTCCGTCATGGTGGTTCGCTAAAATAGCTTACAGTGATTGGTAATATCTCATTAATGGATCACCAACAATTACAAACAATCTGCATACCTACTAACTTGACACACGAGAAGGCGGTATGTAGAAAGAATAACGTAGGGATGAATGGCACCACATGATTCAGGTTGCAAGTTCGAGACCATCGTAGCGATCGTCAAAATGATTGGGTTCTTGTTCGTGAGATGTAAATGACAATTGTGTGTAGTATGGTTTACCCACCTGTAGCGTCGCGCTCTGGCTACACTCCTGTTCCGATCAGCACTAATGTCAAATCGACTCTGCACGCCGGCAATAATCAACCCTGCTAGGTTTAAAGTGGGTCAATAAAATCAACTCTGGCAGAGTTGATTTGGGACTGTAGTACTAGGACCTTATGACTTAAGAAAATCGCCCTTTCTTTCGCCACCAAGTTACTTAAAGGTGGAAAGCTCAATATTTCTGGCGCTGTGACTCCAGCTAAGGATTAGCCAACTTCAACTTGTTACTTGAACTCAGAAACCATTCTCACGGGCACCACCTTCGCATCAACTTCAGGCACTGTAGGGCAGGATTTTGCCTCTTTTATGGTTATCCAATCAGCAACTACGTGGCGTATGCATATGAAAACGAATGTGATATCATAGCATGAAGTGAAACTTGCACCGGCCGGTGAGGTTTGGCTTGCGGTGAGTATGCGGGAGGCCGACCGTAAGACCTTTCGTGCGGGGGTATTCTCGAGTTGGCCTCGCACTCCTGTCTTGTCGGGTTGACTTCGTTCTTTCGTATCTCTTCTTCCAGATAAACTTTACCTAGTATTCTTTTTGCGTTTCAGACATCAAGATCGTGGCTCTCTTAAAATCGGTCATTGATTACAGTAACAGCCAAGTATACTTCCAACAAATATCCTTCACAATGCCCGAATCGGTCTGCCTGTGCCGTATCCAAGATATTCCAGGCAAGGGCCTTGGCCTTGTTGCAGCTGCAAGAATCCCAAAGGGGACACGCGTCCTTTCGGAAGCACCTTTATTAGAGCTGTCCCGAAATGTCAGGTCGATGGAGCATCTTCGTCTGGACCTGGCTGACAAGCTTGCCGCTTTATCTGAGGAGCAGAGGCAAGCCTATTTGTCCTTACAAAACTCTTATACAGAAGATGGCCCAGAATTAGGTATCGCCAGAACCAATGCTCTTCCGCTCGGCTCGAATGCAACGAGAGTTGGTGTTTTTTTAGATGCATCTCGCATCAATCATTCCTGCAAACAAAACGCACAAAACACATGGAACGAAAGCCTTCAACAACTCACTATACATGCGATCCAAGAGATTGAGGTTGGTTCAGAGATCACAATTATTTATCTGTCAGAACGCGGGGATTATGAGTCTCGTCATCATGCTCTCCAAGATAAGTTCCGCTTCAATTGTATATGTGAACTCTGTTCCTTGCCAGTCGCTGAGCGTAAAGTGAGTGACAGACGTTTGATCGAAATCCAAGCACTTGATCACTCCATCGGTAATGGATCGGCAGTATTACATGCGCCGCTCAAAATGCTCCAGCGCGTACAGAGGCTGTTACACCTGCTCACGTGTGAGGGGATCGGTGATGCGACAGTCCCTCGGGCTTATTACGATGCCTTTCAGATTGCCATAACACACGGAGATCAGGCGAGAGCCAAGGTCTTCGCTGAACGAGCATTATCAGCCCGGGTACTTGTCGAAGGATATGACAGCCCAGAGGTGGAGAAGCTACAAAAGCTATCCAATGACCCATCCCAGCATGCATCTCATAGCTTGACCACAAGATTGGTATCCACGATAGACGAGATCCCAGCAGACATGAAAGACGATGATTTCGAAGCCTGGCTTTGGTCTGAAAAGAACTGCAAAGACCAGCAATTCATTCACTTTCGGGACGAGGCAGCATTTCCTGCTTTTGAAGACTTGCCCGGCGAAGACGACGTCGACCTTGATTTCTTCCAAACTGAGGATGGCTTTTCCTATCGGCCCGGGAGACATTGGGCTTTCCTGGGCGAGATAACAAATGCGGAGTTCTTGTTTCGCCTAAGACTCTTGGTCAAAGATAGAAGGGATCAACAGATCCCGGTTGCTTTCTACACTAGTCAAGCTGGGAGAGAGGTCACTCCCGAGATGCTCAAACCGGGGTACACTGTCGTTGTATTCTACGCCGAAAGTCACGCGTTTATGGACTTTTCGCAAGGCATACGACAAGAGGATCAGGAAACTCTGAAGGTGATGACCACTAGCAATTCTTCCTTTGGTTATGCTAACTATTTGGGTCTATAGATCTTTCCACTATCTCTCGAGAACCTGTTTCTCTTGAGCGACAAAGTTCAAAGATTTTCCACGGTACTTAACAAGAAGAGAACATGCCATGGATGCAATGGAAAGTTCGGCTCATTGATGAAGTGCGCCAAGTGCAACTTCTTTTGGTATTGCAGCAAGGTAAAGAGGAATATATCTCCCAAGAATCAAGCCCTGTAATGACTCGATGAACAGGACTGCCAAACACGTGGTTGGAAAGAAAACGGCCATAAGAGAGATTGCAAGTTACTCCAAGACCCCGACTTGCAAAGATTATTCCTTCTGAAGTTTGATATTTTCGAGGGGTATCTATCGTTTCCACTGAGACTAGAGAATTAGTTTGCGTTTGCTCATGCCTCTGCTTTACGGATTGATATATTTCAATATTCAGGAACGATTTTAATAGAGCACTTTTAAAACACTCTCAACAAAGCAATATATCTATACTTAGCATTTATCTATCATGCTAATATAACCCAAAAGAGTAGCTACATCTATAGTAAACAGCACTTTAAATAGAATTAAGATTATATATAAGTACTGCTTAACCTTAATGTGGCGCTTGGGTTTTCTAAAGGATAAACTAGTCCGTTCTGAATTTATATTTAGCAGGATCATAAGCGTAGTACTAATTAAAACAAAGTATTAAATCTCTTGATAGTAAATAAAACGAGATGGGGATATTTGGGTAAAAAAGTCTTAACAATAACTATATATATTCGTGAAAGTGTGAAGGGAGCGACGCGGTCCTGGACCGCTGTCGGTAAGTGTCGGTCCTACGTTGACTGGTCCTTTCTAGGTGATGAGGTGGGGAAGTGAAAGGAAAAAATGGTGGAGTGCACGTGACGTAACAGCTCAAATCGTAACAAGTCTTGGCCTACCCGCACTGCTGTAGTGTTAGGTAAGTGACGTCATGCTGGAGCACTCCTCTGATCATGACCTGGTGGAATCGCTAACAATGGAGAAAACAGCTACTTCTACGAATTGTATTCTCTTAACGATCTATCATCCTGTCTAGCGACCTTGAGATACAAGATATGTATGCTCAGCTTCACTCGAGCTAATGAAATATAGGGAACTTTCTTAGGTTCCCCGTCTTAAAAAGAAATCTAACGACAAGGTGCGTCGGTCGGACGATCGAGCCGATGCTTACATGGTGTCACGCCTTGAGCCCTTTTTGATCTCAAGGGAGCGGAAGTTCAATGAATTCAGTATGGTTGGCAGAGATAAGAATGGAAAGCGAGGCCCACTTCTGTCCTTAATGCCTGGGAAGGCTTGTAATGTCCGCAATGCACATGGACGAGCAATCAAAACTGGACGCGGCCATTTTCGGCTTTCGCAAGGACAAGGCTAGACATGCGCAATTTAGCTCCCTTTCTGAATGCGTAGCACTCCGTCCATTCTTGGCGGAATTCACACGTATTTGTATTGTCTCGAGGGTTGACCATCAGGTAAGATGACTCTGGAGGGTATATCAGCCATATTCGGACGGCCATGGTTGCCAGTTCGGCCTATTCTCATCGTGAGTTTTGTGGAGCTGGCCAGGACCTCCCATCACTTAAAAACGTATAGGAAAGTCCTTTTTGTATTCGATTCGATTTTATCTCGGGATCCACTTGTAGCGATGAGCTATTGAGTTTTAATACAATGAGCGACCACGACCTAACGCAGACCCATAGCAAAGCTGTGCAAGACATTACACAACAGTTCAAGCACTTAGAACCCTCACTGCAGACGAAGCAGATTGTTAGAAAGCGTAATTTAGGCAAACAGTGGGACATGAGAAGATGTTTTGTTGACGGATCTGGCCTGCTTCGAAAAGCGGCTGAGCTTGCGATTTTCGACGATGTCTCTCTCAACCTCTGCTTCTGGGACCCAACCTGCTCGTCTTGGGTTGGCGTGAAGCCTCAAGACTCGTGCCCGACAAGCCGCAACATTCAAGAAGTATTCCTCCATGGACCCCTTCACCCCGCACTGCCCGATGATTGATCATACCCTGAAGTTCAAAAATGGGAGAGCGATGCTGCGAAAACGATTGCGCTCCCTACATAATGCAATTAATATATACGCCAAAAGATATAATGTCCCTTATCGGCTTGAAATTCTAGACCCTTTCGAGGAACAAAGATAACTTATTATCAGGGCTCCTGACGGCCGGCACATGGACTTTCAGGATTGGGAGCGTGCAGTGAGTACACACCAGAAGCGCAGCATCTATCCTCATAGCTACTTACCAAATCTGGACAGTGTGAAAACCGCATGCTTCCTTCAGCAAGATCGAGAGAGCGGACTCGGAGGCGAAGGCGAGTTCGAACTTGAACTCGACGAGTATTAAAGGCATTACGAGAGGGATAGAACACCGACAATATCGACTGGTAATTTTAGCAATAGATCTACACAATGTTTCAGATGTATACGTGCCTAGCTCACAGGCCATGTCGATTATTGCAACTATCACTTCTCAGTATAGGTGATTGACCGGTTTTGTGTACGTACACTCACAAGCTGGTGCGACATCAACTAAGGCTGTACGTAGCCGCTTAGGTCAGGGTGAAAACATCTCAGTAGTGTCCACTTGATCCGGAGGAAAAGAAGTCTATATGGGAATTACACCTCTTTTTGACGCATTGACAAACAAACAAACTGAGCTTCGCTCCCGCATGACTAATCAACAGGTGGCCTACAACATAATTAAGGCAGGCTTTGATCACGACCAATAATCCAAAATGGGGCCACCGTCAAGCTAAATGCGACAATCTTATCATAGGTGACAGAGCCAGTGGCTCTACCACCGTGGCTGCTGTCCGCGATTGAGGGCACAGAGTTATCTTGATTGAGAAGCAAGATCATGTTGGCGACGCAGATTTCAGACTTGGTGACTACATGTGGATGCCAGACAATTCAGCCATGCAGATGTTTGACATTAAAAATGGCAAAGAGAAAGTTGTACGCTGTACCAGTGCTGTGACGAAGTTACCAAGCCCGACCCCCGACGAAGAAGCTGGGTATCCGGGCCTGCACGTCAATCGCCTTGACGCCTTTCTGACACAGGGGCCTGAATTATAAAACACTCTTGGAATCAAGGTTTTGGTACGTGGATATGTTGTCTCAGTTCCTAGGCTATCATCCATTGGTCGAAGGTACCGTCCACCAGGATCGCGCTGTAGACTCCATGGTCATTGGGCGAAACGACTGCGTCAAAGAAGGAACTGAAAAGTTGACTTTAATTTTTCACTTCAGGGTTGGAGAGCAAACCTCTTACATATCTAGGTAGCGCAAGGCTGTTCATGGTACTTGCATTCTCTGCCTCGACGTGTTCGACCTCAGTAGAGAAACGGTAAAGTGCGCCATCTTGTTCTCATAAGAAGGCATACTAGCTCAATGAGGCCCAGTTATAAGCTCCTGGTTCAATTCTGCATCTGGAAGCGAATGGCTGATAGGGACGTTTTAATCCTGGCGTGATGTTTTGCGGATGAAGGCGATGTTCCGAAGATACCAGGGTAGACATGCTGAGAAGACACATTATCTGGAGAAAAGATCGCCACAGACACAATCTCCAAATCATTAGCAATAAGTAAAAAGACGCGGTGATCAAAAGGGATCAGGACGAAAGTTAAGTTAGGTAATTCTAGTCATCTATGATTGCCCCTTAGCTGCACACAATGATTTCAGCATGGGTGGCACGGATCACAATGCCTCGAAACGGGGCCCGTTTCGCGTTTTTATAAACACGACTTAGTTAGTAACGGGACCCGTTACCGGCTAGAATACTAGAATAGAATTTTCAGTGAGGTCTAACAGACATCGTCGCCAGATAAGTGTGAGGGTCTTTTCGGTGATGGCTTACAACCTATCACGCGACGCGAATACGCGTTTGACCCGTGTAATTTAGAGTTTTATTTCCTACCTGGAATTCGTGTGGTAACCTGTTTTACCAGACTTTACCCGTTATTCTCGTTTTTGTACTAGTCTCCACATTAACTTTACGATTTTTGATTGGAGGAAAGAGTAATCCCTGCAAGCGATAAACTCTAAGAACATCGGTTGGCCAGACTGCAAAGAGAATACAGGAGGGTATCCACCGCGGGGCACCATTGTTGCTGACTGAATGTCTCGTGGTCAGGCTGAATAGCTGTTCTCCCGCCCAAAACACGAAGAACTTATTGACGCAGCCCGCAAGCACTCTACCCAAAGTCAAATGGACCCAGTTATCTTTAATTTCGACCACCCAAAGGATATATACCCAACCTTACAAAGATGCAGCGTCGCAAGCGTCGGAACAAGTACGACTCTCCATCTAGCACCGCTACAACAATTGGCCGAACGTCTAGCTGTTTCACAAATGGCTCTCCAGAATACAGAGTATACAGGCCGAGGGTATGATGATCTTGCTATCATCCTTATCGAGCCTAGCGATCGAGAAGACTGGCTATCCCACGACGACATCATGGCTGATAAAGATCACCCCTCGACTATGCGCTATCTCGACAATTCACTTCAGTTGGCGTTCCGCGGGAAAAGAGGTTTCCGTAACACTATCATTCTTGATACGAAGCCTTTCCGAAGCCGTAAAATCAAAAAAGGCGAGGCCGAATGTAAAAGAAAAGAAAACAACGCCGCCGCATACGCTGCGCTTGAAAATTCGCTCGATATCCTACGCCCCAAAATCATTGTCGTCTGTAATTGTGATCACAGCTCTGTGAAAGATGGGTTGCCACCATATTTATGCACGTCGGTTGAGAGAGCCGGCGAGACCGAGCTTGTGCAACTACCAAATAAACACCAATGCATCAAAGTATCCAGCTTTCATCCCATGTTCATCGAAAGGACGAATCCGGACCAGCGTACGGAACGTATCATGCGAGAATACCTTTTCGACGCTTGTCTGGTCGTAGCAGCTCAGCTTCTAGTTGGTCGCACGATTTTTGGCTCTGGTATTTTTAACATCAGGCACGCTGCAATCTGGGGTCCGATAATAGTTCCTGGTAGAAGTGGTCCAACGCTATCTTACAAATGTGCGACAGAGGATGACATTGCCTCCAAGACTTTGATTAAGGACTTGAAAAAATTAGGCCTTTTGGGTAACCCCAGGGACCCTACTGTAAGTAGTGAAGAGACGAGTGTTGACGATGCACTCTGACTAATACGGCAGTAGGAGATTGGGCAGACCTGGTACAATAAACTCCTAGCCAGTTATGAATTGTCTGCGGTGACTTTTGACCCGGTAGTTGTACCAATTTCCAAAGTAGACCCTTTGCTTACATTTGGGCCCCTATAAATCAATAAAAGGCAGTATCGATTTGTATTCCCTTGCCACTTACCTGCTAATAGGCTAGCCATTTTGGAAACGAAGCGACGTCATCGTAAGGAGGTCAGACTAGCTACAACATTTTCTTCTAATGCAATCTGATACCATTCAAAGATACCTCAATGTCCTGTTGCGATATGGTCCTGAACAGGGGTGAGAGAAGAGGATCCCTTCATGGGTTTAGTAATACTTGAAGCTTCTGTTAAACTAGAGCATGACGTTACCGCCCGACGTAGTATAGGACGAAATTGAGCATCGTTTCATGCAACCAGCATAGATGCGTATTATTGTACAATAGTTGTATGTTGTGAGGTGATGTTGTACAGCTTTACAACAATTGTACACCAATAAGGTCACGTGCAACGACCAAACGAGTAGAATTAAGGTGCCATGACTCTATATCTTCGTCTTTAGCATTCTAGTCATCTTGTAGACCTACATCCATAGGTAACCCCATCATCTCCAGCCAGTGGATTGCATACTAGACCCAATCCACCCTCTCCAGGGGGAACAAATAGTTCTTCTCGTAACCAGTTGCCGATAAATTCCACCTTTTCAAGATTCTTGCAAGTGATTCGAAGCCGGCCCCACGAAGAAGTAACGTCGAGCACCTGGGAATACTCTCTCCGGCTCAGCTGATTCAGATGGGATGGAAAGGATATCGATAGCCATACGACTGAGCCGTGGATACTGTGCCCGATGCTCAAGACGAAACCACCACTCAAGAGGAGTACAGTCGATTTCAAGAGTTAAAGCGTTGATAAAGGAATACAGATTATCTGAATCGGTAAAAATTGCCTTCTGCTTCACCTCAATTGACCTGAAAAGAAACGATAACTGACCATTCTGCTCCGAGGGTAGCGGTGCAGGACGACGTTCTGGTTCCTTTAAGATGGCAAGCCCCTGATACTCTGTCATCCAAATGTCCCGAGCACCAGCAATAGCTGCCTCATGCCAGTCTCGGGGCCAGTTTTGCTGGATATATGCTAGTCGCTTAGAAGGATCAAGTAGTAAGGCGGCGGCACAGACCGGGACATCTTCAGTCATAGTATAGTATTTGTCTAAGACGAACCAGCCCATCTCAATGGCATGGAGCATCCGAGTATCATTGAGCCAGGCTGCGGGTGCTGAACCTTTGCACTCTCATAGTGGAAGAGTAGAGCATCCATCAAGAAGAGGGTCGCAGTGGAAGTGTCTCTAGGTTTGGAAGATTGAGAGAATAGATTAGTGGCTTCATACCACGGCGGGCAGACTTAGGTATATGATGCTTGTCGCCTGGGTGCCGCGGCGCGCGTGTAGAATTAATGGCGAAGCCGCATTCGACACAAATTATTGATGGTTCTGGCGAATTGTAGTACAAGCCGAGGCTCTCGAGCTTTTGGAGCTGACTCGGCCGCAATGTGACAATAGCATCAGTGTATGTCGCGAGGCCTATCATATTGATAAAGTTGAGAAGGCAGCAAGACGATCGGGTACCCTCTATGAAGTCATATTTAGCCAAGAACAAAGAAAGAGCTTGATTGCTGCTTCCTTCCTCCTAATGGACGCAACCGAAATTACTACACCCTGTAAAGTTTAAGAGCGTCTACATGGTTGGCACGGACCCTCGTGGAAGAAACGCGGCGCATTTCGCGTCCTCGGTTCTCAGGCCCAGATGGAAACGCGGCGCATTTCCAGAGGTGAAATTTGGGTAAGAAATTGGACATTTTGATTGGTGCAGAAGTGGAAATGCGGCGCACTTTTTCTCTACATGCTTGAGTAGGGACAATTTGGAAAGCATATTTAACTTACATAAGGAATTATGATTATATAGGCTAGCACTGATTGTTTTTCGCAAGCATAATAGAATTTATTTTCTTGTCATTAGAACTTTAAATATGCCACTGCGCCTCGCTTTCCATTTCTTCTGACATGTTATCTTCTCCCAAAGTGATATGTTCCGCTCGTCCGACAAGGCCGATACGCCGTTCAAAATGTCGGTCAATCCTTCTGCATTCGAGCCAACAACAACTTGCAGGTAAAAGGCCTCATTATGGATATCGATTACTCTAAATAATCCGTTGCACCAATTATAGAGCCTACCAGTAGTCTTTCTCTTGTTACGGCATCGACAGGCTCTGCCGTCCGAGCTTTAGCTTGTTGGCCCTCCTGGAGTCGGGCAGTGATCTCTAGATAATCAAGGACGTAGACCTTACCCCAAACCTAATCAGCCCCTTCGTTCTAAAGGTAGAAGCCTATAGGGCCTGAGTCTTTTCATTTCGCAACTATTTCTCCGTAGACACTGGTAAGGAAGTCTAGCGACCCGAATCATAGGTGGCATGCATGGAGTATCAAATTATGTATCAAGACCCGATACGCAGGGCAATTGGTACAATGCTCATGGGCGCGCTCCTGGAAAATAAGACTCTATCCAACCAACTAGCCCACTTAGTTCGACTCTTAATAATCTGCACAGCCTGTAGAAGAAGTGGACGCGGAACAACCAGTCTATGTAAGCTAGTCATATCAGCCAGTATGACCATGGTTATTGGCATATACACGAAATCTTTCCTGTAGAAAGGGGTCGCCTAGCAGAATGTCGTCACAAATTCGGGACAATGTGAGTGAGGACTACCCTTGTCCCTTGTTCATCTGGAACGAAGATGACGTCTTTGATTGGTAAAGCTTAAGAAATTCGGTAGTAGTCATGCCAAGGATTCACTCCGAATTCATTCTGCAAAAAGTCCTGCACAGACCTGTCGCCTTCCAATAATGCTGTCAGTGCCTCTCTATCACCGTCGATCCTGAGACCTTCGAGGCCTGTTGCTCTTGATAAAGCGACATAGACTTGGCCTGCCACAAAAGCTTTGGACAGATCTATGATAACACGGTCTAGGGTCATACCCTGGCTTTTGTGGACACTCATTGCCCAACCAGGTATCAGTGGGATTTGAGTTCTGTGCAAGACGGAGTATGGCTCTTCATCGCCAATAGCATTGACAACACATGCAGCATAAATGCTGCACTTGATTCCATTGTGGAATAGAACTCGTGGCCAGAACGTCTTTGCGGTCGGTTCCATACGTTCTTCTCCTGTCTTCTGTTGTACTTTCATAAATTCCGTCACTTGTCTTCGCTTCAGCCTTCCATGTTTCCCGCTGAATAGATTAAACGAAGGCGTCCGGTCTTTGTTACCTTTGCCGTCTAAAAACTTCAAAAGGTCGAATTCTTCAAAGCCACAGATGATGCCCTGGCTTCCATTGACGAGGCCACCTTTGATATCAAGATTCACCTGTAAAATGACAAGCATGCCTCCCCTCAACAACACGCTAGGCTCTAACCTGTGGTCTTTGCATGCTAATAGATGTCCATCGGCATCACGAGTGGTATAGCTGTCGAACTGCAGGTGCTGTTTTTGCCAGCATTCGAAGCCATCCAAGGCTTTGTACATATAGACAGGGGTCTTGAGCTTCCGAAAACTATTCGAATTGATCGTGGAAACCTCGTGCCTTGTGCAAAGGAGTTTTGTAGCCTTATCAACCCTGTGGGGATGATTCATCAGCGTTGTAATCTCATCCATCGTGAATGGTATTCCAAATCGACACTTCTGAAGCATCTTGATGAAATAAGCATCACGTTGACGATGGATTTCTTGGAGGTTGATGCAAGTAAACCCTGCTTCTTCCCAAGCAGCACTCCTGAACGCCCATTTGTCCTCGTCCATGAACGGCCCATGGTTTGCAGGACAATCATACCTCATTCCGTCACTATCGAGGGTTGTTTCCAGTCCGCAGTTCAAACAGAACTGGAATGGTTTCACAGGAGGTAGTTGGCAGAAGTCTCCTGTCACCACTAGTTGAACCCCTCCAAAGGCTGGAGCGTCGCTAGCAGGACCTTTGAGATCAGGGTTCCAGCATCGGACTTCCTTCATACAGATATTTATGCGTTCCAAATGGTGATTTTCAACCATGCTTATCTCATCAATGATAAGAACTTTAGTACGTCTCAGACGAGCCGCGACATAAGTGCGAAATCCCTCACTTTTCAGTCTTTCCAGAGAGTACTTGTGAAAGTCGGGTGTCCAGCCCATGTAAGACCAAGTCGACATGCCGTGGACTTGAAGTGCAGACCGGCCAGTGGGAGCGATGACGTCAACTTGTTTGTGTTTTGCTTCTAGCTTTTTCACGACAGCTTCTAAAACAGTAGACTTGCCGCAGCCTGCTGAGCCGGTGAAAAAGACATTGCGTCCAGCCAAAACGATGTCTACCACATTTTGCTGCTCTTCGCATAGCTTTGGTAAGACGTTGGAAGCAGGTACCATCGCATCTTCCGATGTATCCTGACCGTTCTGCGTCAAAAGTGTCATTGAACACACCGTCTTCTTGAAAAGGTGTTATGGCTTTGTTTTGTCTTTTGACAGGAGGGTGGATGAATCTTCGCGGCAGCTATCCGGTTATATGTAAAGGGGGGGCGTTTATGACCCTCTGTGGCGGAGTCGCGATTGCGGACTTGACTCTCAGGCAAGAATTCTCGCAGGGTGACGGGTCTCAGTCGTAACCAACAAGGTCTTGTGAAGCTATTTGGCCTCATATCACTCCATCAACAATATCCATTACAGAAGAGCTCCATCGTCAGGCTGTGGTTTATTGATGTTTACAGAACGCAGAGAGCAGGCGTATTGGCAAATGTGAGCAACGGCTGACATTCGGTCGTGATGACGAAACCCTGCATTCCAGGCGCTGCAGGACTATTACGCCTCTTTTACAGTTGTCCAACTGGGAATGATTACGTGGCGTATGTGTATGATAATGGATGTGATATCGAAGCATGAAGCGAAACGTGTACGGGCCGGTCAGTCTTGGCATACAGTTAATTAGTATGCGGGAGGCCCACCGCGAGACCTCTCGTGCGGGGTACGAAATCCAGGTACTAGATCACTTTATTGATGATGGATCGTCAGTATTTCGTGCGCCGCTCAAGATGCTCCAGCGCGTACGGAGGTCATTTTACCCGGTCACATGTGAGGGTATGGATGACGCGAACGTCCCTCGGGCCTTTCAGACCGCCATAACACACAAGAGATAAGGCGAGAGCCAATACCTTCACTGGCCTATCAAGTTGAGACGGTAAACCTGACTGGGCTTGAAATACTCGAAATTGGACAATGAACCGATATATAGAGGTAACCTTCTCGATACTTGTGACCTGCTAATTTACATTCCTTTTCATACCAGACCTTCCATTGTCACAAATAACTTAATCTTTCAGCAGCCACCACCACAAATCCTGCCATCAACATGGGTAATGGACCACCCCGTACAAACAAGTACACGAGAATTCTTGCTCGACTCTTTGAATTCCTTGCTGTCTTCCATATTCTCAAGAGAGCTAACGGTCCCCATACCGCCATCTCCCAGCTTCCTGCAGACCTCCAAACCGTAAGACGAAGGTTTATTACGAGCTTGTGTTATCTCTGCGACTACCGAAAGGGTGGCAAAACAACAACTTCAATCGGCCTAGAGTCCCGGGATGACGGTGTCGTATTTTGGGTTGCTGCGAACCTGTCTCCAAACGATGACGTTCTCACCTTTATTTCCGTTATCCTAGAGAACCTACGAGGAGAACCAAACTCTACCGTAACAGACAGAGAAACGTTAACAGCAATGATAACCCTCAGATCTATCCAATTCGTTGCTCCAAGATTAAGAAAAGAACGTCGAATGTTAGCTCGGGCTGCGCGTTCCTGCGAAACCTACTTGGCAGCCAATATCGACGCTATTATGACACCTGGTAAGACAGAAGTGATCAGAGACAGACATCTAGCTGACAACGGGGCAGGAGCTCGTGCTCTAATTGAGTGGCTGCCTCAATTCTACTCTGTTACAACCGACCCTTTGATCTTCTGCCAGGCTGCTTATAATGGTCGACACGCTCCTCAAATGAAGACACTGGAAGCTCTAAAAGAAGAGCTGAAGGTGGCTCCACTAGGAACAGTAGAGCCATTTCGTTCTGTCAAACATCTTGTTGGCCGTCTGGCTGAGAAAATTCGAGTACCTGCCAATCTTGTTAACGACTCCCTGCTACTAGGACCTCTCTTACAATCTTACACGGTTCGCAGAGTAGAAGCTCCTATGGCAGCAAGGGTACCAGCGTCAGATGGTCTGAGAAATCTAGATTCGATTGTTAGAAGAATGCTTCGGGCTGACGATCCACGCTTGAAGGACATGCAAAGCTATCTGGGGCAACTTGATGGCTCAATGAAGCTGGAAGATGCCATCAGGGCTATGTATGACGACGAGCAAGCACAACACAATGTGCATGCGGAGATTCAAATCCTCGAAGACTTCCATCGCAATCAACGCATATTTGTGGAACAGGATCGCTACATAGCTTGCAGTAAGCTCGCCTGTCTTTGCTGCAAGTTTTACTTCAAATTCCATCCTGGTAGATTTGTGGAGCCCGAATCTCATCAAAAGACATATCTTAACTGGCGTCCTATTGATCTACCTGACGGTGGGGAGGATAGTGACTGGCCGGATCAGCGCCGTGTTCTGGGAAACCTTAGCAAAGAGCTGAGTAATCTTCTGGAGGAGCATATTGTAACCCAACAGCAACCAACACCATGGCAGCCGGATTCGATAACAAATATCACCGCAATAACAGAGGCTTTGACACTTTCCGAAGTTCAGGAAGAATTCGAGAGCGGAGATGGAGAAAGTGATGGTGAGTTTAATGAGAGCCTTCCGGATTTTCCAGTCAAATACTTACTGACGACTGTAGTATTCACAGATTCCGATTCATTAGCGCACCTCCATGATGATGACGTTGTCAATGAGAGTGATGATGGTTCTAGAGATGGTGATGAGCAATCTGAGGGAGGTGTAGTTTTAACTGATTAGCATGAATCGTGAAAGAATAAACAAGTGTGGAGACTACAGTTCTTTGTTTGTAAATCACGTAGCCTGATCGTGCAGGTGGCTATTTACTCAGGGCTGCTCACAATGGGCTGCTGAATAATTGAAATCCATTGTCTCCTCACTACGTATTATTGATGATTCATTTCAACTAAGCCATCCTTGATCTCTTCTTTCCCTCGTGCGTTTCTTTGATATGTCTCTCAAGGTTATCATGTCTTGTGAAAGTCTCGTAACATCGTGGACATGGGATAGTCTTTTGCGAATAATGAGTGTCGTAATGCCGAATGATATCCTTCCTCCATGAATTTTTGAATTGACAGCCAGGCCACGAACAGTGAAAAGGTTTTTCATGTTTTCGAAGATGGTTACTTTACGCCTCAATTAGCAACACAAACAAATTAAAGATCTGGCAACTTGCAAAAACTTACTTCCTTTCGCGGTTGTTGTCGAAAGTCATTTGGCATTCCGCGTTGTTGCAAAGAAACTTTCCATTCTCTACAAACTCGTTCTTTTTCAAACGAGCAACAGGATATTTTTTGAACTTTCGCTCGTCCATCGTCTCTGGGCTTGAACTCTCGCCAATAGGTACACTGGCAGGAGAATAAGGGGCATCAGAAGGAATCTCACAAAATGAATGTGGTAATGTAGCTCCATCGTCATGAAAAGCTTGAGGGGATGTCTCTTGGATAGGATCACTTGTCTGATTTTGCACGGAATCTCTGCTCTACAGAGTGAAGTTGAGATCCGGCAAATTAGAAAGCGATACGTCTCCCAGATACACTTCATTCAAGCTGTCATATAGATCTGGAAACTGATTCGAAGAATTTGAAACGTTAAGAAAAGTGGAATCAAGGTAGTGGAAATGGTGATCCATCTCAGCTATTGGTTCCGGGAAATCAATACTGGGAAAGTCGTTGATAGCCTGAGGGATAGTCTCTATACCCAGATCAACCATGTCCGCTTGATAAATGAAAAAAGGGAAAAAAGCGCCTTCTTGCGCCAGAGGTTCCCAGTGAAACCGTTGGCCTATGGTTTCGTAATCTAACACCGTAGATGGGTCCACGAAACTTGTGGGCGAGACTATAATTTAAATAGGTATAACATCAGTAAAGTAGCTGTTGACACATTTCTTTATATCATGGTTAAGATTTATACCTACCATCGAGTGGATAGTCCGAGTCCACAAAATTGAGTTCCGCGGACTCATCTTGAGCCTGTGGAAAGTATTCAATGTCGTTCATGAACTAGACTGTGGCAATGGGAACAAGGTACTTTATGAGACAAAGAGTCATCAGGAAAGGACCGGAAGTGTTGGCTTTTATGTTTTGCGTTGGATCGTTTCTCCACAAGATAATGTCATGCTGTACGCCTAGTGAGGCGGTAACGCAATACGCATCTACACCTTTAAACAGGCCATGGACCGGCGACTTTCGAGTACTGACTTAGTGGGTCATCCCGTGCATCGCGGCTGGACCGAAAAGCCCCACAACAATATGTGAATAATCTTATCATCGGCGTTTGATTGGCCGTATGCGTGCCTTGGGGTGTTAAATCACGCGCTAAGGGAGGCCTACCTCTTTGTTGGCTGTGGCTCATTGGCTATGCCCGGGTGTTACTCTCGAGGCGCTGTACTAACACACCAATCCAACCGCTTGTTCACGCGGGATTAGTGAGATAACCTGCTACAGGGTCTTTATACCTCAAATGTGGCTTGCAGTCACATGAGCCATCTTATTCAACCAATATGTACAGTACCAAGGCTGGCGAGTATTCACTTGATCTCAGCTGGGTGTATAACCCCAACGCCGAAATCGTTGCCGCTCCGCCGAATCTGACAGCACACTGCCCCTAGACTATAGAAATGATACCGAAGAACCAGTAATATGCCCACTACTATAACGGCCCACTTACGGCCCCCTCTAGCAATGGCCTGATTTAACGGCCTACTAGCAGTACAACTATTAATACAGACGTGACAAAGACCCCTGAAATGCTGAATGCATAATTGGATTTATTTGCTAAGACTTAATTATGGCAGCGGTAGCAATAAAACCATACTTTTAAATCACTGCGGTATGGAGCTAGCATGGCTACCTTGACCTTTCAGCTCCCCCATTCCTGACTTTTGGCATCTGGACAGGTTATTGCTAACGCCTCAAAATCAAGCTTGTTGCCTCTCTTAGTCCTGCATATCTTACTACCCCGCTCTACTTAGCACGCTTTATTATCGATGGAATAGACATCTTCTGAGCCTTATACAGCGTAAACCAGGGATAACTACAGTAGTCTAGATAACTGTAACCTATTATTTATTATCTGTAAAGTGTAAAAATATATAGCTGTTTCCCTTTTTACTTATATTAATAGTATTATATAGTTAATAGTTATATTCTAATATAATATCCTAGAAAGCCTATTTTAACCTTAAAAAGAAAGAGATAAAAGTAATATAGAAAGGATATTTACTTATATAAGGAATTATAATTATATATATACAAATTGATTATTTCTTATAATTATAATAGTTTACTTTCTCTTATAATTTTAAATATATCTTCTTATATATTATTTTTCCTAAGATTATATAATATATATAATAAGTAAGCATTGTAGTTAAGTAAGTATTACACTTTTCTATATATCCTTTATTATCTATATAATAAGATTCCTATAATTTATCTAATTAATTAAAATTACTTACTATACTCTTCTCTAAATACCTTTAGAACTACCTTATAGGTTCTTATATTATACTTAGTCTTACTATATATACTATAGTATTAAATACTTAGTCTAACTAACCTTCTTTACCTACTACTTCTTAATAATTTAGCTACTACCTATATATTAATATATATCTAATTAATTACTTATAATACTTTCTTTATAGTTATTACCCCTCTCTTTTATAATTTAGTCTTTTTTTATTTATAGTATTAGCTTAGTATCTTATTTACCTATTAAAGTTCTTTATTTTCTACTACTAGTAGAGTAACCTTATATATTACTACTTTAGCTCCCTTAGAAAGATAGTATAAAGCCTTAATAATTAACTTTAGTAAGCTATTATAATACTATTTAATTTACCTAGTAAGGTATTTAAACTAAGATTAGGTTTTTATTACTATCCTTAGGGTCTTTAAAGTCTAGGGAAAGGAAGGGTTAACTACTTTCTTAGAAGGTATTAGAGTTTATAGCTATATATTAAGCTTTAATATAATAGTTTCTAGGTTAAGAAAGTAAAGTTTAGCTCCTTTAAAAGCCTATTAGATATTACTTTCTATAAAGGTAGCTTAAAAAGTAGTATAAAAAGTAAGGAAAAACTTAGTTTTTAAAATATAGGTTATAGAGTATTTAATTAAATACTCTATTTCTTAACTATATATATTCTTTAGTACTAAAAAATACTTAATATTAAGAGGTTAAAGTAAGTAAAATATATAAGTAAGTATATAAAGTATAATAATCTTATAATTTTAATAATATCTCTTAAAGTTAACTAAGTAATAACTTTTATAACTATTAAGAACTAGAAGGTAATAGAGATTAACTAATCTCTTTATTATTAATTAATTAAAGTACTTTAGCTACTTAAGATCTAGCTTATTATTTATCTATCTATTTTAGCTTATTATAATAACCTAATTACTAAGGAGGTTATATTCTTAGTACTAAATTTATAAGGTAATATTAGCCTAAACTAAAAATAAATAGTAGGATTAATTAACTTTTTATATTAATTACTAGAATTATAGTAATTTATTTATAGTTTCTAGGCTAGATTAATTTTAGTTTTTCTTACCTTTCTATACTTATAATAGCTATTCTAGACTATATAAGGCCTATTATAAAGCTAGTTTTATTAAAGTTCTAGATATTACCTAGTTAAATACTATACTTTGTAATTATATTCTATATAAGCCTAAACTAGCTATAAATAATAGTTAGATCTTTATATTTAACTCTTTAATAGTTATATTTATAAAAGATATATACCTTTAGTTCTAGTTATTATTTTATAAAGTTATAAGCCTAGTACTTACTAATAGGTAATATATTATAGTTAGTAAGTAGAAAATTAGCTATTTCTTTTATAAAATATAGTTATAAGGGAAATCCTTATAAATCTAGGTTAAAGATAAATTAAACTATTATTTACTCTTTTAAATTAGATAATTTCTATAAATTTAAAGTAGAATTACTTTGTAATTAAATACTATTATAATAGTAATATAATCTATATTTAAAGATATTATATATCTTTATAGTATATTAGGTACTTAATTTTAAATTATTTTAAAGTACTTAAAGTATAAGAAGGGTTTTAGCCTTAATTAAAGATTGTAATATAATTTATAGTTAAAAACTAATTAATTAGGTATAGGTAATAATATAGGAGGGAAAAGTGTAATACTTACTTAACTGCAATACTTGCTTATTATATACATTACTTCTGTTTATTTAGTTAATTAAAAATACTACTTTAAGTATTAGTTAATCTTTTTATATTTAATTTAATAATAGCTTATAGGTAGAAGGCTTTATTATACTTATTACTTACTTTAAATTAAGGCTATACTAATTAAATAATATTTAAATTATTTTCCTCTTATTATAGTATTAGTAGGCTTTACTATCTAAGCTTTAGTTTATAAGCTCTTATAGAGTTAGGTAGTAATCTCTTAATAACTAAAGAAGTAGAACTTACTTTAAACCTAGCTTACTTCTTAGTACTAATAATAAGGACCTATAATACTTAAGACTTTTTAGTTTACTGTTTTCTCTCTGTAGATACTAATATAGATATCTAGTAACTTAAATTTTAAATAGTATATACAGACTATTAAATTGTATATTAGGACCTGATATATAGGGTTATTAGTAGGGTAGGATGGGGTGTGGACCCAAGCTATTTAGGCGGAAACCGCGAAGACCTTGAGGTAGCCATTTGGTCACATTGTAAGAATGCCAGTAACTACTTGCGCGTTCATCTTAATGTAAATGCGAAGTTTTCTTGCGCGTCCGGGACTTCCCAGTCCTGCTTGCTACCCAGGCTTCTAGCTAACGAGTGGCAAGGTCATCAATGTCAAGTAGCGGTGATGGCCTTGGTAGGCGTCCTTGTGTCGATAATGCTAGAGCTAATAGAAGAGTAGTAGAAAGGGGAAGTCTGACGTGAGGAACATGGCTGTTGTTTCGTCGCATGATCAATTACAGTTACAGCTCGTCCCGCTCTGCGGCCTCCTCAGTCGAGTTCATCGGGAAGCTCGCTGACTGGCTATCCAATCTCAAGTGTACCATTCCTCTGCATAAGTTATATCTGTCATTTAGACTGGATACTATTTGTGAGAACTAACGATCAGCTAATATCCTAAATTCACAAGGGCGGTCGCCAAGTTCATATAGACAACGTTCATTGCCCACCTATTCTACAGTAAAGGCATTGATGACCTCCTCGCTGGATTTGAAGGTGCAATTGCTCTCTATGGGGCTTATTAAACCGTCATGTGGTCCCTTGTCTACTTGCGTTGGCGAGGAGCAGCGTCTTGGAAGCAGCGGATTGATTAGGGACAGGTGACAGAAAACAACAGATATAAATTGGAAGGATGGAGTTGGAGCTGTGTTGAGTCTTACACGAGCACTCTGCGCTAAAGCGCTCACATTATCAACTGCTTGTTGCTTACGTTGCGCAAGAATGTTAGGTAAGAATATAGTTTATATAACTCCGTTTTTCATTACTGACACGAGAGTTATTTTTGGGTTTATATCATATATGATTTCATCTTGACTTTTGAACTCTAAATCTAAGAAATTTAGACTACTTGCTAAGCCCTGTAGAACGGTCATCGCGAGCCATCCTTCACAACATCACAGTGGTAATCGGTACAGTAGAGTATATAAAACGTCTTTCTTAGTGGTTTTGCGACTGGCGTATCAACCCCAACATCCCATCCCATCGTCGATAAATCCGTAGTCTAATATTCTTTATCTTATCGATTCATTCCGACATGATGCATGAACTCATTTCGCGTCTTACTCTTCTGCTCGAAACATCCCAGCATACAGCTTGTCAGAGTTGTGGCACTGGTCTTCTCAACGCCACGCATCACCATGCACAGATGGCTAGACTCCATGACGACGGCAACACCTTGAGGCTTGAGGATGTCCATAATGGCACGGGCGACCTCCTTCGTCAGGCGCTCTTGGATCTGCAAGCGACGAGAGAATATTTCGGCGACTCGAGGAAGCTTTGAGAGGCCAATAACGGTATTGGAGGGGATGTAACCGATGTGCATCTAGAAGTGAGAATTAGCCGGTATAGCTCAGAGTCATGTGTATAGGACATATCGAGGGAAGGGAAAACTTTCCTTTCCTGTAAAGGGCACAAGATGGTGCTCACAAAGGCTAAATATGTCGATATCTCTCATAATGACCATCTCGTTATGGCCTTCATGGAACAGGGCATTATTCACGATATCTTCCACATTGGCATGGTAACCCTTGGTTAGGAACATCAATGCCTTGGCACAACGCGAAGGTGTATCCAGCAGGCCGTCACGACCAGGATCCTCGCCGATGCACTCTAGCAAAGTTCGCACCGCACCTTGCATCTTTTCTAGGCGTAGGGCGGCCTGTTCTTGACTGTCTGCTTGGCGAGTTCTAATTTTGGTTACTGCAAAGCTCAAATGTTAGTCGCAATACATAGAAATTTGTACCTGCACGCAAGACGACTCAGTGAAGAGTGAGAGTATAGTAACCTACAAGGATCTCCAGAATCGATCACTGGGCCGGGCGGCTTCTTGTACTGATCGGGGGCACTTAAAACTCTACTATCAGCAGTAACCCTGAGGTTGCTGAGATTGTGTTTCTTCTGTCTTTTGCGCCCATCATGCGTTAAATTATTACTGACTGGGGAGGCGACAGTAGTATCATTGGGGGGCGGCCGTTTCTTAGAGAGGACGCTATCGTTTTTGGGACTAGCCATGTGAACTGCTATAGATCGAGGGAGAACAGAGGCATAAGGTGAGATATTTTATGAAAGAAATTCTATCGCAATTTGACCTGAAAGTCTGCGACCTAGAAAGGCGTGGGAACGAAGACCAAAGGAATCTGAACTTGCAAAAAGGTTGCTTCGCAACCAAATACACGTGCGGATGAATAAACTAGCCTGTTGATAGACTGGTATGACGTATCTTAGCACCTGCTTTTCATCGAACAGAAAGCATTAGTAACCATACAATATCTCTCCTTTTGCCCTATCAACTTTGAAGCCGGCCAATACATGTGCCATTACTCATGCATTACTGACAAATCACAGTCTTCCACGCCGATAGAATCCCCAAGGTTTGGCTCGATGACCCCTTCTCTGAAATGCTCATTTTGTTGTATTTCTGCCGGAGGCCGACCGTTAATGTGTTGTGCGTTACACCACAAAACCCCCACGACCACTGTCCAGGTTGGATTAAGTTTCTCCATGCTTATGGGTCACATACATAGCGTGGTACATGAATTTGATGCTTTCATTTCGATGGACCGGATTATGGAAATGCGAGATAGTAAATACTCCGGCGCTAATGTTCTTGCGCCACTGGATGGATGTGAACTTGAATCTTGGCACTTCCACTACAACATATTCACTCGATTCGCGAAAGTTTGACTCTATTTACTACATTCACTTGAGCTTTAGTGGCGGTTAAGGGCCCCTCTGCATTGAGTGCTTTGTTCCCCTCCATGTAGAAATGGGCTTCAATTCGTATTACGTACAATCTATCGATATGGTGCATAACACATGCATACATGTACTGCACTTGTTTTCTTCTAACGAGGATCTTTCCCCCATATCCGTCAATACGATCTCTTATGAACAGCCTAACAGGATTAGCACATGATACCGCTAGCACGCCCAGGTTTCTGCAGTTCACGATAAGCTATGCGGGAGGCCGACCAAAACAAGTTCACCTGCGGTAGGGGAACCCGTGAGGTCTTTAACGCATCTCGAGGTAAACGTGGTCTTCGCTGATAGGCTGAACCGAAACCCCTCCGCACCATGAGTTAGCTGACATGGCCACGTATTAACGTTGCCAAGATAACATAACGTCGCGCGTACATCAAAGTTCCACCACTATCTAATGAGGACTTGATCATGTCAATAACTTCCAGAATCATGTATTCTACTGATAAGGGAAAGTATGAGAACGGGAACAAAGTGATTTGATTGGTTAGTTGATCGCGACGTCGTTTTCGATAAACCTGAGATTCTGACACTCATATTACACTTAACGTCGGGGGAGATAAGAAGCGGCAACAACTCTGTAGGTACACAATTCAGCTAAATCCGATCATCACGCATCACAATCATACTTTATCATCTCTACCAGCACAAAAGTGTGTTCCTATCAAGCTGTTATGGCCACTCTCGACACCCTGAAGCAAGCCCTTAGGCAGACAGCAAGGGTAACAGCATCGGGCGCAACGCAGCCGTTGTCCCACGCACAGTACAGTGCCGGTTTCGAACTCTTGATGCAGGGCTCGGGATTCATGACATACCAGAACTTCATTGTCCCACAACTGTCTGCGCTTCTAGACCGTTTATTAAACTCGCGGGTTGATATCTCGATGCTAGAAATCGGACCCGGTCCAAAGAGCGTTGTTGGATACTTACCCTATCGTATCAGGCGCAAAGTCAGGACATATGTTGCTTTCGAGCCCAACGACTTGTTTGCCATAAGACTAGATGATTGGTTTCACCCCACCTCAGGAACAGAGGCTCCTCTGCCATGTTTGGAATGCCGCCCCGAGATTCATCAGATGCCATTCGCACCAGACAACGACAACAAAAACACAAGGAGCGGTACCAGCACTGGGACAAGTGATGGTGGGAAGTTTGATGTCGTCTTGTTCTGCCATAGCATGTACGGCATCAAACCTAGACGCAGATTTATCGAACAAGCACTGAAATCACTTGACGAACACCCAGAACCGGGAATGGTGGTGGTATTCCATCGTGATGGCGACATGAACCTTGACGGCTTAGTGTGTCATCACACGGCGCCTTTCCCTACTGGGATCGTTCGGGTAGCAACTGACGATGAGACATTGGACCGATTTACTTCTTTCATCGCGGGCTTTGCCTGCCGAGATGTGAAGATGGATGAAGCTATCCGGGGCGAATGGCGTGAGCTGTGCCACGCATTGGGCCGTCGTGAGAAAGCACACCCCGGCCATCTCTTGTTCAGTTCGCCCAACATCATGGCAACTTTTACTAAACATGCGATCGCATTGCCGGACTTGATGGCACAGATGCCATTGGTGAATAAAGACAGGAGAATTAAGAACCAGGAGGCCCGCCTTCACCGTCCCGCATGTATTGTTAGGCCGACACAGATTCAGCATATCCAGCAGTGCGTGAAATGGGCCCTTGAACAAAACGTTGGTCTTACTGTCATAGGCGGAAGCCATAGCGGCCAGTGTCTTTGGCCTAACGTCGTCGCCATTGACATGAGTGCTTTTGATCAAGTACACACGGTCATAGCTAAGAGGGATGGAGGAGAGCCCAATTTCGATTCTACTTCCCTGGTTGTCGCGGAGGCTGGCTGCAATACTGGAGACATCATCCACAAGACTATGGAAGTAGGCTTGACAGTACCTCTGGGAGCTCGCCCAAGTGTAGGCTCCGGGTTATGGCTGCAGGGTGGCATTGGACACTTGGCCAGGCTGCATGGGCTTGCATGCGACGCCCTCGTGGGTGCCGTAATGGTCAGCGTTGCCTCCGGCCACGTACTTTACGTCGGTCGCGTACCAAGCAAATATCGACCAGCCGGTGCCGTGCAGTCAGAAGTAGATAGTGATACGTTATGGGCTTTGAAAGGCGCGGGGACCAACTTTGGTATCGTTGTCAGCGTTGTCTTTGAAACTCATGCGGCCCGGACGTATTCCGTCCGAAACTGGAGTATCCCGCTGAAGGGCAATCATGAAGCGCGGCTCAAGCTTCAGGACTTTTATCAATGTACCAGAACTCTCGCTCGACACTGTTCCGCGGATGCGTATTTGTATTCGAATAACGCGCAGATACATCTTGGCGTGACGTTGATCGAATCTGCTACGACTCAAGTTCCTTCCCTATCGCATTCGCTCATAGGCTCAGCATTGGGACCGGAAGATAATCTCAAGACCGTTGATGGCGTCGGCCTATTCGAAACTGAGATGTACATTTCCGGTATGCACGGTGGACATAGTGGTGGCAAAACGTCCTCATTCAAGCGGTGTTTATTTTTAAAACGAATCGGGGCCGAGGACATCGCCGACGTCTTAGTAGCGGCCATAGAAACTCGTCCGTCCCCGCTCTGTTACATTCATCTGCTTCAAGGAGGTGGGGCGCTCAGCGATGTGGCCGACGATGCTACCGCTTTTGGCTGTCGAGACTGGGATTTCGCCTGCGTGATAACTGCTGTCTGGCCTCGTGATCAAGGCGTAAGTAAAGTTGCTCTGGGTGCCGTGCAATGGGTGTATAATGTCGCCCGGGACTTATTGCCCTTGAGCAGCGGAGCTTACGGTGCGGACCTCGGGCCAGATCCCAGAGACACGGCGCTGGCGGCCAAGGCTTTCGGACCGAACGGACCGCGCCTGGCCTGGCTCAAACAGAGCTTAGACCCGCGCAATGTGCTGGCTTACGCCTGTCCGCTCCCAAAACCGCCAATGAAACAGAAGCTAATTATTCTTATTACGGGAGAAAGCGGCGTTGGTAAAGACTACTGTGCTGATATTTGGGTCTCCGTGTTTACTAGATGTGCCCACAAACACTGCAAGACACGCAAGGCCAGCATCAGCGATGCCGCCAAGCGAGAATACGCAGCAGCTGTCGGCGCAGACTTGGATGCTCTGTTAAGGGATCGCGCTTACAAGGAACAACACAGACCAGCATTGACGGCATTCTTCAAGGAACAAATGCGCCAACAGCCTCGGCTGCCCGAGAAGCACTTCCTAGATATGGTGTCCGAGGCCGCAGATATGGATGTACTGGTAATCACTGGGATGAGAGATGAGGCGCCGACTGCAACCTTGTCGCATTTAGTTCCGAACAGCAGATTGCTTGACATTCGTGTCACAGCTAGTGAAAAGACGCGACAAGCTCGCCGGAAGTTCCAAGTCAATGACAATGATCGACATGACCATGAATGCAAGAATGACAATCGTGGCAGCAATGGTAGCAATTGCAAGTCGAATTCGACAACATTGGACTACAGCCACAGTCTCGTCTTTGACAATGAAGCAATGGGAGACGACGTGGTCAGAAGGTTTGCGGATAAGTACCTGCTTCCCCTCCTCCACAAGGACCTGGAGCGACTGGCTAGTATGGTGATCCCTGTGCCTGACTTCCCACGGCCAGGTATCGAGTTCCGACATGTGCTCAATATCGCCCAACGGCAGGGCGGGTTGGCTTTGTGCACTTCTCTGCTACGAACTCAGTTCAAAGGTGACTGGGGCAAAATCGGTGCGGTGGCCTGTTGCGAAGCGGGAGGCTTCGTGTATGCATCGGCGTTGGCGCAGCAAGTCGACGTCCCCTTGGCGCTAATCCGCGAAGCCGGCAAACTTCCCCCGCCCACCGTTTCTGTCAAAAAGCCTTCGTCACATATCTCCGGCTCAGAATCTAATGATTTAGAAGGGAAGAGAATTGAGATGAGTCAAGATCTGATTCCTAGGAGCGCATCGGTGGTTGTAATAGACGACGTACTTGCCACAGGAAAGACGCTTTGTGCAGTGCTTCAACTGTTAGCTGAGGCAGGCATTGGTAGTGAGAATATCAGCATCATGGTTGTAGCTGAATTTCCGATTCACTGCGGCCGGGAACTATTGTATCATCGTGGCTTTGGTGGTATCAGTATTCAAAGCCTTTTAGTTTTTGATGGGGTCTAACTAGCGAAAGAAACCCGGGATCTCGAGAGTGCAGAGCTTCTTCTGTTATTGGATGTCATCACCAACGGTAATTGATAGAGTAGTAGTTAGTAGTAGTAGTAGGAGGTGGAAGACTGAATCTGAGTGATTTAAATTCCATCTATCGACTGCCTCTGCGACCGAGAAAGACCGTATCAAAAGAGATCTTCGAGTTCCATAGTGGAAGTTGGCTATTTCCGACTCGCCGTGCCATACCACGGGCTGGTAAAGATCATTGGAAAGAAACCTAGAATTGAAATTATAGTAAAGAGGGTGGATAACGTACGGAAGCCAAAGTACGCGTCCACACGCGTGAGTGACGTACGCGGAGATCGTCGATCGAAATGGGACAAATCAGTCGCTAAGGTATGAATTATATGGAAATAAACCGGAGGTATACAAGCGTTTGAGAAGTGAACAGGGGTATGCGACAATTAGGAACAGAAGAGTAGGGAGTCTATTGGCAGCCTCTGCTACCTAACGTTGTATAGCTGGTGTTAGAGATCTATGCCTGCTGTGCAAATAAGTAGAAACCTCTCTGCTACACAACCATATTGATATAACTAGTATACTAATACTTAAGAAGATCTGAAGTAAATAAAAGGGCTAAGCTCTTCTATAGTAAGTATGTATGATTTAATGCTATACTCTTGAAAGAATAGTAGTAGTTGTAAGTTTAGGTGCTGTACGTATTTATTGTATTGCGTGCCTTACGTAATAAGTAACTTACCTTTAATTAGCTTACAAAACTCAACTTTACCCCTGTTAATTAAATTAACTTTACCTCCTGTAAGGTAGGGTAAGGAAATTAACTCTACTACAATTAATATAACAAATACTAGGAGGAACTTATTATCCCTTGCTCTTGTATACATCCCTGTACATTGTATATCAAATAGGTTAGTTGCCTACGGCTGTGTAATACTGCCCTGACTTACTAACTTAAGAAAAAGCTGGCTGGGTAAGCATCTCCGATATAGGTATAGTAGCCTTGGCAAATAACGGAGAAGATAGCGCTGAGGATGATTTAGTCGACCTCCAATTGTTTATAATATACGACGGCTATACCAGTGATTAGTCAGTAGAGACATCACTTACTCGTAAGAGTTGTATTATGTGCAGCATTTCAAGAGGGGAAGATATCCTAGTTGCTCAGAAATATAAAGCACAGTACACTTCTGACATATTTCTTAATAGTCTTAAGAAGAATGTTTAACGCAGTCTGACAGATGTCGCAGTTAAATAAGCGCTAGAAATAGGACATATGCAGTATGTAATAGTTATAATTCCCAAGGGATAACTAGTCCGTACTAGGTTTATGTTAGCAGATATGTAAGGTATAGGTACTAAGCGTTGCAAAGTATTACATCTCTTAATAGTAAATAGAGTAGGTTAAGTATATTTAAATAAAGAAGTTTTATTAATAGCTATTAAGCTAAGTATACTAACTAATGCTAAATAAATGTATATATACTTAGGTAATCCTAAGGGGAGTAATAATATAGTAGATTGTTATTAGTCCTAGAGTAATGTAGTCCTGGAGCATTGTTGGTCTATGTAAGAGTCGGTTCTCTAATAATTGGTTGGGTTGCTGTAGACTTGTGTAAGTGGGGAAATGAAAAATGTGGGGTACACGTGATGTAACCGCTTGGGTCGTAACACAGTACTATCATAGCATAGTTTAAGGTTTCAACCTGGACAAGTGATAACTGGCTGGTAAATCTTAGCACATTTGTATTAATAAAACACTTTTCCCACCTAAAGTCAAGACTTAAACTAATATCAAGCTAGAAAGTCTATTTACATACAGACTTCGTTAATGTAATGCAGCGTCATAGGTCACAGGGAACCCTTTACCCTTGATAATAACTGTTTTGCTTCTAAATAACCTCTTCTCGTAATAATAACAAGATTTTAGAGATTAGTATGGAGAATACAATAGACGCTAAGCTGGACACAGTTATCGAGATTGCTCTAGATAGCGACCTTATTTTAGTAGTTAGTTTAGAAGAGATAAAGCTCTGAATACTTGGTCATCAACTACTCTTCACTGCATCCGTCACCACCCAAATAGTTATAGTTGCCTGTCTTCTCGGGCGACTTCATTTTTGGTCTTGCGTGATCTAATCACGAACCCTGAACTGGTCAGTCAGTGTCAGAGAAAGATAGCAACCAGATATGTCTCACTCTGCCCTCGTGTCTATTGTCTTCCCTTGTTACTTTCATCCCCAAATCTCTCATCAAAGACTCTATGGAAGACGTCGGCGCTGTTCCTTTCAACTTGAAATGCGGTATACCTGGTCTCGATATTTTATTCCACATCCGCTCCATGTCATAGAGTATCCTTGCACTTCCATGCCCAACAAGGTACATGCAAGAACTTCGAAATTAAGCGCTTGGGAGTTGCATTCTGAAGTGGCACTCCACGTATCTCATCGGTCTTTTGAATTGACGTTTTTCCCAGTTGAACCACCTTTTCGAGTTCAGAGGGATTCGTGAGTAATGCAACCTCACCAGTTCTGAACTTCAAACTTGATCAGCAAAGGTTAGCATCTTGGCATTCATTTTGTTGACTAAGCGTAAACAAGGCAGAAAGTAAGGTGGAATTATCCTTTTTAAATACCTCTGTCAAGCAATTGCTCTTTTCCTTAAAAGACAGGTAAAGTCGCGTTGCTGCACAAACCAACGGTTTAGAACCTTCCAATCAACCTCCGGATCTGCCATCTCAACGTGGTATTTTCTTAACAACTGTGGCACAACCTTGTGAAGCTCCATAAGGCTGATGTGCTTTCCCACACAAGTACGTGATCCAGCCCCGAAGGTGAAGAAGCTAGTCTCCATCTTGGAGAGCAACTCGGAATCGGCAGTTAGCCAACGCTCAGGGATAAAAGACTCGGGATCCTTGTATACTTTGGGATCGTGTTGAAGAACCCAGGGGTTTATGCCGACAATCGTGCCACCGGGAATAAAACGCCCGCATATCTCGATCCCTTGAGGTGGAACGTGCCGCTCCATTATCAGACCAATTGAGGGATGGAGACGCATGGCCTCTTTAATCGCTGCTTTGGTATATATCAAGTGTGAAGTAGACTCTCTGTGTGAGATAATATCACTGAGTTTTCCGTTCTTGTCCGCGGTATCGATTTCCTCGATTACATTTACCATCTTGTCAGGGTTCTTAATAAGGAAGTAGAAGACTGCTCGTAAGGCGATGGCGGTAGTATCCGAGCCCGCGAACACATTGGCCGAAAGATGCACGATAGCATCTCGAGTACTCATCTTGAGTGGATCTTTATTCTTCACCGCAGCCCACCTTGACAAGAGGTCCTTTCCTCCTTCATCAGTGAGCTCCAGTTCGCCGTCTCGTTTCATAGGAGTACGTGAGTTGATGGCCTTCAAAGTGAAATTCAAGACTGCATTCCAGTTCTCCATAGAAGGTATCAAGTATGGAAAAATAGGGTTGCCCAACAAGAACGGGTGCATTTCAGGGACTTGTCCACAGATGGCTGAGTACGCGATGATGCCCTCGATCGTTGCAATCATACCATCAACATCGCTGCCCAAGGTCAAGAATCCAAGCTTCATTGCAAAGTTGACCTCCCCCACGACGTCGAACGCGTAGTACTGGAGCCACATGCCAAGATCGATCGGTTTGCCACTCACAGCCCACTCATCAAGGCGGGACATGAATAGCTCAGTACAAGAGTCGATAGCAGCCTCTGATTCCAGAAGATTTGTTAAACTGAATGCGCCTGCGACCTTCTTCTTCTGTTCCCGGTGATAAACGGGGTCGCGTGTAGAGAAGAGATTCATCTGCGGTTTCTTTTGCCAAGAAATGCTCTGGATAGGGTAGAACGCTGACTGGGCAAACAGGTTAGTCCAGGTCATACGGCTACGCTATTAACAGCTCACTCACTTTTGGAAAAGCCCCAGTCAATCCATATATTATCTTGATAGCTTGGGGGTCACCAACCGACACGACGTTGGGCGCTACTCGTACGAGTGGGCCATGCTTTAGGTGCAGTCGAATGGCCGTATAGTGAGATTGACCTTTGTAAACGTCGTAAAAACGCCAGAGCTTCGTCCACCTTGCAAGAGGCGGTCCAGGGATGCGTGAAAGGCCTGGACGAAATCGACCATGTACATAGCTCAGGATAAAGAGCCCTAAGGAGAGAATGAAAAAGTAGTGTTTGAAGAAGGCTATGGCCGTTACTACGGCTGAGAAGGGCTGCTCGGCCATTGGGTAAGGATTTGATATCGACCGTGTATGCTTTACGTTGAAAAGGAATAGGTCGCAGAAAGGAAACGGACGCCAGCGCCAGGATAAAGGAGCCATTTAAATAGGTAAACCCGTACCAGGGTTCAATCCGCAATACCTCGGCACGTAAAGATAACCATCCTGGACGATTTCCAAAGAGTTGCATAGTGGCACATGCAGTCAATTGCTGCTACATTAGCAGAAATGCACAGTATTACATGTTACAGGCAATATTACTATATAAGGATTCCTCCGGCTTACTTACATGAGAATATATAACTACTAGCTCTAACAAGGCATGTCAGCAGGACGTCAATAAGGAAAGGGAAAGGATTTGCATAGATTATAAGAGTTAGCCGCGGGAAGGGCGGGGTATGTAGGATTGCAGAAAGGCGCCAAGACTACAAAGCGGATGACTGCAGTAATAATCTTAAACCTGTAGATTAGCAGTTTAGCCGTATGTTTCACGCATTACGTATCTTCCGGAGGTAGATCTATACCAGATTAGGTATCTACTCGTAGGATACATAATAGCGATCCACTGACAACTGTTTAAAGAGAAATATCGGCTGGCAATGCCAAGTGATAGCTCCGGTGATGGTTCCTTCGTAGCCACAGCACTATAGACACACTGCTACAGCAATTAACACAGTTATGAGAAGGGAAAGCCAAGATCTCATCCTTTATTACAGGCGAAGTCGCTCCCATGCACCCAAGCCAAATAACACGAAGGCTGTGCCGGTTTTGATTATCGAACTTCAATAGTTGATTTGATGGCGACGAGCCCATACTATTTGCGTTTGCCTTGATAACAGATTCCGTACTTTGCTACGCTTCCTTAAAGTAATTGCATATGTGCTAAAGTTGCGTTCCTTATCTCTTTCCTTTAAAGTCTCTTCCATTCCATATATCGCTCTTTCCCGCTTGGGCCTCCTCTCATCATCATGTCGAATTCCTCCTTGGCTCCTTTCTGCTTAGGTTCAAGTTTGAGTCGGTAAGGCCACTTTTCGACAACAGTATGCTTTTCTTTCACTTGTACACCCACATACTCAGGAAAGTCGGAAAATCTATATTCCTCGGCAACTCTTTCATCATTGTCAGCATCTTTCAATCAAGACAGTTTATGGAATTCGAAGGGTACGCACCTTTCAAATATGGAGTCATAGGCGGTTACGGAATCACGGGCAAACGAGAACATGATAAAACCCGGGTCATAGCGACTGGTTGGGCTGTGATCAGGCGGAAGAAACTGGAGCAATCGTTCTGTTGAGGGGCTCCCAAGTTTTGCTTCCGCCATCCGATCTTGGTTGGTCAGATTTTCGTCCACAACATTCATGAATAAGGTAACGAGGGTTGCGTGACTGTTGACAGAGGGGAACCGAAGCAATGGCGACATAATGCCGACGGTTCTGTGGATCCCGAGATATCCCGCGTCTGAGATGTTGGACACATGTTTCAAGTTAGTATGGTTGGTTTCCAATGACGGACGGTATGACTTCGTAGCTGTAGGAGTCACAAACCTCTATGCTATCGAAAGAGTTTTCATTGAGATGACTAGGCAGATCAGATGCGTCGACTTGAAGAAGTTCAAGCGCTACAGTTCTGCTAGACATACTGCTTAGGAATGCCTCCAGCACACCTCTCATGTAGTAATACATCTTTCCGTAGATGTCTGACGTCGCTAGTCCAGTAGAGGTTGCCTCAATGTCTTTTGCGGACCAGCCGTTGAGAGGATCAGCGTTATCATACATCGGCCATTTGTCAGCAGTCTGGAAGAATGTCCTTTCTTTTTAAGTTCTGTATACCACGCTTACCCGCTGGTGATTTGAGAACTTACGGGTTTGGGTGTTGGAATCCACTGCGAGAAGCCCCAAATGGGAGCAACAGTCCGTCTTGTCGAAATCGATATCTGGCAACACGATGGGAAGAGGAAAGGAAAAGAAACGATCGGTCGCGATAATCCACTCGAGAATCTGCCAATGTAACGGCTGTTCGTAAGAGGTTCGCTTTCTCAACCGTTAACCCGCTAGGGATCTCAAGAAAGGTTAACAGTCTCTCCCACGCTACCTTCTCAAGAACAAGTCGGAAAGAGGACTGTCCAAACTTCCAACTTTTTCCTAAAATGGTGTTGGTCGGCTTATCTTTGATCTTGCGACACAAATCTTCAATAAGAGGTCGGACTCGTAGATTGAGTAATTTAATGTCAGACTCTCGAATCAAAGCCAAGTACCAAACGTGGACCATGCAATCAATTGTGTCATCGTGTTCTTCAGCCGTGAGCGCTACGAGGAGTATCACGACGTTACGTGCCACAATATCATGATCGCGGCCGTTCATGGTGATACTGATTGGTTGCTTGTAGCTTGGAGGTAGATGAGCCATGGTTACGAGAAGGTTTCGCAAGTCTCCTGACGCTGTGGCGGGAAGCATGATGTCAGTACCTTAAAATAAGAAGCTCCATTCGTCGAGTAGATAGCTGCAAACAACAGCCTGAGTTGGCCTCGATAGCTATCTCCTTCATTGGAGCCGAGTTTGAGAACATCAAGAGCCGGTACATTCCCCCACAAGAACTTCTTGGTCCCGAAGGAAACGCCTATACCTCCCCCAATGAATGCAGGAGTTCTGTCTTGAACGACCCAGTCGGGCGTCCAAGTCGACTTGTTGAGGGCTGAGTTGCAGTGAACTTTGTGAGTAGGCCAGTGAGCCTTTTGGCAGTCGGGACCACAATACTGCGATGCCAAGTACGTCAGCAATGTCCAAGGATGTCACAGGTTTCCACCACGTACAACGACGAGCCGACACTTCTTGCGGCTGGACCTGCCTGGATTGGGACAGTTGGTTCCATCAGCGTTACAGTTGGCACAGGGCAGTGATGAAGTAGTCATCGTGAATCTCTGCTGGTAGCTGGTGATCAGAATTTGATACTGAGAGAATTTGTAAAGTTGAGAAAGTTGGATGTTTGGAGGTAGCTCCCCATTTTATGTATGTGCTGGACTTTCCTTGCGCGACCGACCCCAATTAGCATGTGGTGGGCCTCCCTGTTGGGTTATCGATCAGATGACATGTTGCAGCTTTCAGCGCTCCCACTTCTCTCTTTCCTCTCAAGGCGGCCAATGATAGCTTCCTTACTACCACCCACTCCATTCGTCTGTTGGGCGCAAGACTCTATGAGCACGAACTAGCTGATACATGATGATGAAAAGCCAACGGTCTGCTTCCAAGTAAAGCTGGCAGGATATATGATAAGGGTGGTAGAAAGTGGCCTGCTTTTGCTTGGAGGAGACGTAGTGCATTTACGCCTGGTGATCGTGATGTCTCCGTCGCTGGCAATAAGAACGCGATTTACAAATGCCATGTTATGCTCGCTTGCGGTATTGTGCCGCGAATTTTCCTAGGTGTCCGGATATTTCTAGAGTAACTAATCTAGACATTGCCATCTCATTTCTGAAGTACTACAAAGATATTGTGAGCTACTCTGGAAATTTGTAAGCATGCTCAAAGTTGACAGGGGCTGGCAAGCCAGGCAGCCAAGACAAGTGGGAAATCAGCAAAAACAAGCGCTTACCACTCAGCGAATCATGTCAAACTTTCGCTTCCTACTAAGCCCAAACAGTCACTTTAGGCGCTGCAATAAAACAGAGCATAAATCAAATAGATGGAGATTTTCTAAATCCATTACTATTCGACAGAGTTACTAGCGGTGTGTGGAGATACAGCCGGAAATAACAGACGGCCGGCTCTAGCCCAACTCCCCTGCGGTCAGCCTTGCTCAGCGATGCTTGTGCGCAGCTTACGTAGTGTTAAAAGCAACGGGTTTCTACACCCTATATCTAGAACAGTCTGGCTCTTCAAATCCTCGTTTCCATGCTCGATCGCTTGCAACCTAGCCGATGGTTGCAAAGGTGCAAAAGACAGCAGAACTGAACGTTGAATACTGAATCCTGCATCGTACTCTTTAAAATATCATGCCAAAACAAACGCGACTTTGCTTCCTACCTTCGGGAGAGCTTACCTACAGCTCAGAAGATCCTTTGCCAGACTATCCTCTGCTGAGCCACGCGCCATTCTGGCCAAAACTTTGTCATAATGATAGCTCAATTCTCAATGCTCCCAAGCTAAACTCAAAGTCACATCTGCTACGTCTCCCAGACGAGGTCTTACAGCCGATCCTACAGGACGCTGTTAGAGAGCCCGTAGAGTTCTCGCTTGAACAGCAAGCATATTGGAGTTTTTACTTTGACAAATTTGACTATGACGACGATGACGATCTGGTCATGTCTGAGCCAGCGAGGGGCTGGGTTCGGTATGCAGCTATTTACAGGCTCATCTGGGTCTGTAAACGATTTCATACCCTGTTACTGCCTTTGATGTATGAAAATGTGTCACTGGATGTTACGACCCAGTTCTTCCATTGTCCACCCCAGGAAAAGCTCTTTCGCGATGAGATCTTGCGACGCCCCCTCCTGCAAAACTATATCAAGCACCTAGCAGTATATAACCAGTCACTCCAAAGCCCTATCGTCCAGTTGGCCTGTGCATTTCCGAACATCAACAAACTCTCTTTGAAGCGCGTACGGAATGAGAGCGAGATTGACTTATCCTCAATAGGACCAGCCGAGGTAAGTGCTACATGCTCACCAAGGGATATAGGCAGATCTGACAGACGATCGACAGGAACAATTAAGAACAGCGAGCTTTACCCATATTCAATTTTATGACTTGCATATGCGACCAGAAGCCGTAAAAAGATTTCTCGAATGGCCCAAGGAACTTCACGGATTTGTCGTTAATGACATGACCTCCGACGGATCTAGCTGGGCTTATACTGAACCCGATCCTGCTTATCGCTGGAACCACGCGCTCTTAGTTGATGTTTTATCCCCACAGAAAGATCATCTCAGGTCCCTCGACGTTGGGTGGCTGGGGTATGACCACGACCAAAACACCTTTCAAGTCTCTGCGTTTCCTAATCTACGAAGTATGGCCTTGACCGTGGCCTACGAGCGTCCCAACGAGGAAGCTTGTCGTAACTGGCTGACACCCTCCTTGAACACTCTGATCCTCGATTTACACAGGAACGATTCTCAGTGCGGCCCTTCAAGCCACAATTGCATGCGTAAGCGTGGCGCCGAGTCCATCGGTTCATTTGTGAGGATGGCACGAGAATGGTTAGAAAAAGATGGCAGTGTAGTAGGGCTGAGGAGAATCGGTATACGCGCATACAGCAGAGGAGATGATGCGTGGCGGGATGAGGAAGAAGGGTACTGTAGGCACGATGATTATGATCTGGAAATGTGGACGAACCTTATTCAATGTCTTAAGGAAATTGAAACACAAGGCTTTGAAGCATTCTGGGTAGGCTATAGCGGGCAACAACATACTGTTGAGATGATGGAAGCTATGTGCAAATGTCAAAAGAAGCGTAAAAGGAGGTGAAAGTCAAGCTGATCAAGAAAGAAACCCACCTAAGCTTTTCAAGAGGTCTTTTCAAATATTCCAAAATGGTCCTATCACATATAAATTGAACACACAAATCACCTGGTAAACTCCTCAGGACGGTTCAAACCTACGACGTTTTGGCTTTCACTCCTTCGACGAACGGTACCTATTCAAGAATCGTGACCAAGAATCTCGAAGGGTTTCTGAAATGAACCCCCCAGAAAAAGCCAACGAAGCGACATCTGCATCTGAGCTTGTCTCGGAAGTCCGGAGTGTCGCTGGCTTTGTTGAAGATCAGCCTTATAGCTGCCATCTGGGTAGCTGAGTGTGGGGACCCGATGATTATTAACGTCACACTATGTGTGTTGGGTGTACATACCCTGTTAGCCTGCAGCTGGAAGTGCTACTACCTCAGCTGTGGCCTATCGGCCTTTTGCTTATGGCCTCTCATCTCTAATCTTTATTCCTTTCCGGGTTCAGACCAAAGCCACTTCTAGTATTATCTAGTGTGCGAATTAACTTCGATTGATGCAATTATTTAACGTCATAGCCGCGCCCGCTATGTTATGTGAGATTTGAAGCACGGGACGGACAGCGCAATGGACTAGCAGTCCGCTGAGGGGCTCACATACTGTACACGTAGCAAATATCAAGCGATATGAGCTGAAATGCTGGAATACCGTACGTGCAAGTGTTCGCGGCGATGCCAATCTAGCTACGACTACCAAGTACCGGCTTCTGACGACAGTATATAAGTACAAAGAGGCTACAAGGACTTAGTTGAACAACAAACCGTACATCTCACTCAAAATGCGCAAAGCTGAGACATGATTACCTAGTTTGAGTGAGGGGTTTCTCGTTCTGACAATGTCACCAATAGAAAACGCCCGAAATCTGAGCTGGAAATTGGTTGCCCTGCACGTGGTCATTCTATTGTCACATTCGGAAGCGCTTTAATCCTATGCTGAGACACTTTATACTGGATTGAGCCATGCCCAGTCTGGTCGCTTTTGTTCGTAGGAACGAATTATCTTTGTAGTACAACGTGGCGTAAATTATAAATCTGTAACCCTTGCATATACCAGTTGTTTCTTGACGAATCCTGTTTTACTATCATCGTAGTCTTTGATCAAGGTATATTACTACTACATACGTCAGAATCAAACATTTACAGCCAGCTACGATTGATACAATACTGCATAAAGTCAATACCTTAGTATTTGAAGAACTGCGGTCAGGTTGCGCGCTCAGTGTCAATAGAAACAGCGGTCAAGATCATGCCGTCGACAGTCTTGCTACGCCTATAAGTGTATAAATAAAAACTTGCGCTCCCCATATCAATAACGTTCTGCCTTGAACACTGACCATACAGTCCTGCTACTTCGTGACATCTACCACCTGACAGCGCCATGCAACTCAAAGTACTTCTTGCTCTTGTGTCTGCAGCTGCAGCTGCAACTTTATGTATACCTTTGTGCGAGAGTTCAATGTTTAGCTGATGAATTCAAGATGAACGCAACGGACATGCTCGGGCTGATTGCTATTGGGATAACAGAGCTCCCTACTGCTAGGGAGAATGTGAAAATGGATACGAGGAAATGGATCGTAGTCAATGTGGGGATGGGGTCTGCTGTTGGACTGGGTTGAAGGTTTATTGCTGTTAGAGCTCAGAGGACGCTTATCTACGATCTTGATTATAATGTCATGTGTACTTATCTTCCACCCAATACAATACTTGTCTATAAGTCCCGGTGGGAATATTTTGCTTTAAAATTAAAGGAATATAAACTTAGATAATTATTGTCTATCGGAGGTCACGAGCTCTCCCCAGTTAGGTTTCTTTAAAACGATGTTTAATAAGATATTATATACACGATAGAAAGTTAATATACAGTGGACTTGCGCTAAGATAACGAGATGTGACGCCAGATTCTACGACGTATGCTGGAATAACTTGACGTTAGTGTGCTGTGTTGAAGTGCTGAGGTTGGTAACAACCAATGTTCAGTGTTATCACCTCTGTCCAAGCGAAAACTGATGATATTGGTGGGTTAGATATTCAGGCGCCACAAAAGAATGCACGGAGGATCACCTCCGGCGCCACGAAAAACGTTAAATTGACGGTGCTGTGCCACACTTATTCCTGAAACGGTGACCCCGCTGTCGTCGCCATGGAGAATGCCAAGACTCACCAGTCAGGTGAGTCCGTTGACCGCTTACTAACAAGAGACAAGCAAACTCACCCTGCAGCATATGTTCAAAGAAATAAATGTCCTTCCAGAATTTACTTTAAATCAAAACGCTCACCTACTTCTGATAATGTTACAATAAGAAAGCATAGTGTTTTAATTAGCGTTTTATCAATCGTAGTAAGCAAATGGTCATACAAGTTTTCAGATACTTTAAATGCTACCGGTTGCCTCCGGTAATTTTACCCAGACGATAAACGGACATATTCAAAGCATGCGGATGACTCTCACTTGGCACAAGCATGACACAACCCACTTATGAACTCCAGCTTGGGTTACCTATTTCTAGGTGAAACGAACATGTGAATTACTCAAGCTCATCATGGAGTGAATGGTCTACAATTGACGGCAAACAAATAAAGCGCTGTCGATATCGGATTGCTTAGGCATATAACAAAAGTACTCTACCCTGGGATAATACGGTAATACGTCAAGGGCCACTGTGTTGCTTTATCACGTACAGCTTCCAGAAACTGTGTTTTAAAAAGCAAGTCAAAGCGCATCCAGGATCATAGCGTCCGTCAGTCCATGCTTCGAAGTCAATTTATTGCTGTTGACGTCTCGTTTAAATTAGATGATGCATAACAATCCCGCCCTTCACTTTAATGTCTGTTTCTACTTGATCCTTAGCAACAGAGCCAAGCCATTTGAGCGACCAAACCCAGACTCTTGTCCAATAAGCGTTGGTAGGAGCGTCTGGGAAATAGAGCACATGAAACGTTCAACAACGCTAATACGAACCTGGATCAAAACAGCCAATCAACCCCAGGATCCAGGACAGGGTACACACTGAGACAACCTTAATGTTAATGTACATGATACCGTTATTGAGCGACGGAGAAACGTGCCGCGAATGGTCATCTATCAGATACATTGTTCCATGACCAGAAGACCACTAAACGAAAACTGCTTCGCGGGCAAACAGCCTCCGAGGGATGCCGAAAGGAGACTGCCAATTGCGGGCGAGTAGCTTCCGAGGATCCACCAACAGTGCAACTGTCGCCTTCAGGGGTTTCCAACAATTAAAGTTAAAAAAGAGTTTATTGATATAAAGTTACAGAGATTCTACCTACCGTTTTCCAATCATTAACTGGGAATTTATCATCATGGTTTCCTATCGCTCGTTATGGCTTCTGGCCATAGCGCCTCGTGAGTCAGAACATATTCCGCTTTGACAGTCCACAAAGTGCTAATCTTGACAAGTCACCCAGTTTGTATCTGCCCAGCAAGCAACACCTGCACCTTACACCGATTCCAACACTGGGATCGTGTTCGACACATGGAAGGCACCTAGCATGACCTTTGGTTTCAGCTTCCCCGAAGATGGACAGACCACCGACGCCGATGAGTTCATTGGATACCTCGTAAGGCAATACACAAGATTGATAGCTCTCCATTTTGACCATTTGAACAGAATTGCGCTACTCCAAAAGGGAAGGGCACTGGATGGTGCGGTCTCTCCTACGGCGGACCCATGACAAACTCACTCTTGCTCTTTGCCTACCCTCACGATGGCGAAATCCTCACTGCCTTCCAATGGGCTACTGCCCAAGTCGAGCCTGTCCCATACAAGGGCGACGCTGTTCTGACCCAAATATCTTCCAGCATCACCGATGATGGCTTTACTCTGATCTATCGCTGCCAGGGATGCACTTCCTGGTCACAAGACGGAAGCACGGGTCAATTGGCGACCACGTCTCCGATCGCAGTACTCGGTTGGGCTCATAGCACCACGGATGTGATCAACCCGGAATGCCCAATTGAGGCCCGGATGCTCCAACACGACACTCAGAGCATCTTTGGTGGCGAGCTTACTAGCAACAGTTTCAATGATGATTATGAGAAGTGGGCTAAGCTTGCTACTAAGGTAGTCGAGGGTGAATGCGACGGTGGTGGGAAGCCCACTTCAACCGCCACCAGTGAGCCTACCGTGACCGCTGCACCACCCACCGGAAGCCCCGTCCCAAGCGAGACATATGATTACGTTGTAGTCGGCGGTGGCGCTGGCGGTCTCCCCATCGCCGACCGTCTCAGCGAGGCTGGCAAGAAGGTCCTTTTAATCGAGAAGGGGCCTCCATCCTCTGGTCGCTGGGGCGGTACCCGGAAGCCAGACTGGCTGAAAGACACCGACCTGACTCGCTTCGATGTTCCCGGCCTATGCAACCAGATCTGGGCCGACTCCTCCGGTATTGCCTGCCCTGACACTGATCAAATGGCTGGTTGTGTTCTGGGGGGAGGCACGGCTATCAACGCTGGTCTGTGGTGGCGTCCCAATCCACAAGACTGGGACTTCAATTTCCCCGATGGTTGGAAGGCAAAAGACATGGCCAAGTACGAGCAGCGTGTCTTTGGTCGCATTCCTGGTACACGTTTCCCTTCGAAGGATGGCAAGCTATACCTCGACCAGGGTTTCAACGTCGTCGCTGGAGCACTCAAGAAGGCTGGTTGGAATGAAGTGAACGCTCTTGAGAAGCCGGCCGCCAAGAATCGGACTTATACCCACCCGCCTTTCATGTTTTCCGGAGGTGAACGTGGAGGCCCAATGGCGACATATCTGGTCTCCGCCAACGCGCGAAACAATTTCAAACACTGGACCAATACCCAGGTAAGACGCCTCGTTCGCTCTGGGGGTCACGTTACCGGTCTTGAGGTCGAGCCATTCGCTGGCGCTGGTTATGTCGGTACCGTCAAGCTCACTCCCGAGACTGGTCGTGTCGTCCTTGCGGCGGGTACCTTTGGTAGTGCTAAGATTCTGCTTCGCAGTAAGTGTCATCCCATTGTATGCTGTCGACTTCCATGATTCTAATCATGTTTTATAGGTGGTATTGGTCCAGAAGACCAGCTCAATGTCGTCGCCAAGTCTAGTCTCGATGGTGGCTCCATGATCGATAAAGACCAGTGGATTGACCTTCCTGTTGGTCACAACCTTGAGGACCATACCAACGTAAGTGCATTCAACATAATCACCTGACCATGGACCTAACTGTATGGTAGACCGATACAGTCATCAAGCACCCCAGCGTTGAATTCTATGACTTCTACGAAGCCTATAATGATCCCATTGCCGCTGATAAGAATAAGTACCTGGGTCAGTATACACGATCTTCTGCAACGCAGCAATGAAGACTAATCTGGAGGTAGATGGGCGCTCTGGCATCCTTGCCCAGGCTGCCCCCAACATCGGCCCAGTCATGTTCGATGAGATCTATGGTGCTGATGGTCGCGTCCGATCTATGCAGTGGACTGCTCGCGTCGAGCCAAGCCTGGGTGAGACTAGCAACAGTAAGTACCACTTGACAGTTGATGCAACGGATCAAATTATTCCTAACTCGCGAGTCAGAGTCCATCACCATTAGCCAGTACCTGGGCCGAGGTGCCAAGTCACGCGGTCGCATGACTATCACCAGTGCTCTCAACACCGTTGTCTCTGGTAACCCCTACCTCAATGATGCAGATGACAAGAAGGCTGTTGTGACTGCGCTTGACAACCTTCGTAAAGCTCTTTCCGGAGTGCAGGGTCTAGAGTGGCTCCAACCAGCTCCTGGTGTCACCTCACAGAAATACGTCGATGATGTAAGTGGTTCATGAATCTTTTATATGGTTCAAGGGTTGGTCTAATAGTACGTACAGATGGTCGTCTCGTGGAGCAACCGCCGTGCCAATCACTGGATCGGAACCAATAAGCTCGGCAAGGATGACGGTCGTCAAGGCGGTACTGCCGTCGTTGATCTTAACACCAAGGTCTACGGCACTGACAACCTTTTCATCAGTGACGCTTCGATCTTCCCGGGCATGGTCACCGCTAACCCCAGTGCCTACATTGTCACTGTCGCCGAAAGGGCCAGTGACGCTATCCTGGCCCTACCAGTATCCAAGGCACAGGGGCAGTACGAGCAATGTGGTGGCAGTAAGTGGACTGGAAATATGCAGTGTAGCAAGGGCTTCTACTGCAAGACGCTGAACCCGTTCTACTCTCAATGCTACCCTGATTCCAAATGACAAGGTTGATATAGACTTGCTTGTATCAAGCAAATTACTTCATGTATATACTTCCATTACAGCTCTAGCAACTTGGTAGACAACGGCAAACGCTTAGCTGTAGTTACCATTTGAACATTTTCAATGCCTCTGTGGCATATACACTATAATGCATGTGGTTGTCTTAATAGCTTCAGAGCGCGCATCTATTCTGGCTGTTGAGGTATAAAGCAAGGAGGGTGTAACTGACTAAATACTAAGTTTATCATCCGTAAACATTCTATTTAAGGTTTTTGAAGGTCAGTTATCACATCATATCATATACCGAAAGGCGCTCTAAGCAGTTTATCTTCGCCTTCGGCTGCTTTTTAAGCCCCTTGTTCATCGCCGCGTCATGTGACGAATGTATTTCGAATTCCTCCAAGTTCATAATCAACATTAGCAAGAGAATGAAGATCGTTGGCATGATACGACATGCGAAATACCGATCGCGCATTCCTTCCCCGTTCTTGGAGTTGCATCTGTTACCACACTGCCGTTCCTGCTCCTAAAGTCGACGCCTTCGCCATGAAAACACTGAACTGAGTGATCATGTCGCCCTCTAGCATCACCCTGGGCAGTCCGTAGTCTCTTCAACGGATCTCCAAAATTTATATGCGGACCTGGTGTTCCTGGAAGACCATATCATGCCGTGAAGGGTAAGCCCGCTCCGGACATCGATGCTCTGGAAGGAAATGTTGTGATTAATTCAGGTAGAGGTATTTTGGCACCCATATTGTCAATCCAGCACATCTCGCTAATGATGCGTAAGTGTAGCATGGTCCACGTCTTCAGGCACATTCGCTATGTAGTTATAGTCATCCAGGATCACGACGTAAGCAACGAATGCCTGGACATAATGTGTATCGGGACAGATGGCAACTAGCTGTGCACGATACAAGTTGTGGATAGACTAATTATAAGGATACAGATTGCGGGGCATCTCATCACCAGATGTGTATAAGTAGAAAAGCCAAAGCAGATGAGGATAATGTAAGCTAGGACCTATGTAGATAGCGATGCATCAATTTAGCGATTACTGAACTGCGTATCCTTGTTGTTTGGGACATCTGGATAAACTTAAAACTGCTGCTGTGGAATGGTGTGGCATGATTGGAATGACGGCTTAGTGGCTGGACTAACCCCAACATTGGCATTCCTACTTACTGCGCATGCTTTCGCAAGGACCATAACTAAAGAGGGAAACGAGCCTATAACGCTTTGCACGTAGGTTGCGTGGATCTCCTCCGTCAATGGAACAACCAAGTCCCCAACACCCTGTCCTTCGCTGTCTTCCTCTAGTGGCGAAGAGCTCGCGTGTTCCCGTTTCCCCGTTTTAGGCATTGAGAGCCATTCAAAGCCTTGCTTTAAAGGAAAGTCATTTTCACAAAACATTTGCTGTTGGAGGCTTTCTTACCCAGGAGGGAAAGATGGCCATAGCGGCGCTTGGGGCGCGGGATGTGCGTTGCGAACGAGCTGGAGCTGACTGTTGATTATATAGGCAAATCACGAACAATTGACTTTGAAAAATGGGCGTCCAAAAGTAAATTCTCTGAGGGACTACACTGTACATAGCGCACAACTCAATACCGCAAGACAGCTCGTTCCTGGGGTTCTCGACTGGGCAGATTGACATCACCGTATGCAAGTCATCCTCCCCTCTGGCTTCGCGTAATTACATGACTTTCAGTTCGCTTATCCAGGTCAAACGCCATACGACTCCAGTTACTCTGTTTCGTTGGCATTTTGAGGAACGCGAAACAAAGTCGCGAAACCTCAGAATTGCATTTTAATGGTGGAGATATAGCATAGCTAGTTAATGAATCTTAATTTAGCTACCCGTAGAAGGTAGTAAGGAAAGGAGATGTTAGGAGAGAGAAAGTAAGAGACCAACAGAATTAACCGCCACGTCCAAATGCAGGATAAGTAGGTGTACTAGAGTCACAAGCAAATCTAACAAAGTATCTGCTCGATGACCCAGAGTTGTTAACGATTACAGTCCCGTCCGGAGCTGTAACCGTAATTACCATAGCATAATCTCCCTGAGCATTAGCCCAGAAAACTCGGAACGGCGTGTAAGTACCCGCTGTCAATTGAATCTTAAGGGTCTTAGAGCTGGAAGGCCCGTATGAATAACCCTGCTCCAGATCTGCATTGGCACGTGTCCATGTTGATAAGGCCTTATTACCGTACCAAACCAGTGTAATCTCATCTGAATAGGGGACAACAACAGAATAAGTACCAGTAATAGGCGCATATAAGAATGCGCGATGGTTCACAGCCTTGTACTGCCACGTCTGACTCGGTGAGCCAGGATAGATAGCCTGAGCGGGGCCGGAGTTCCCTCCTGTCACTCCTCCTGGTTCTAAGATGCCCATAGAGGTAGTAATACCAGTGTACGTCGGTGAAGCGGTGGCAAAATATCCGACGTTGAGGGAAGAGTAATTGGGCGCATCAGCGTTCGTGTACGAGTTGGTATAGATAGCGTATTCCAGACCAGCGTTGCCACATGTTTGATCTGCAGCCTTGGTTCCAACTGCGGGAGCGATGACAACTACAGTGCCAGTCTGCCCAGCGACAGCAGGTGTACCGGTGGATGTGCTGATGCTTGAGACAGTGGTATAGCTAGTTACAGTGGTATATGGTTGGGGTTTTTGCACAACCACTGTAGCAACGCCACCCGGAGAAGCTGGCGACCAGGTGGTAGTACCAACTGTTGCGAAAGTACCCCAGCTTGTGGTAGTTGTGTAGGACTGAGGCAAGTCCACGATGACAGTGGCTACTCCACCTTGGTACGCTGGTGCCATTGTAGTAGTTGATGCTGCTGCAAATTGACCATAACTGGTTACAGTTGTGTATGGCTGAGGCGATTGTACCACAACAGTGGCTACACCACCCTGTGAAGCTGGTGCCATGGTAGTGGTTGCTACCGCTGTAAACGGACCATAACTGGTAACAGTCGTGTATGCCTGAGGCCTTTGCACAAGAACAGTGACCGGATCTCCAGGATTAGCAGGCTGGTTCGTCGTAGTCATAGGAGCAGGTAAGCCTTGAACATAACTCGTGACAGTTAAATAAGACTGAGGGCTCTTTATAGGAACTGTGGCAGGGTCCCCAGGGCTAGCCGGTTGGTTTGTTGTAGTCAAAGGTGCGGTCAGACTGTCGGCATATGTCGTGGTAGTTGTATAAGGCTGAGGAAGGCTAAGGACTACAGTCATCACATCGCCTGGATTGGTTGCTGGTAAGGTCGTAGATGCCGGGCCTGTGAGACCTGCAATGTAGCTTGTGACTGTTGTGTAAGACTGAGGTAAATCAATCTCAACAGTAGCAAACTGTCCTTGCACAACTACTGGGTATGTTGTAGTCTCAGCCGCAGTCAGACCATCTCTGTAGCTCGTAACGGTTGTAAAACGTTGCGGAAGATCAACTTCTACAGTGCCTGTCATCCCTGCCTCGGAGGGCGGATATGTTTTGGTGGTGGCTGCGGTGAAAGCGCCATAGCTAGTGACTGTAGTGTAGGGCTGAGGGAGATCAACCACGACGGTACGAGTTGGGCTGGGCCCGTCACCGCCTTCAGTCGTTGTAGCGGCAGCCGTGACGCTTCCATATCGGGTGACGGTCACATAAAACTGTGGATCAAAGATAACGACAGTACCCGTTTGCCCTGGAGTAGATGGTGCTATAGTGGTTGTAGATTCAGCCGTGACGTCGTCTCCATACGAAGTAATAGTCGTATACGCCTGTCGCATCAAGACCAAAACAATGCCTGTCTGGCCAGGAGCAGGAGGAGGCGAGGTGTGTGTGGTATCGGTTGAGACAGCTGCGTACGACGTAATAGTTGTATATGGCTGCGATTTGAAGACAACCACGATCCCTGTCGCCCCTGGAGTGGACGGAGCTATAGTTGTTGTCGATTCAGCTGTAGTACCTCCGTAAGAAGTAATGGTTGTATATGGCTGTGGATTGAAGATGATTACAGTGCCAGTTTGACCCGGATTAGATGGTGATATCGTAGATGTCGATGCAGCTGTAAATTCTCCAAAGGAAGTGAAGGTTGTCCACCGATTAGCCTGATACACAATAACACTGCCTGTTTCATCTGGAGCAGTTGCAGATATAGTGGATGTAGAGTCAGATGTAAACTCTCCATAAGATGTAACGGTGGCCCACTTATAAGGTTGGTATACAATAACACTGATTGTCTGTGCATCAGGAGGCGGTGGCATAGTGGTCGTGAATGCGGCTGTGATGCTTGAATCGTAAGAGGTGACTACTTGCCGCTGGTATGGCTGATAGATAACAACCTTGCCTGTTGCGCCTGGAGCAGTTGGAGATATAGTGTTTGTTGACGCTGCCGTGACAGTTGCATAGGAAGTCACTGTGATCCATGGATCAGGCTGATATACCACAACGGTACCTGTTTGGTCAGGGGACGCTGGGGAAATAGTTTTTGTAGATGCGGGTGTGATTGTTTGGTCATATGAGCTGACTGTCACCCATTTATATGCCATAACCATGACTACCGTTCCTACATGACCAGACGCCGAAGGCCACATGGTCGTTATATGGTCAGACGAAGCGGCATCGTCATAAGAGGTGGTGGTCACCCAATCATACGGATCATAGACAACAACAGTACCGGTTCCTCCTGGGGCACTAGGAGTCAATTTGCTCGTGGCTGCAGCTGTAATCGAGCTATCATAGGATGTCACGGTTGTGTATTGAGCCAATGGGCTTGGTACAACAATTACCACCGTACCAGGGCCAGATCCTGACGGGGCCTCCGTGGTTGTGTAAGTACTGGCGTCGGTGCCGGTGCTTGTGACGGTGGTATACTCAATCGGGGAGTCTGAGCTCATTTGAGACCTGGCGGCCATGACCCAAACTGTTCCTGTCTCGCCGGGTCTAGTTGGAGATTGAGTGGTGGTCATGGGATCAGTACCAGTTCCTTGCGAGGTTATTGTAGTCCACGGCACTCCAGGATCTGAAGACGTTGTAGAGTCGCCCTGGGAAGACTGCATGTTGCTAACAGCGGTGCTATCTGTACCTTGCCCAGGCGCTGTGGGATCTGAAGATACCGCAGAGGCACCTTGAGAAATGGGAGAACTGTCTGCCCCGGATGGAGCAGAGCTTTGCGCATCAGGAGGAGATAAAGCCGAGATCGGAGCCTGGGAAGAAGGAGCGTTGGGATCACCCTTCTTGTAACCTTGCATTCTGACGATCACGGTTACTATATCACACGGATTCTCGGTCGGCAGAGTGGTTGTCTCGGGCGCAGATATTACACGGTCGGTCGACGATAGTATAGTCACATGGCTCTCCACCATTACAGTGCCGCATGATGGCCACTGAGAATCGAGGGGAATGTTGTATGTAGTGTTTGGTTCACCATGCCCATAAACGGGAGTATTGGCCGTGTAGGTAGCATCAGTTCGGATGAGAAATGTACTGAGCCTCTTAGCTAAAGAGAGCCGGTCGGAAGTCCGTACGTCCCATACCTGGTTAAAGTATCATACAATGTAGACGATCCGACGATGATCTCAATGGGCTGTGTCTGAATGGCGCGCTTGCCTACCAAAGTTGCATCGGATACTGTGCCTAGGACCAGAGCCCAGAAGCCCACTATGCGACGAAGCGCCATGATAAAGGAGTGTAGAGGAAAATAGGGTTATCAACTGGCTGAATAATGAGAGAAATGAATAAATATTTTGTTGAATAAACACAATGACTGGGGAAGGGATGGGAGAAGGAGATACATAAGAGGCCACAGAGTAACTGAAAGTGCCAGAGTGATTTGAGAAAGCAAGCTTGATATCTGGCTTTCATCATGAGGCACTATGGGCAGGACTTATTTTGTTTTAGCTCATGCGCCTCCAATCAATGCGGTCGACTGTAGAAATGGGTGGCATTGTCAGGGGACTGTTCAGTGCGTTTACGGTGCTTACGAAAAGATTCGAGACCGTGTGCAGTGTCCGACGCGATTCGGGAATGCTCAGCCAGCATGTCCTCGGCTGTTTCGGCAATGTCTTCTTTGCCGCAGAAGGAAATGATGCTATCTATTACAGTTTAGGCTAGTGAGTTCCATATGTCTTTCATACAACTGGTCTATATAAGATCGGTGGCGCAGATGGAATGCTAGATCTCGATTGGGGATATGAGCTCTCAGCCACAAGTCTAAACTACAAACAGAACATTAGAACAATCTAATTATTCTAGCTTAGGTTTACTGTGTGTTACCCTACCTTATTTATTCAAATCATAAGGGGAGAAATCTGGCATGTAATAATTGATATGTTATCATCCTCATCTGGAAGACGAGAAGACTGCACAACGCAGTTTCAATCTCCAGGTTCTACTATCACTCTCATGCTGTATAGTTCCGGTGGATTACGAAAGATCATCACATGAACCATCGAATGGGGTCAACGTGCAAGATGAGCAGATTGACGAGAACAAGGAGATGGCTGTTGACTCTGGTGGCGAGGAAGACGAAGGCAATGTTGCTATGAACGAGCAGGGTGATAATGATGAGTGGGAGGATGAAAAGGAAGACGACGATGAGGATGAAGAGGGTTGGGATCACTGTTACGCAGCCTTCAAGCCAAAGATCCAAACTCTGTCTAATGTCAGGGATTCTCATCGAACCCGGACGATAGAAAACAACCAGGACCCCAACATGTTTACAGTTATCGACGGCGAGTATGAAAACCAAGGGACATTTTTAATGAGAGTTTCTCCAGAGGAAGACTCTTTTCGTTGCAAGGGCGATGTTGCAGGAGAGATCTTGAGATGGATTTTCATTAGCTTTATGTCCTAGGATAAAGCAAAGGCGTTTGTTGCAAGACTAAACTAGATCATTCATTTCAAATACAAATAAGATGCAGTAGTAATCTCATCACTCTCCTATGGTGTCGATACTCATTTGTTGGAGATCGAGGGCCAAAGACGAGTCGGGTTTGCAGGACGAATTCATTGGATTGGATTTAAAGATTTAAAGCTGGGTGGACCCTTTGTAGTCTGTGCTCTTTTTCTCCGCTTGTCATTAGTTAACTTAGGTCAGACTAACCCCTATTTGGAGATGGTCTCCTAACGATCGATGCGCGTTGACGGAGTCGGATTAATTATCTAGCGTTCTGGTTCGGTGCAGTACTTACTGTAGGTTAATTTCCAACCGTTTCCATCACCTACTGATTAAACCACGTATAAGCGAAACGAACACCATTAGATAACAATGCCGCCTCGAAAAGCATCACGTGCTATGACTTTCACTGGGTATGGATCCTGACACCTTTATGATTTTTATTGTATTGATCATTGACTCCCATAGCTGTTGGACATGCAAAAGCCGAAAAGTTAAATGTGATGAACGCCCGATAGGGTGCAAAAACTGCGAAAAGCGTGGCGTAAACTGCAGCGGCTACGACAACAGACTGCAATGGGTGACCCATTCGTTAGAAGAGACCCAATTTAGTTCTGTCATACAAGGTCGTATGAGTATGAAGCTAGGTAAGTGTAACACTCTCTGAAATTTAACAATCTATTAATTGTGTTACAGACCAGAACTTACCTGCCTATAAGCCCGAGACTGTGGACATGCTTTTGTTGCATGTTGACCAAGATGCCGAGCTTGGGGTATCAGGGCATCATGGTCTGTTCTCGGTATTCTCAGTAGCCCCGACTGAGACAGCCCCCGTGGATACAGTGGTCGCGCCACATGAGTCTTTGTCGCAGGCTGCTATGGCGCCAGGATATCATTCATCTGAGGTTAGCGAGTGCCAGCAGCCCTCAACTCATGAGCCTTCTGATGAGATACTACTACCAATCGGCCTGGAGTCAATACCAGATCTTACCCTCTGGTGGCCAGCGAGCCCCGTGACTTCTTCATGTTCCTTGGTCTCCACAGTAAGGAATTCGCCAAATGATTCAAGTACAATTTGCACACTTGTATCAAGTGAAGATCAAGACAGAAAAACCGGATCAATGGCAGAGGAAAGTGCTTTAGGTGTTGGTGATCAAGCTCGTCCAGTGCTAGAAGTATCACTAGGTTCAACCGATACCGACTATAGTATGGTGCAGGGAGTCCATACAACCCTCTTTGGAGATGCTCAAGTCGACTACTTGGTGAGACATTATAACATCCACGTGGCAGGTGTGCTCGTTCCGATAAGTCACCCCGAGAACCCATTTCGGACCCTCTACCTATCCACAGCGATCGAGGGCATGTTGCAAGAAAATTTACAGATGGAGAAATCAAGACGGCTGGCTTATACGGCACTCTCTCAGTCTCTGTTGGCATCGGCGGCATTTCATCGCTGGAAATGCGACCCACGACTTATGGAATATCGAGACTTCGGAGCGAAATACAGATACCGAGCCATTCAATCTTTACGAGATACGATTGAGGAAGCGCCACTTACAGCAAATTACCAGACCTTGATGATGGCGATCCTGTCTCTCGTGACAATAAGCGTCCGTTATTTGCCAATTGATCATTTGCCAATAGCACTGACATGTCATAGGTCTTAACAGGAGAGGGTGACGACTTTCTTATGCATATACAAGCGGCAGCTCAGCTTCGTAGCTTGCGGAATCGATGGAACTTAATGAGCCGTCCATCCAGACAGCTCAATGAACTAGGTGCTTTCTTGTCACTAATGTCACGGACCATGTTCTTCCAACCATCCCCAATCTCTTGGGGTACTATCGGCGACAACACCCATGCCGCAGAGACCATGATTTTACAGTCGAGCCAATGTTACGAGTATGTTTACGGAATCACGCTAGCGATAGCCACGGCTATCAACGAGACTTGCCACCTGGCTGAGCATCTCATTCGCTTCAAGCAAAACAAGGAAAGTCTACCCGACGACTTTTTAGAAACGTGTGAAGAACTTGGAAACAAACTCCAATCATGGCGATTCAAATCAGAGAATATCACATCCTTTTCTGACAGTGGTGACTTCAGGATGGCGGTGTTCACTCAACATGCAAAGGCGTGGCATGCTGCCGCACTCATCTACTACTGCACTCGCATACAGCGTGTCCAGCGAGCGGACCTCATCCCAGAAGTCGACCACGTCGCTGAATATGTCCAAGCAGCTGAAGAGTTTAAATCAAGATCTGAAACCGTCGGGCAAGGAGAGTCCATGGCACCAATCACTTGGCCTGCGTTTGTTGCGTCCTGTAATGCTACGAGCGATAGGCGCGACGTGTGGAAAAAGTGTTGGGGGCGGATGCTCTGCTATAAATTGGAGAATGTCAGCAAGCAGTGGGAAATCGTCCAACAAATTTGGCAGATACTTGATGTTGCAGAGAGACAAGGGAATCATCTGAGTTGGACAGAAGCATACGACATCGTCGGCATCAATATCCTACCTGTTTGATGCTGGGGAATCTGCCATATCTTAATACATTCGATATCCCAAGCACATGTTTAAAATAAACTGCACCATCAGCAATCTCCCTGCGTCTTCAATAAGTTTCTGAAATACACAATCAGGAATTTCCTTGGATCAGCATCATTCTTGTGCGAGGATCGGAGCTGACCGGCTCGACCCGGCTCCGCATTTCGGAGTCCCCTACCTCAAGTTCCTCCACTTCTGAACTCTAGCAACTTGGCTCAATCGCCCTGCATCGATAAACGACATAACATATGATTAGATATGAAACAAATTACTAAAAAACAACGTAATATACCGATGTATTATTCAGGAGCTGGTTGTTAGCTAACTGTTGAATACATAGAATATTAATACTAACAATGAATCAGTTTCCCAGTACGTTACTGTTCCAATTTTTCACTCTTCAGCTTTACCCTACTCCGATATAATTCCTCTTACACTATGTCGTACCGCGAACCAGTCCACACCACTGCCGCCTGTGCGCCTCTCCCTCAGTTCTCGCAAGCCGTCAAATACAATGGCACGGTTTACTGCAGTGGCGCCATTGGCATCGACCCTGCAACAGATAATCTCATTCCTGGTACCGTTACGGACCGCGCACGCGTTGCACTCCAAAACCTCAAAGATGTTCTCGAGGCGGCTGGTAGTAGTCTAGACCGAGTTGTGAAAGCCAACGTCTTCCTTGCCGATATGAAGGATTTTGTGGCTTTCAATGTCGCATGGGATGAATTCTTCCCTATTGACCCCAAGCCTGTAGATTTTACAACATGCCTCTTGAGTCAGGTAAATAACTAACATTGAAGGACTTGAGTGTCGTACTTGTGTTGCTGTTCATCAATTGCTTTTGGATACTGATGTGGAAATCGAGATGACAGCAAGTTATTGAAGGGTTCGGAGAGTAAAATTACATTGTGCATCTCCAGAAAACGTTATTGAAGAATAAGGATGCATTAGAGTCTCAACAATATTATTACTTTCTGGGGCCACCAGTCGCAGCTGGTACTTTCAAGGAAATACAAGAAAACACATCAGAAGCTGGTCCGCCTATTCTTTGCAGGATTGAACTGATTAGTTGATTGAAACATTTCCGATGGAGTTGAGTAAGACTATTAGACATCCAATAACTAGAGCCATGTGACCGAGGTGTTGTGAAGATCAATGGATCAATTCAATCCAGGTTCCGTCATGTGTATTAACTTCTCTTTTGGGCTTCTCATGAAGATATTCCCCATTAAGACTTAGCCTATCAAGCTCATTTATTCGTGCTTCCTTAGCTTCGGTTGACTTTCTGGTCAGCATGGCCTGGCTGCCTGGCCTGGCAGGAGACTCCGAAGACAAGAATCCACAGACATTCTGACTTGTACAGTAGTGGTTTGGAGGGTGGGTCGGGGACACACTTGCGTGAATAACTGTTCTAGCCGGGAGGGGCAAAGGTTGGTGGGCCCGTCATGATAATGACGCAAGGCAACAAACTCCGAGATGGGTTTGGAGAAGACTGGGGGCCGCAAGACTGTACCGTCCGATATTGAAATCCAGCCAACGACACAGTAAGCGTCCGCCAACTACAATGTGACTTCTTCTAAGCTGCCCTCCACAACGCATGTTATCTACGTATCTATTTAAACAACACATCATCAATTTGCAATTACTGTTCGACATCTGACTTTTATCTGATTGATCTTCTTGTAAATCTTCAACAACAATGGTCCGTATTACCCCCTTCGCTGTGGAGCAATGGATGGATGAGTATGAAACGACACCCGGCGTACTCAATGTTGCCGAGACATGCGCTGCATCTGTATCTATCGACGATTTGGTCAACATGGCCAAAGGCCCTGTCAAGAATCCAATCGACACAAGCATCAAGCTCACATACGGCTGCATCCCTGGGTCTCGGATTCTAAGAGAGCGAGTCGCTGCTCACTGCAGCACTGGAGAGGTACAACTGAGACCTGAGGATGTTATAATCACTCAAGGCGCTATTGCAGCCAACTTCATCTCTCTGTATACTTTGGTCGGTCCTGGTGACCATGTTATCTGTGTCTACCCGACATACCAACAACTCTATGACACGCCTCGCAGTCTTGGTGCTGAGGTTACTCTATGGCATTTGAAGGAAGAGAACCAGTTCGTCCCTGATGTCAATGAACTGCCTAGTCTGATCAAGAAGAACACCAAGGTGTGAGATACAGACTCTCAATCTGACCAGAAGCTAACGTCTGTAGATGATTATTATTAACAATCCGAACAACCCGACTGGCGCCCCAATTCCCAACAGCGTTATCGACAGCATCGCGAGGATAGCCGCTGACCATGATCTGATCCTCTTCTCGGATGAGGTGTACCGTCCACTCTTTCATGGAGGTACCTCAGGCGACATCGAGGTGCCCAAACCAGTGTCGACTATTCAACACCAGAAGACAGTCACAACAGGCTCTGTGTCAAAGGGTTATGCACTAGCCGGCATCTGCATTGGGTGGATCGCCTCCAGAGACCAGTCCATCATTTCGGCTATAATGCAAGCTCGCGATTACACGACCATCAGTGTTTCCCAAATCGATGATCAAATCGCCAGTTTTGCACTCTCTCCTGCAGTACGACCTGCACTGGTGGACCGGAATATCACACTTGCCAGGACGAATGCAAAGATACTCGAGGACTTTATGAAGCAGTATGAGTCGGTATGCTCTTGGGTGCAGCCCAAGGCCGGAACGACAGCCTTCATCCGATTCAACGGTAAAAACGGGCAACCTGTTGATGATACCAAATTTTGTTTGGAACTGCTGGAGAAGGCCAAGCTCCTCTTTGTTGCCGGCTCTCAATGTTTTGGAGGGAGCGAGGACTTTAAAGGATATATCCGAATGGGCTATGTCTGTGAAACGGATGTTTTGGTTCGTGGCTTAAAAGAGCTTGGTGTTTATCTTGACAAATTTGTAGTAAGCAAGTAAAGGATTGACTTGAGACGTATACTGTTGCGTTGAAGGCTGCCACCCAACCGCCCACACATTACAAGTTCTCGGTTTTATTTGATAGTAAACAATAGGTCATTAGGTCGGACAGACCTAACGACCTATTGGACATTTCCCTATAATTCTGTTGAAAGATCTATTTCATCTTGTTATTTTATTATTGATTGAAATCTTTGAGATGACAATGATACAAATGTATGTATATACCTGAGCTCAGATCTCTGCTATAATCTGGAGAGGCGTAACAATTGTCGATTTCCGTTTCCCAAATGTGAGACGTAGGAAGACATCATAAGTCCTAGATACCAGGCAAGAATGAAATGTCGGCAGAACTGTCTTTGTAGTCGCCAGAATAGAGAGAGGCAGCCTCATAGTTGAGCTATAGAATGGTGTAGATGTCTTGGCTTGCTGCGAAATGTTAACGTGCTCTGACCACCCCAACATTGAAGGTTGAACCTCAACTAGAAGTGTAACAGAAAATGGCTGCTTGATATTCGGCACTTCATGCAGGTCAGGAAACCCCGAGCATGGATTTGCCTGACACCATGTGTAAGATCGAATGCACAGAGACACAGCGTCGGGTTGTGGAGGTGGAATTGCATCTTCTGAAGGGTCAAAGGTAAGGCTGACGTCGATGAAAGATGGGGTAACGACCTTCCCATAGGGATGAAGGCGCAGAGCTTCGGGCTGCGTTGCTGTTACGTTGAGAGTCCCAGATGATCGTTTGAATGGGTGTTGGCGAAGGACCTGTGTCGTCTGGAGCGCATATCGTTGACTCGTCGAGGCGACATGTAGTGGGGGGCACTCTGTCGACTTTGTAATGAACTTGATCGTCTTTTCGACTGTCAAACCGCGCAAGGCACGGTAATCGAGTGGAGAGATTGATTCAATACATGCATTTATCGCGTATTCGATGGTAACCGTATCAGGGCTCATATCTCCATTATCCCATCCTCCAATTGTGGACGGAAGGCATGAGTGCTGCTCCCTTACATTTGTTGATGTGACCTTGTGCGTACAAGTAGTCGAGTCTAACTTAGCAGGGAAGGTGAAATGAAAGGGTGCGGTATAAACGTGTCCTTTGATCAATGTTTCTGACATTAACTCTACAATCCCTGGAGAACAGTAATCGACCTTCAGAAAGTGATGCACAGTAGTCGTTGTAATGCACTGACCAACTGTGCGGATCCTTGCAAGTCCGTCGAGAGAGATCCTGATAGAGCCGGCTTTAAAAGTACTGGATGCTGAGATGACGAGGCGGCCTCGAACGATGGAGCCGGGCGAATATATCTTAGAGTGATAATGATCATCGAGCTCTATTTTGAGTTGACAGGCTCGTCGCCAATTCTGAAGCTTGCATAAAGACTTGGAGATACCCAGCTCTCCCAATTTATGGTATCTCTCCATGGTTAAACTTTAGCTCAGCCTTGATGTCAAGTCAACAAAATGCAGTGTATTGCGGTATCAATGGGATTAATGTAAATTGATAGACAACCACCTTGTTTTATATAATTCTTGACATGGAAATGTTTGTTCAGAGTTACCTTCCTTGTCACCCTTGTTTTTGCCTTGCTCCACTAGTCCCATTTGGTACAGCGTTTAGGTGCGCGTGCCAATAGCTGCAGAAGCGAAAGACCCTTCCTTGAGTACATACAACTAGGTATAGCGTAGGAATTTAAGGTTCCCACTCGTTCCACTATAGTCAAGCCGTATAATGCTGGTACAGCTGTCAGGTCGGCGATAACCAGGGAATTGGGGTGATCGGGTGGGGAGATCTCCAGACGCATGGAAAGGTGAATGGGGACAACGCAGTAGAAAGACACGGTCAAGGCTGGCTTGAGTAATTTGTAGAACACTTTCAACACAGATCTTGATACCATAGACCCTAACAAAGGAGGATCTCTAGCTAGGACTAACGACCGCCGATCCGTCAATATGAGTATGGAGAAATTCGCATAATCCCTTCTGATAACAGTCACATGGTAGGATGAAGTGAAGTACAGTTGGTCAACAGCAGATGTACACATCGGAGAGTTAGTGGTATATATATCCCAAGGAGTGTTGATATTATTCATGCTGCTCGATATCATGAATAGCTCGGGCTAGGGTCAGTAAACTGTAGGATTGAGTTAGGCCATTGCAGCCATTCTGCCCAATGACTCCCGAGATGGGACGTAATGGACTGTATCAGATACTGTCCTCCATCGCCAATTATCCATGTAGATCGATTCCAATGCAGCAGGACTGCAAAGAATGCAAGGATCACCAGTGCTTCTGGCTGTCGTTGCTTCAGCAAATACAGGTATTCATCATCAACATCAAGACAGAATGCTATCGCAGCATCCAATCGCTGTCCGTTCTGCTGTTTCAGTGCTGAATGGAGGGAAAATGACCGCTGCAGCGCGGATACGGCGTTGCAATATTTGGTAGCTGATGATAAGGAGACATTCAAATCGATCATTCTATCGAGCATAGCGGTCGCTTGTATTCCATTCTCAATCGTGGGGAATGCACCTTTAATTTGTTGGAGGTTATGCCCAAGTCCTGATTGCTCGACTGTGCTCCACGACTGTTTAGTAACAGCGTGAACATCACGATGCAGGGACAGATAGGTGATAAAGCGGTCAAGAACGGCGCTGAAACTCTCTCTGGGACCTTGGAGACTATCGCAGAGGACATGAACTCCAACAAAAGAGGAGAAGAGGAACAGCGGTACACATGACTCCTCTGAGACCTCTTGCTTCTCCTCGTAGAACAAGGTCAGCGCTCTTGTTTGGAGATTGGTGGCGAGTTGATGATATGGTTGCAGAAGGGAGGGAGGCTTGCTCAAATGTAGAGCAGAGAGAGCGAGAAGCTGATTCATCAAGTAGGGGACTCTGAGTGCATGGTCCAATGCTTGGGAAACAACACTGTCATCGGAAGGATTGGTCGATGTGATGGCGTAACGATTTGTCACAAGGTGATGATAAAGGGCGAAGTGATTGAGATCGAATAGATCGCCCCTGCCTAGCGTATCGCTGAAAGGCGTTAAAGCGGAGCTGACAGAGCTACCAGGGCCAAAAGATGGGAATGCCGGGCCCGTTTGAAAAGAATAAGGCGAAAGACGGGAAGGCGACGGCGTGTGGACACTGGATGCTGCGTGGGAAGTCGACGGTTGATACCCATTGTTGATGTAGATACACATGGAAGCACGATCCGAAATCTTGCAGTTGGCGCAGATCGGTCGAGACTCGTCACACTTCATGTGGCGTTCCTTGCAGGCACGACAGCCATTTCGAGACTTGCGGTGCGTTCTGCGGGGTTTAGTAAGCCTATCACTGTCGACGGAAGGCTTTTTAGGGGGTGCCATGGTAAGAATATACGGTGCAGAATTGACTGATTGATAGCGTACAGTAGCGAGTGGGAAGTGCGGTTGTTCAAGGAAGCAAGTCTAGTGCCGGGGAAAGGGGAATACTCGTATTCTAGTCATTCTTTTGCACGTGATATAAGATAGGGTGAAAGGGAACACTGGATCGGCCAAGCCGCAACAGTTTCAACTAATTAGCGGTGCCACTGACGCGCGCTACCCCCATCTCGAGTCCGTATAGACCTGTTTTTCATTGGCTTTCGTCAATACTCGGAGAAGAAGCGTGTCAGGAAGGTCCATGATTGGGCCGTAACGCCGTGTCGATGTCTGCGCTGTCACTCGTCAGATTGCATGAGGTCACCCAGTGTTGCGTCGTCGCCTGAGAAGCGAGGTATGCGAACTTCCTGATATGGCGTGCTAGAGCATTTGTGGTTGTATCCGCAACGGTCACATTAAGAGATCTATCCTTGTCATTTACTTCGGACTGGCCTTTAAACAGCTAGTCTCTTCTCGCTTTACTTCACTACAACTACAAGCCAGTCTCCAGCAAACCAAGCAACTTTTCTATTTAAGTTTCTGCCACTTAAGAAAGTTAAACAAACAAGCTGCTTGGTGTGCTGGAAACTGGCTTGTAATTATAATGAACTAAGTAACTTTGCTACCGTTCTCAACTGGTGAGGTTTTAACATCAAGTTCTCCAGTATCGCCCTGCTGCAACACGTACTTGCAACTTAGGTAGCAGAACATCAGGATGATAGCTACATCTAATTACAACGAAACAGGCTGTTTATGATTCACGCAAACCCGTGATGAAAATTTCCCAGCAAAAGCTAGCTCCCATGTGCCAGCTGAGATTTTAGTATCCAGGAACGGTAGCGGTAGCAGTCACATAGACCGTGCGGAAGACAGTCTTGACTGCACACTTCTTTCCGCTCTGGTCCTTGGGAAGGTTGGTCGGACGGGGGCGACGAGTGCGGTTCTTGCGACTACTAGGCTTGGTAGTGGCAACATTGTCGGAAGCACTATCGTCGCAGTCCTCGCTGTCACCATCAGCGGGAGACTCAATCTCGCCACCCTTCGTGGTAGTAGGCACAGCGGGTTTGTTGACAACATAGGAGGGCTCCTCGGCAACAGCAGAAGAGACAGCCTTGGTGGGAGCGGAGAGAATATCGCTGACAGCAACAGGGACAGAGACAAAAGAGGGACGGGGAGCACTCTCAGGAAGAGCGACAGACTCCTCGGCAGACTCCTCAGTTGCCTTGGCGGTGGTCGGCTTAGCAGCAGCAACAGTAGAGCTGGCAGCAGAGGGCTTGGAAGCACCAGCAATGGCAGGCTTGGTAGCAGCCGGCTGAGCAACTCCAGTGGAGTCCTTGGAGGCTGAAGAACCAGAGCCGGAGCCACTACCGTTGGACATACAAGCGAAAGAGATCTTCTTCACGTCCGCAGCCTGAGCAGGACCATCCAGAGACCAAGCCATGTTGACGAAAGGCCAGCAGATACGACCATCAGACATGGTAACCATGTCACCAGCAACGTAGGTATCATCCGAAGTGATGGCTTGGCCAATCTTCTTGCCCTTGCTGTCAACTGCTTGGAACTTGGTACCGGCGAACTTGCCACTGCAGCCCATGGCCTCGTTCTCGCAGACAGGGTTGGAGATCTCCTCCCATGAGACAAGAGCAGTGGAAGCGTCGAAGGCAGCAGCGTGTGCATTGGAGCAATCGTTTGCACCGTCGGTGATCCAGTTGACCTGGCTGTCGCCATCCTTGGCACCGACTTCAGAGGTGGCCTGCTCACCAACAAGAGTCTTCTTGTCAGACATGACAGCGATAGCGACATTTCGGTTGGTGGTGCGCTGCTCAGAGTGAGTGTAGCCGTCACCCATCCACTCGTTGGCAGTAAGGTCGATAGCGCCACGTGAGACCCAGGAGAAGATGTAAGAATCGGAGCCAACAAAACGAGCCAGAGAGCTGTAGGAACCACCCATTCCGCCCATGGGCTCGTTGCTGGCACCGTTGATGACATGCTCGTTAGAGATCTTGACACCGTTGTTACTCATACCCTGGGTCTCAGTGTTCAACCAGATGGCTCCCTGATCCTCAGCGCAAATGGAGGCGAAGGGAGGTTCGTCGGCAGCCTCGAAGGCGATACCGGTGTTGTGGGAACAGCCCCAAGAGGAGGAAGCACCCTGAATCTCCTCAACCTTACCATCCGGGTTGATGTAGCGGATAGCATCACCAAAGTGACCAGAAGCAGAGCCGCTGTACGAAGTAACGACGATATAAGCGGCGTAGTATCTAGCCTTCTCAGAGAAGACAAGGTCACCGTTGATATCAGGAGAGGCAAGAGCATCAGCCGAGAAGCCGGAGCCACCCAGAAGTGTTCGGAAGGCTTGCTTGCCGTTGGTGTACTTGTAGATCACGGGAAGAGGATCCTTGGCCTCTCCAGAGACGACCTCGTTGGTAAGAAGGGCGAAACCGTCGTTGTGAGCAACGAGACCACCAGCTTCTTTACCATTCTTGATCGTGACAGGAGTACCAACGGCAGCGAAGGTCTTGGGATCGACGCCCTGAATATGTACGCCAGTACCGCTGGCATCGAGGTAGGCGAGGAACGCGTTCTTGCCATCTGGGGAGACGGCAAAGGGAGTTCGACGATGGTGGGGGAGACCAGTCCAGTAGGCCTCCTTAACGGGGTTAAAGGAGCTTCCCAGAGTGAGAGTGTCGACGTGATTCTCGAGCGACGAAGAGCTGAGCTGAGCAGCTGCCAGAGCCAGCCCAGCAGCAAAGGTTAGAAGTCGCGACATCGTGATGTTGGCTTTAAACGAGAGTATTGTCTTTAGAATAGTAATTGAAAGAATGTATGTAGTTGGCGCAGAAACGAGCGTAGAAAGCAAAAAGAACGAATGTAATTGGACTTGACTCCAGGTCAGTCTAACAAAACCAGCATCAAGTTGAAGGTATCTTTCCTTTGCGTTCTCGGGCGAGATCAATTCTTTTTGACAGAATGTTGATCTTTGAGCCCTTCTACCGCTCGCCGCTCGCCAGTCAATTACATAATGTCCCCGGTCTTCCGAGCAAAAAAGTACGCGGACAGAGACCGCGTATTGAAAGAATTTCAGTGCTCGGCGCAGCCTGAAACTGGTACTCATTTTAAAATCATACGGGAAATGGATCGCGTGCTTGAGGAAGCCGAGTGGGAGAAACGGGTCGTCGGATACATGATTCCTGCCTCGATGAAAGCAATAACACAGCGACGATGGAACTACTTATTATATCCATTTCAGTATATATGGGTCTCATTATTTAAGTTTGTCTCATTTTATAATTTTTGACTAACATCTTGACGTCCATCAGATAATGTGCTATAATAAAAAGTCTCCAAGATTGATAAAGAAGTCTATCCCACTTGGCTCCGCGCTTGGCGCTCGGGCTCTTCTGTCCCGAGGTGCCGTACCGCCGATCACCGGGATGTAGCCCGATGACACATGAAACAGGATGTTTGGTCTTCAAATTTAAGCCTCGTTCCCAGACCACTTAAATGTTTCTAGTGACTCCGCGCTCACAGTACAGCTGTCGTTTCCGGTGGGTTAATCCCGCCAATCAAGAACCCAGTAGCGGTCCCTTTCTAGACCCCGAGCTATTCCGTATCTTTCATGACTTTGCGATGGCGCCAAACGTACTTATAGGCTGCCAAGTGAATGGTGTTTTCTTAGTGCTTCAACTATCTACAAGTCTCTGGTAGACATTTCCATTCGTTATTTTGCGCGTCGCTACTTTCACTCGTTACCCACTTTCGTTAATTTCTTCGATTCGTTCGTCATCATGCGTTTCGCTTCCACCGTTAATCTTGCAACTGCCGTTGCCGCTACTGCAGCCCATTCCTTCGACTCAGCCCAGTCTGATCTCGACGGCTCGGTCTGGCAGTCCCTCTCGCCGCTCAATGCTCGGTCTTGGACCAGTGTTCCCCGTAACCGTCCCACAAAGCGACAATCAGGATGGAACCCTCCTTCGAACCTCGCCGGTGCTCTCAAAGAAGTTTGGGACCACGAAGTCGAAACCTACACTGACGTTCTGGGCTTCAAGAACTACGGCTGGGACCAGGTCATTGCTGGAAATGGCCAGCTTAATATCTGTGTCCGATGGGAGTCCAGTGCTTCTGTCACGGCTGAGCAGCGTACCAAGGTTGCTGCTGCTCTGCAGGACTCTTACACCAGTTGGATGAAGTGGGTTTCTGGCTGGGACAACTTCCCTTACGAGGACGTCAAGATCAATGTCGTCGGTTGGGCTGTCAAGGATAAGAGCCTCCTCCAAGGCTCTACCGACGGCATCGATATCTACACCGATACCGACGCTGAAGGCATTCCCCAATGCTCTGAGAAGTGTGGTCGCTTCTTTCACCAGGACGGCGACTATAGTCAGTGCCCCGGCGGTGCTGAGCGACACTACGATAACTCTCTCTGGCTCACCGACGGTATGCAGGGTGGTGCTGGTGGTGATTGGGGCCAGCGCATCGGTCGTGAATACTTCATGGAACTCCTTGGCTCCAAGAACATCCACATTTTGCAGCATGAGATCGGTCATACCTTTGCACTTGATGACTTCTATGACTGGACTCCCACTGGTCAGGACAAGTTCATCATGCTTGCTGGTTCTGCTGCTGAGGTCACCGACTTTGATGGTTGGATGCTTCGCAACTGGTGGTACGAGCTCTCCCGGGAGCGTGGCTGGCAATCCGGTGCGGATACTAAGGCTGTCACTGCTAAGCCCACCACTTCTGCTACTAAGCCCGCCGTCTCTGAGGCTGCTGCCGCCAAGCCTACTACCACTGTCAAGAAACCCGCTATTCAGACTAGCACCGCCGAGGCTAACCCAAAGGCTGAGTCTGGCGTCACTGCCGCTGCTTATGCTCAGTGTGGGGGCGGAGCTAGCTACACTGGCCCTACTAAGTGCGCTTCTGGCTTCAAGTGCACCAAGCACAACGACTGGTACTCGCAGTGCATCTAAAGCACGCGTTCAGATCTCTGGGGATCTTGAGTTCCTCGTAGATATGTTTCTCGCAACTGATAGTTGCGTTCCAAGTCGCTGTTGCGTCTCTAAATACCTAATTATCTACCCACTTGCATCTCATCCCGCCGTCTGCTATGAAAGCAGTTGGTCAACTTCATAATGGCACTGTAATTTCGTAATAATGCTAGGTGTTCTTGGCCTTACAGCTTCGGTGACATATGCATAGACTGGTGTGGTGCGCCTCATTAGACATTCCACTAGTCCGAAGCTCTGTGAATACTGCATTCGAGGGATGTTCCTCGGATCTCGGGGGGAATTGGGACTGGGGAGGCAGAACAACCCAGCCAATGTAAGCCCTGTATTTACTCAACTTGCACTACCTGGACTTCCAAGCCAGCCCCTTCAAACACGTCAAGCAGACACGGAATATGCCGTCGATGTCGTCTTACATCCTGAATTGGTAAGGTGGTTGGTGTGGCTTGGAGACCCCTTGCAAAGAGAAAGGGGTGAATGCCCAGACTTTGAGGACAGGTGAAAGGTGGAGCACGCAGCCTAAGAGATGAAATAATTTGATCATCGTATGAACTAGGATTGAGGCTACGCGTCCTAGGGCGCCCTAAGTCATGGAGAATGAGTTTTCTGTCGCCCACACCGGTAGACTGGGCGGATAACGGCGGCTGTCATTAGGTCGAGATTGTGGATTTCCTCGGAGCACCAAGTGGAGTTTTCATCTGATCTTATCAATCGACGGGGCCTTTTAGCTCTGGGGCATCCCATCCTGAAGTATCCTGTAGTATCCGCAGAGCTCCCAGATGACGTCGACTCTCAACGGTGATTTTTGAGTCCCATTTTTCTTAGGCTTGACCAATAGCTGCTGCCTGATTTTCTTGTCGCAGATCCAACACGGACACTACACTTTTCCAGCCTAGCGTCGGGTCTTTAGACTCGTAGGCGAAGTTGCGGTCCGCAGGCACCCTGGCAGCCCGAAGAATAAACAGGACACAGAAGCCTGGCGACAAGAAAACTTAGATATCCTTGGGCACTAAGGCCTAGGGTAGACTATCCTAATCTTTATGATCCTTAACTGAGTCTTGATCTTTTTTCGACCCACCTGACACTATGCTAGAAGGCGCAGCTCGGATGAGAGCAAGTGGAGTCCATCGACTACGAGTTCTGGAACGTCGGGAATTTGATGAGGTAGATGTTCCAGGTCATGGAGCGGCAAGACTAACCCACTTCCTGTTCAAGCAAGCATCTCCAAGCGAGGTGGAACCCGTCGATCAGGACTACGTATTTGTCGGGTAACGTTACAAAATGTATCGATGGGTTCCACCTGACACGTGGGTTTAGCGCGCTCATGACGCGTTGTGCGACTACTTCCCAAGCCGAGGACCTTACCCTACATCCAGAGCAACAGAAGACAGAATGAAGGCTTGGACTATCTCTCAGTATGTTCAACACATTATTCGTATACTTAGCATACGAATAAAATATTCCCTGGTTGATTGCTGAAACAAGCGATTCTCAGTCAGACGGGAAGCTTGTTGCATCATCGATAGTGTGTGTTGACGAGTGAACAATGAGAAGCAGTTCATTGTCACCACATCTATGGTCCCTGATGTGTTGAGCTTGCCAAAACGTGTCTAAAATACCAGTGGTAAAAAGCCAACAATTTTAATCATTCTGGTATTCAAACCTAAGACAAAGGACGTCAAATTTAACACAAAATCCATCAACCACGCTACAGGGTCAACCAAGCTGTAGACAGATATCTATCATATCATATCATATCTTATCTTATCAGAGTCTTATCTAATTACCAACCATTACCAAAAGGCGCCATGATCCGCATGCGGAAGAATAAGATGAAGCGAATCATAATACAGTAGTGCAAGGAAGCTTAGAACCAGATAGATTTGCAAATCTAAGCCACTTCTCCTTTTATGCACCTCAGTCGTTGCAGATCAAAGGTGAAACGGACCAGGCTGACGGGCGCTGATCCTGTCGGACCGACACCCGTGGTGGCTGCCAGCCACACAAAGGTCACCAGCCACGCAAAGGTCACCAGCCTCACCCGCATTCCAAAAAAGAGAATGTCGCGATCTCCTCATTTCCACATTAGAGGAACATTTTATGTTACAGTAAATACACACTGAAATACAAGAAGACACACCGGACCACAGAAAGAATGCAAAGTCCAAGAGGGAAGTATCTCGTTACCTCATGATAGGAGAGTACTCATGTTCGCTCGGACTGCTGTTGGGCGGGCGCTCGTCGAGAACAAGATCAATTATTCACTTCCTTTTCCTTTGTCGACATGGCTCATAAATTCCAAAAGAGTTCGATCTGAACGTACACAGTACGAGAAGACTTAAGAGTATGAAGTTTATAGGGACCTAGGCTGAGCATCATGAGCGTTGAGCCGACTTATATTGATGTGGCAAATTGGTGATAAAGTAGCAAGTTGAGGGAGAAAGAAGAGATGCGAGAATGTATGATACAAAAACCCCAACATCCGTGATCCTTCCTGTGATCGGGCTACTTGGACGTCCGGCTCGAGCCCAAAAACAAAGATTGGTTGGTCAGTGCCCGTTGTTCTCCAACCTCAAGAGAGCCTCCAACTCAGCGATCGTCTCCTCCTGATCCGCAACCCTCGCACTGAGCTCTGCGATGCTCCCTTCAAGACGCTCGCGGATATGCCTGATTCGGATGTCGTGTTCAATCCGGTTGATGTGACCGGCGTGAGTGGGAAACTCCTGCATGATGGTTTCCTCAGTCAATGCGAGGCTTGGTGCCTGGCTTGGTTCACGGATTGCCCTTGCAGCGAGAGGGAGTGAGTCCTGGGCTGTAGTAGGAACAGGGGGTGGTGCTATATCGGGTGTTACTTCTCGATCGTCGGGCAGTGGGAGATGGGGGTGGTGGATTGTTCGTGAGCTGCCGGGAGCCGGCAAGCCGGTTCTTGAACGGGACAACTTCGCCAAGGGTGTTAGGACGCATCTCCCTGATATCAGCGTTCTCGAACTTCAACTGGGCGCGCTTTGCCCAGTTTGTAAGATGGACATCCTTGAACGCCCATCGTGGGTTTGCGATAACGGGCACGATGTCGCGATGGCGCTTCCAGGACGGTGTCGGTGTCGGTCATCGAGGGATCGGAGTATTGGATCTGCTGGTATCTGCTTGTTGAAAGGTTAGTTGAGCGCTTTTGGCGTAAGACAGGAGGGGAGATATTCGTACCGTTCAATTTTGTCCATCACCCCCACGATGTTGGCCCAAGACATAGGGCGACCACGATCGGTGCCAACCTTGCCAGAAACATGGTTGGCAAGCTTCTGGGTGGTTGGAGCGGTGATAAGACGCTCCTTCCACCAAACCCATTCCGCATGCTCCTCGTCAGATAGGGCCGTTAGATGAAGGCGTTTCGGTAAAGCAGGATCCAGAGGAGATCGTTCGGGATGAAAGGTCGCTGGACATTGAGATCCTTGTATCTCCCCTCCAAATCCATCTCTGGGAGCACTCGTTGGGCAGACATTTGGGTCGAGTGATGAGGCGGGGTGCCCAGTGCTCCGGGTGTCGAAGTGAAGTAGTTCAACCAAGCGCGAGTAAACGGCGGGGTGCCCATCGGGACGGCGTGTCGCTCATGATTGTAGGTGTCTGACTCATGGTGACCTGGGCATTATCGCTGATGAGGTGTGAAGATGAAAGAATGAAGAGATCGAGAAGAGGAGAGAAAAGATTTTGCCTCTCTTCTCTAAACCTGTCTCCACTTTTACCTAAAGCAAAGGAGATCATAAAATTATAACCGAGTTACACTTGGCTGCCAGTGCAATGCAATTGCAACCGACAATACTGCCTAGCCTGGTATTTTTCGCTAAGGATGTTCAGAGATCAATGCCGGCAGAAGAAAAGCAGAAGATAAGAGAGAGATCAGAAACAAAAGGAGTTCTCAACGCTTGTCCGCATCTGAGCTGTACTCGAGAGTCATGGGGGAAGGCCCTGCTGGGGTGGCGCTGAAGGGTTGTGGCTCATTGCTTCGGTCACTCTTTTACTGTATACGCGTATTGGCTTAATTGTGCGAGGCTGTCTAGACCCTGAACCCTGCCATTACACGCATACTAGCTCGGGCAGTGCTACGCTAGGTGCTTCTCAGCGTAGGAAATCCGCGGCATATCAAATGTCCGCACTTGGGGCTTTCTTTAGTGCGCATCGGACTTAAGCGCCAACCCTTGTCATCTCCCGTTGTTACGTTACCTGACTGGATCAGCATCAGTCTACCGGTAATTCTTCAAGTCCGTTGGGAGGACTTTTCATCTGGGAAATGGCTGTTTGCACAAGTTTGTGACAGGTTCCAAGTGATGTCTTCTGTAAGGATATCATACATGCACATTGTGTCGCTACTATAAGCACCTAACTTCCACTCACTCGACTTTGGCACAAGCCAAAGCCTTACTGAAACCCTGTGATCGCCTTGACGAACCTGGTACTCGGCTGTCGGCACTTACCTAGCAGCATGGCTGTTTCAGATGAGCAACCGTGCCTCTGGAACTACTCCATTATCCATTGTATCGGAACGAGCTTGATTCGTGGAGGAATCAGAGATAAAAGCGAAATGAGAGAAGGACCAAGGTCTCGAATGTTCGACACTTGTATTCGAGATTGTTTGTCAACTCTCAACGGTAGAAATTTAGATTAGCTTTACGATAAGTTCATACCAGGTGCTTTCTTGCTTTATATAACTAGGACATATCTCAGTCCATGCTATAGCTGTATCACTCATTCATTCATTCTTTACTCACCTGTTTATTTTCCAATTTCTTCACAAGGGATCTGGTATTCTTTTCCTTCACCACATTCTTTTCACCACTATTTCCATTGTGAGTCTCCGTCATGCGTCTGCTCAACGCTTTTGTAGCCATCGCGGCAATCATCCCATCAGCTTTCGCTGCTCTACCTACCGTAGCTGAAGGATTCGCCTCCAGCACCACGGGTGGCAAAGGTGGCCAGGTCGTTCGTCCCAAGAACAACCAGGAACTTGCCAATTATCTGAAGGATAACACTGCTCGTATCATTTACTTGGAGCGAACCTTTGACTTCAAGGGCTCCGAAGGGTCTGCGACTGAGACCGGTTGCGCCCCTTGGGGTACAGGCGCCAACTGCCAGCTGTCTATCAACAAGAACGACTGGTGCACCAACTACAACCCAGGTGCTAAGAAAGTTACTGTCAAGTATGACAAGGCTGGTCTGAACCCTCTCATGGTTGGTTCAAACAAGAGCATCATCGGTGTCGGCTCTGAGGGTGTTATCAAAGGCAAGGGTCTTCGTCTCGCCAATGGCGTCAAGAATGTCATTATCCAAAACATCCACATCACCGACCTCAACCCATCTCTGGTCTGGGGTGGCGATGCCATTACTCTCGATGGAACGGATAACATCTGGATTGATCACTGCACTACCTCCCTCATTGGTCGTCAGCACATTGTTCTTGGTACTGGTGCCAGTGGTCGCGTTTCTATTACTAACAACAAGATTGATGGCCTCAGCAACTGGTCTGCCAGCTGCAACACCTATCATTACTGGGCTATCCTGTTCCTTGGAAAGAGCGATGTAAGTCTAACCTTCATATAAGCGACAAAATTGAATAACTTACTAACAACCCGCAGATGGTTACCTTCAAGGGCAACTACATGTACCACATCTCTGGTCGTGCTCCTAAAGTTTCAGGCAACACCCTTCTTCACGTCGTCAACAACTACTTCTACGACATCTTCGACCATGCTTTCGAGATTGAGGAGAACGGCCAAGTTCTCGCCGAAGGAAACATCTTCCAGAACGTCAAGAACCCTCTCAAGACTGGCACCAAGGGTCGTCTCTTCACTGTCCCTACCGTTGGCTCAGCTGGTGTCTGCAAAGCTGCCCTCGGCCGCGCTTGTGAGATCAACGCCTTTGGAAGCTCTGGTACTTTCCCTGGCGACGACACTGGCTTCCTCGGCAACTTCAAGGGCAAGACTATTGCTTCTGCTGCTGCAGCTTCAAGCGCTAAGAATGCCATGACCAAGGCGGGTTTCGGTGTTGCTTAAATGCCATACTAGTATGTAAATATCTGGTGTTGTTCTCTTCTTACTGGTGGTTGGATCATTATCTGTAAATACATTATAAGCACTGCAGCGCAGGCAGACTTGGTATTTAAATTAGTTGCAAAGAACTTCCGCTTGGATGTTTCATCTAAGTAGCGCCTTTCTAAATCGGTATCTCGCAGTGTTCACACCCTTTGATCGGAATTTCAACTTCGAGCCAGCACTTGATGCGATTGAAGCACAAGCAACAAGCAAACAGCCTCTCGAAGTAGAGAGTGTCATCTTTCGGGTGTAACCAGACTATCAAGACAACCAGAAAGGCTTCGCAATCAGAGCTCAAACATTGAACGTCAGTGACAATCTAACACGCTGGAAGCTGCATCTATCTTCATGCTACTAAGAAATCGGTTCCGGAATTCACAGTCCCGACAATCAATTCAAGTAAAGCCACAATTAGCACGCAGACCAAACCAGAGTCTAGGTCGGCCAGGGAAAGGTCATTCATCAGTGTCTGGTGATCCTGGGGGCCAGACACCGACCTTGGGGTTAGGTGCGACCTCACCCTTCGATGGGAGACTGTTGTCGTTGTTTGTTCAGGACGATGAGATATGACTGCGAGACCAACCAAGGTTACGAATCGAGCGACAGGCCAGATATCTGCACGGGCGGCCAGCGAGAATCGACCAACTGTGCATGTTCCAGTGATGATGGATCCTAGATATGTCGAAAGGAAGTGGCATCCTCGACTTTACTACGTCCGATGCCAATGAGAGCGCTTCCTGCATGGAAGGGGAAAAAGGGAAAGTAAGGGGATGGAGATCTTGCTGTAACATTGGAAAGGCTCCCGTCTGTGGTTATCAGGTTTGCCTCTGCTAAGAAACTGGTTCGTTAAGTGAGGTAATGGACTGGTTGGCATAAGCTGAATCTACAGTCGCTTGAAGTCAACTTCTGAATCTTTATAGCTGCATCAAACTTCAAGCATCTAGTTAGAGTAAACAGAGATTCGTTCTCTGCTTTTCCCTCTTTCACCGTGCCGCTCAGAACTCTCCTTTTACGTCCTGCATTACCCAGCTTAGCTCAAGGGTAATATGATGTGTGTACGTCTCTAACTTTCCGATGTGCTTGGTAGCTGTGAAGACAAGAGAGGTCGACTTGGTGGTCAAAAACGAGCGACTAGCTTCAGAAGCTAGTGTTGATTATAACATCCTGCAAAGAAACTAGCACTGTTGGGAGAATAACAGGAGGCAGTGGCTTTGACTCTTTCAATATCAGAGGCGGACGTGAAGGTTGCAAGGCTGCGGAAGACGAATAGATGATCTGTTCGGGTTCGATGTCAGATTGAGTCGGCTACCCTGGTTATCTCAGCTGGTGTAATGCCACGAACTCCAGCCAAGACATCTATCAAGGTTTTGACAAGAAACGCCTCAAGTCAAGGCCACTTCTGTCGAACACCGGCGAGAAATGGATGGTGTGATTATTTCCAGGTCTCAGAGACTCGACACGATCCAGCAGGAGCTCGCTGAGAAGAGTCTCCAATGTGGCGATGCGGACAAGATGAAGTCTGATAACCCTCATATTGATATGAATCACCGTCTCCACGTCACTTCTCTCTCTCGCAAAGGCTCTCCACAAGCTCACAACTAAGGAGCACGTCACATCACAGGCCTTAGCCAGCCAGAGCTGCCTATATCTGGGTACGCAAACTAACCTAGCCGGTCGAGACCGGATGTGCAGTGGCGAAAGCACTGGCTCAATTTGCTGGGTAGCCACTTAAAACTGAGACGATGGATACAAGCGCGATAAAGAGGCGGAGAAAGGGAGTTCTGACACCAGTGATGCTGACACCAGCAGACCAGTGACTTGCAATGAAATGTTTAGTGGGTGCAATCTATTAGAGTTCAGCCACACATAAAAGCGAAACGGGAAAGAATCAGGGACAGAGAGGCAACTGTGTTGGAAGCCATCGCGATGGCATTTCTAGTGACAGTGAGTAGGATTGGAGAAACGAAGCATCGTGATTATGCTGAATCAATTGTTTTCAATTGTCGGGACCGAAGTTGTATGGGAAGGATTGTAAATGACTTGTCGCATCGTGACAACCGCCTTTCTATTCATAATAAAAACGATAGGTCATTTGTATCAATCTTAATCGGTTCCGAAAAAGATCGATCAAGATCTCTGCTCCATAATCGATGGGACTGCATGGGCTTGGCGAGTCAGTGGGAGATGAGAACCGAAGGCAATCGGCTTACCGTGTAGAAGCTAGACAGTTTAGTCCAACGTGAATGGCTGGTAGCCAGTCGTTAAACCGAACCCGCGTTACACTACGATCTAATGAGATAAGCGCTGGAAAGTTCCGAGGCCACGGGTTGGGTAGAATATCGGCCTTGTCTACTCATGGACTAGTCCACACACCATTGAAAAGACTGAGTGCCATCTAGCATTAGGAGGCGACGATGGAACACGCTTGCGTTAGTGCATCTTCCTGAATCAAAAGTTCAGTAAGTGTTGCGCGGGATAAAGAGAGGTTGCCTCCTTTCGCTTTCTGTCCTGTTAGCCGCTGATCAATTTTCTCTTCTTCTTTTCTTTTCTTTGTGTAACCCCTTTTGACCATCATGCCGGTTTCCGAAGACCGGCCGTCATTCCTTATTGAGGCTTGGACTCTCTACGGCATTGGTACCTCCATCATCTTCGCCCGATTTGCAGTGCGTTTCAAGACAGTCGGATTTCGCGGATTACAGGGCGATGATTTCTTCTCCGCTCTGGTACTGCTCTTCTACACAGTAGATGCCTTTACCGTGCATATGATCTGTGAGTATATCAACAAATTCGGTGAGCCATACACTGAGTCGTTCTAGATTATTTAGGCACGAATATCGAAGGCGGAGTCGCAGCGCAGAACCACAGTACGTTGAACCGAGAGCGATATGACTATAAAAGACAATGCTGATATCTACAGCCTTGACCGCGGACGAGCTCGACCAATATATCAAGGGTTCCAAACTGCAACTTGCAGCCTGGTATGCCTACACGGCATTGATTTGGTGCCTCAAGGGTACAATGTTGTGCTTCTTTTCTCGCATGACGATCGGTACATGGCACAACGTGTTCGTCAAATCAGTCTCTATCATTTCTGCCGTCTCTTATGCCGCTGTCTTCCTTACAGTATGATTCTCAGCCACGACACAGTGGACTTTGCTAATGCAATATTAGATTACCTTTGGATGTTTTCCATATCAACATAACTGGCAGTAGGTTTGAATCTCGAGATATTACGTTCTTTGCTAATTTGCTATAGGGTTCTGCCACAGCCCCCATGTTCGTACAATAACTCTTCTATTTGACAGGTCACTGACACACAGAACAGCAAAATGTACCCTGAAGATGCAGAACTTCTTGGTCACTACTGTACTCAACGTCTTGTTAGTAATAACCACAATGCGTTTCATTTCTAGCCTCTAACCGTTGTAGGACTGACGCTCTAATTCTTTGTATTCCTCTGCCTCTTCTTTGGACACTCCAAGTTCCCTTGCGCAAGTGAGTATCAACACTTGATTGTCATTTATTTTCAATATTCTAATACGTTATAGGAAATTTGTCATCGGACTTCTTCTGTCCTCTGGCGCCTTCGTAATTGCAGCAGCCATCACTCGCGTCGTCCTCACCCTGTCCGCAAATCCTTCTGCTCTTACGATCAACTCATGGGGTGTACGCGAGACAATCGTCGGAATCCTCACTGTCAACATCCCGATCCTCCGACCACTATTCACAAAAGCTTTCTGGACGGGCCAGTCGTTAACTGAAATCAGTTCCTCGTATCGAGCAACAGGTCGATCCAGGGGTACTCGTGCCGACGCGACGACAGACTTGGGCCCCTACGAGCTTACACCAAGCATCAACGAGGGAGGCAAGCCGAGTGATAGGGGAAGCCAGGAATCCATCGTTCCAAAGCACGTGAAATTGGCTGATATTGTTGTCTCGAAGTCGTACAATGTCTCACACGACAATCGTACTGACAACGGGTCCTGGTACGGTGATCGCAACGGAGCGTCCAAAGCGTCTGTGCATGCCGACTCATCTGTATAAAAGTATTTCTCTGTATAATAGTATATACCTTAGACTAGGCGTGAGATAAATCGACGGCGCTAATGTGCTATACAGAATTCATCACCCACATCCCGTATCGCCTTGTCTCGCTTCTTGTCAAGTACAAAAGCTCAACGCAGCAGAAAACCCCCCGATAACTGACTTTTAAAGAACTTGAACAGATAGATAGACCCACGTTGAAGAGTACGAGCTACGAATCCATGCCACTGAGGCCAAAAGTAAATACTGAAATCTGGTTTAAGGAGAACAAGGCGACCAGTTAGTAGGCCCGGTTGATTGCTATTGGTCGCTTAGGTCCCCAAGAGGGGCCCCTCGATTTTGGTCCAGCGGTCAATACAACCCACACTGAGCCACAGGTGGAATGTACTAAGCCATGAGTGGAACGTGCACTCATGTCCTCTATCGCCAAGAGCGAACCGATGTTGACAGGTGCGAGACCAGCGCTAGTATTCACGGACAGCATCAGCATCCGAAACCTTCTCTCTTTCTTGGCTATCGTTTTTGCAGTGGTATTGATGGAAAACTCATGCTTGTCCGCTGCCGCGTGAGGTGTGGGTAGATTGGCATCAAACAACAGCATCATTTACCCTGCCAACTGGCTACTGCCTACGACCTTAGGACACTCTTGGTTCATCTTGATCATTTTTTACACTTCTGTCCATAATTTTGGCTTCCACCTGCGACTCATATTCGACCTATGTTCATCAGTCACATTGAGCTGTCTCAAATCAGAAAGCAAGTCAATGATCTGTCAACAGGGTCCATGAAGAGTAGATTTCTTTACTACTGCTATATCGCATCTGCCCCCATATATCAGAGCTGATCCTGGGACGACGTGAGTCGTGAGGTGCTATGCCTGATGTGGACGCGACTAATCTCAATTCCATCCACCCCAAATGCGATTGATTGTGTCCCAAGTTCCATCATTGCCCCATAAGCGCAAGCTCATTCACACCAGTATCCTCCGAAAGAACAATGTGGCAACCCCAGTCCTCCTCGCGTCCGACGTTTCAGGCAATGGTACGACCAACAAAAACATCCAACAGCAGGCGGATGAGAATGTAGACGAAAAAGACCAACATCATGACTGTCAGTACCATCATTCTCGATTCCTAACGAGCCAGTTGGTTTCTGAGACGGCGGTAGTCACCTTCCATACGATCGCTTTCGACTTCAAGGGATTCGGTGGACCGTTCGAGGTCCTGGCCTTCGAGTTCAAGTCGGTTGATTGCCTCAATAAGTCTTCGGTTGCGGATATCGAGGGCGATGTCGTGAGGGCTTGACTGATAAGGCACCCTGATAGGCCCAAAGAGCAGGACCTCGTCGTTAAGCCTGGCACCTCGTGTGATGGGACCGTCTGGGAAGTTTTGGTTAGCCAGCTTCTCGATAAAAAGCAGAATTGAACTCACTGTTGGCAGACATCGAATTGTCAGCTCGGGCTGGTGGGAGGCCCAAATCGTCGGTCGCATCGCGGCGGGCATCAAGATTCTCCGCGTGGCCCTGCAAACAAAGGCATCAGTACGTCGTCAGGTAGCACAAAAAGCGATGCTCATACTGCAGGGATGGTATCGATCGGTGGTGTCTGGCATGTCTTGTTGCTGGAAGGATGTCTCAACGCTGACAGATGGTGATGTTGCGAGGGAAGGAAAAGCAGATGATGTGAGGAGGAGAACAAATAAAAAAGGCGCCAGGCAGAAATGGGATGCCAATGTTAGTGCAAAGTTGTGGCAACCAATAGATTAATTGTATATTACCTCTATCACTGGCACGGAACTGCCACGGAACTGGCAGAAGTCTAGTGGAGATATACCTGAATTAAGCGGGGTACTTTCTCCTGCTAGCCATTTGAAATGATGTTTTGCCGATGGGCCTACAAACTGAAGATTATCTTGAAGATGTTGCCTAGCAGTTATTGGAGGGTACCAGTGCAGTGATGATCATCCAAGTGTACCTCTCAGGGCGGCTAATTAGCAGTGAAAACACATTCTAGATACGCTCATGGCAGTACAAATGCTCTGCATGGATTAGACACTGAGCGCGGTAATGTCAGTCGATTGAGCCGTTATTTACATGCGCCGACCCAGCCTTTCTCCAGTGTTGATAAAGTGACCGTCAAGTCTCTCTTTGTCTTCAAGCTTACATGTTCAGCTCGAGCACGGCCGCCGTTGGGGTGATTTCGGTACGGATTACAAAGTGATCGTACAAGGCGAGAAGTTGGATCGCAACGACACAGTCACCGTACACGTAGTTGTGATTATCACAGAGGATAAGTGACATTCCTTTGTTTTGGCGTGATCGCGATCGTTAGTGGATTAAGCTACGGCATCAGCAACCTTTGACACGCACGCTGGATTAACAACCCTTGTTCCACCTGACTATTCAAGCCAAAGGATGCACCGTGTACTGGTACTTCATGAATGAGCTTTATCTTCTAAACATGAAACTCACGACTATCCCTAGCCGATGATACCGACGCCGATCGATCTAAATCATGGACATGGGAACTTGCGTGACGAGCTCCAAAGTACCCGAGCGCTTCTGCGTATCATATTGGCGGACTCAGCGACTCAGGCTCTTCTCAGCCATACCCTTCATCGATAAACAACCAGACACGGATTGCCCGCAAAACTCTGGAACCTCAACGACGATATCCATGTCGTGATCATGTTATAAGTTACCAACCAAAACAGCGCTTAGACCCTTGTGTGACCGTGTGAAGATAGTCAGTGCACTAGATAGGATGAGCCAGAAAACGGCAAAGCTAGGTCGGGCGGCTTCATGTGCCGCAGAAATTATAAAGATTTCGACGAGTAACCGGGATCATCTGAAATTGTGACAATTATAGGGTAGAGGAAAGGCCAAGCGCACCGGCAGTAACGTGAGGCGATGACGTATTTTTGAGCAGGACGCTGTGCACGCTTGGAGGAGAATCTGTGCAAGGTAGACAAGTAAAGTCCGATATCTTGATTAATGATCCATTTTCTAATCGACGGAACAACAGTAAGTATCTAAAGCATTTGTAAAACCTTGCACATAGGTTTGTAGGCGTTGTATGTCCTTCTAAACCCAATGAATCGAGCTGATGGTATTCAAAGACACAATCTCCCGTTACTCAATTTCTTCTTTAGTCTCCTGGGATTTATAACAAGTACAAACACTCATATGAGTCCGCCAGAACATTCTTTCTCGAGTCGATAGCATAGCGTCCGCATGGGCCCCGGATCCAGTCCATGAGATACCTTGCCACGGAAACCCATCTAGAGCTGGATCCAACAAATGGCCCATATCTCCAGCCCAATCTCGTCGCACGCTGTTCTTCGCTTTCGTACATGTTTGTATCAGGACTTGCATAGTTATTGCTGGAATCCCTGGCGGTTAATGAAACAGGATCCGGTTGTGGACCCAAAGCAGCGACCTCGCGTTTCTCTAAGGACATGATGAAATCCACCGCAACTTCGAATTTTGTTCTGATTCCGGATATGCCACGCAATGTAACTCTTTCAACTTTCTCGTTTATCGAGTCGAAGGTAATGGAGCTGCTCAGGCCATCATTCTCGCCAGTAAAGAGTACCAATACTGTCATGGCAGAGATATTGGCGATAGAACTGCAGATATGGTAGCTTTGAGCTGGGACGATAACAATAAGAGCCTTAAACAAGGCAGTTATGGTATAGAATTGCTTGGGAGGGAGGTTAAGCGATCGCGTTTGTATAGTCAAGCGCATGGCCATACCTACATCAACAGCAGTAGCGTCGTCATTCGAAACGGGCTGATCCCTACATTCAACGATCTTTGCAATGAACTGCCTACCACGCTTGAAAGCATTCGATTGGAACTTTATCCCCTTCACACGTTGGATGTATGAGGACGAGTTATATGAGCGCCTTTCGGATACCGTCTGCGAATGGCCCACGTCCCTTAGAAAAATTGAACTTCGACAGAGCAAGCCCTCTTGCGGTAGGGCTCTCGTGTCTTCTCATCCTCTACTGTCATCAAGCATGGCTGCTCGCTTTCGACAATTCTCTGCCATGAGAAAAGCGGTCAAAACTACTAACCAAGAGGCAAGAGACTGCCATGGATAGCAATAGAGAACTGACTTTAGTAGCCTTTTCTTCTTTTATTCAATGACTCAATCCCTAGTTTCGATGGCGTCCCTCTTAATTCTCTCCATCGTCTGCAACGCTGCCCTTGCTCTCTCCCGTGTGTAGTCGTCGGAGAAGTCTCTAGCTGCCACCCGAAAACGGTCCATCCAGTAATCCCATCGGTCAAGCGACTGACTAAACTGATGCTGGCGCATGCCGTCCCATAGCTCCCAGTCGCGAGGCTCTTTTCGAGGTTCGTCTTGCACCAGCCTAGAATACAGCTTCTTACAAGCATGTTCAATCCAGCAGGCTGCCGCTGGAATCTCGAAATCCTTCTCGTCCAATAACCCTTTCTCTTTAACCTCCATCTCCGCCGATTCCGATTCATCTCCCTTCATCTGTCCATAATCTTCCTCTTTACCATCTTCCCGTTCTAGGGCGTAGGTGATGGCCCAACAGGCTGTTCGCCATAATAGTATCTCCGCCATGACAAGCTGGGCCTCGACATTCTGCTGCTTGACATATACATCGCGTGCCTGGCGCCTACCAGCGATATCCATATACTTCTGTGTCTCCAGGATATTCTTTGGAAGCATCCAGTGGGCATCAGTCCAAACCATACCAAAATAGGGAAGATCATCCCATGTCAGTGGTTGGTAATCATCATCTGTTGCTTCCCCGTTGTGTATCTTGTCTGGCACTTGAGATATGGCAAGACAAAGCTTTATTACGCCAGGCGTGCGGGTAGATGGCCACTCTACAAGAGCGTCTTTCAATAATCTCCATAGATGACAGATAACATGGATCTCATCCTCGTAAGTGTCCAGTTTTGGCACAGGCGAGTCGGAGTCTGGCCTGGTAATTGCATGTGCAGCTTCACCGTATCCGAGCTCTCCGTCGTGAAAGGATTTCAGGACATCGATCTCGGTGTAGAGATACCCTCGTAGTGCTTCGTTCTTACTCTTAAGACGGCCTCGCTGTTTGTCGAACCAGTCTGGTGGGACACTGTCGACACCCTCGTCGATCAGGGAGTAGTAATCAGTGGCTACCATCTTGCGAGATAAGTCTAGCGAGAGGAAGCGGCGGTAAAGTCGTCAAGGTGATAGGGGTGGTAGCACAAAAGGAAGTGAGAATGGTAGGAAGTTGTTAAGATTATGTGGGATTACTGTAGCGGGTAACATACCTTAGCTTAATACTTTAGAGAACGGCATGTGGCAAATCTCACCGATCCTTCAGCTGTTGTGTCATGTGATCTAATTCTGTTAGAACGTATCAGTGACGTAAAAGCCCTCATGGACATGACTGACACCTAACAGCGCCCTGTATAAGTGACCTCGGGGAAAAGCAAAACACAACTTTGCCCCTACTAAACCTTTGTAGTGTGTACCTCTTGGAATCTCCTGTTTTATTTTCTCCACTAGACGAGTGACATTTATACATGTCCGGCCCTTTCTAGATATAACCAAAGACAACTAACAAAAATTCGGTATACAGTCATGTCCAACTATGCACGGCCCTCTCTTGTTGGTTATACCTACAAGAAACCAACAGCACCCTGCACAATTGAGTCATATACCCACTGGACACGGCCCTCTGTTGTAGACATAACCAACAACGACCAGACGTATCCAGTTTTAACAAGGCATATGATATTTCGTCCCGTAACGGATGGACTTCTGACGCAATGCTGCAGCGAGGTCAATGGAAGAGTTTCTGACAGTTGGGCAGCTCTGGACTGACTACTTCGGCCTTGAGTAGCAGATCACCTAACAGACTAAAAGTTTTGGGTGTATGATGACATCTTTGTGGGTATGCGAGGAGAGAATTGGCCGGTGTTGAAGGGGGCACCAGGGTACCGGTCTTTGGTTTTTATAAACCTCTTGGTTCGTTTATTTTTGCTGCTGAATCTTCACATTGAGATACAGGCGACCACGGTCGAAGTTGCTCGATTGATATCCGTCATAGCTGCAACACATCTTGCTGCTAGCATATTCGACCATTTCATTTTAGTAGTTGCCTGGATATTTCGCTTATTTCCGAAAATTATAGTTGTAGACGATGGGTGTGGCCCACTTCGTGAATTGAGTTCTAGTAAGCTATGCTTCTGAGTTTGCCTGGGTCAAACACGATAAACAGCAAGGAACGAAGGTGGAATCTACCAAGTAAATCGAGTTCCAGCTAGCTGCCTTTATACGGTTTGGACGGTCCGTCTTCACGATATGACCGTGTTGTAGCGACGAAAAGATTTCGCTAGGTGGTAAAGGTCGTTGACGATATCATCGGATGGGATGAAAAGATCGCCAGGGCGCCTAGATAGAGTGGGAAGAGCTAGATGGCGGGTGGATGGGTGAACGCTGAATCTCGACCGCTGTTTTGATTCCATCGATTCTCCACTGCCCGCGTTTGATCCTCTCTTTTTTTATGGTCGATGGAAATCGTCTACGCGTAGTCGTGTAGCGTCGAAGTGACATGGATATAGAATTATCCTCTGACCATTGACTGAGTTGGGTAATGTTGCGCATAAGAGATGGAAGAATTTGGGCATCTTATGCTAGCTTAGACCAGTTCTTAGGTAATCTTACTGTACTACTCTAAGCCTCGAAAGATAACTCTTAGCATCTATCTGATAGATGTGATTCTGATTAGCCTTTTATAGTGAGATCTCCGAATACCAGTTTTAATCAACACGATAAACAACAAGCAAAGGAGAAGGAGGGGACAGCTACCACAGGCACATTGAGCTATATATAAGCTAAGAATACGTATCTAGGAAAGGTTCAAGACCGGCGAGATGTCTCAGGCTGAGCATGGAGAAGCACAAGGGCCATCCACAACGCAAAAGGCTGTGAGAAATGGCATTTGAAGAATGTGTCAATTTGTTCGAGAAAGGTACTAAACGCCAGTTTAATTCCCATTCAGCCTACAACTGTGTTGTTCTCGACCGTGGCTGAATCTTTTGTCTGGTCAAGGTTGGGGGGCATTGAGTCACAAGGTGTCGGAACATGAGTCACAGCAAAGTCAATTCAACACCTTGAGTTATGTACCGGAATCGCAGTCGTGGAGAAATTGTAAAGTTTTGAGAATTTTAATTCAATACTTAGACATAACCTTCTCTTGCCTACTCCGTTACACGGAGTTTTCGACATGCTATAAGAGTCCCTTGCTTGCGCCCTCCCGGTCGGCTTCCAGTCACTCATACTGACAACGAACACTACACCGACTTCTTTTTATAAAGAAACCTGAGTCATACTTCACTGAGTAACTATGGAACTCCTGGACGAACTCGAACTTATGGCGCAAGCCGCATCCGCGCTCCAGGAAAATGACGAAGATATGCAAACGACTGTCACTCGGTGGCAGAAACTATTCGGCTACTCAGTCTCTACTGCCGAGTCCAAGATCAAAGATCATCGAAAGGACGCGCTCGATTTTACGATCTCTGATGATCACTGGTTCGTCGTTCGAGATCGGATGAAAGCCGAGGGACACGACCGTGAGTCATACGAACATTTTTACAATTACCGCCGGGCCACGCATAATGTCAGCAACAACCAGAATCGTTCTATAAAGGAGAGGCGTATGCTTCGAGCTCTGGGCTTCTTGATCAAGCTTGAAGGGCCCTTCAGCAATGTAAAATCAATTATCGAAGCAGCTGGTCTATCACTTGACGCATCGACCGAAGTCATCCCGGCGACCGACCTCTTTGGAGAGCCGTGCTCTTTTTACAGGATCAACATGATGGACAAGTTGGCCATTGAAGAATGGTTGGAGAAACACCCCCAACCTGACCTTTTTTCGCCAACCTACGTTCGAGACAGTGCACGAAAGGATCTCTCGTCCACCTCTCTCTACCCAACCCTGGGCCTGGACACAACACTGCCTCAGTACCGACCTGAATCAGACAAAACCTATCGCCAACCCCCTCGCCCCTCACAAAATGAGTATCCTGTGTGGTACTTCTTCTACGGAACTCTTCTCGACAAAGCCATCTTAGCGAGGCTCTTCGGCTCCGACTTCCATGCTCCTTACCGTGAGGCCAAGATTCGAGGTGGAATTGTGAAGATTATGGGGAATTACAATGCTTTGGTGGATGATGAGAGCGGTACAAACGTGGTTCATGGAAAGGCAATGCGTGTTCAAACTCGTGAACACGAGGAGCGCCTGCGAGCATATGAGACGAATGTCTATGAGGTGGTCCGATGCAAGATCGAGGTGGGCCCAAATGAGTTCATAAACGGTCTCACGTTCCGGTTTATTGCAGACTTCTTGGACTAGAACATCTATCGATGCCTGTGGCCGCAGATAATAACGGCCAAAGTTTCAACATCAATGGGAGAGCGAATGGGCGTTAATCCATTCGAGTGTCGCTGTTTTTGGTACATCCAAGAATTGAGAACCACCAAAAAACAAGGCCATAATTACTACTCTAAAGTACAGCCTTTAGGAACTCTACCACGTCATCGATGCCATCGGGTGAGTTGAACCAGTGTCCTCCAGTCCTATACTCCCTCCATGCCACATTCGCTCCGAACCCTTTCAAGACCTCATATTGCTTCCTGCCCCAATCCACTAAGACCAACGGGTCGTCAAGACAATGCTCAAGGAGCATAGGCGTATTCTTGAGGACATCACTGTGTGTGGGGGATGAAGGAATTTGAAGCGTCATGCGCATCTCATCAAACGTTTGGCCGGCAAATGGGCATCGTCCGCTAAAGCCAATAAAGGCGCCCAGTCGCTTATCCGTGGTTGGGATATCAAGGTTGAATAATGTGTGTACGCTTGTTGCAGAGCCCATGCTGATGCCCATTAGAATAACTTTATCCCACCTCCCGTTCAGTTGATTTGCCTCGTCGGCAAGGATGTTGCGGATCTTAGGTACCACTTCTCTGAGTCCTTCTGCCTGCAGCTGTTCGTTCTCAGCAAAATTGCTCACATTCCAGACATCGAACCACTGGTTCCAGATGTTGGGAAGACTGGCACATTGTCTTTTGGGTGCTTCAGGAAACACCCATTTGAAGGAAGGAAAAGCGTCAGCAAGCGTGCGGCCTTGTGAGTCGCGGGAATATTGGAGGGAGTCGCGGAAGTTGGCAGCGGTATCTCCGCGGCCGTGTAGGAAGACGACGGTGTGCGAATGGGTTTGGCCCTGGGCTGGGGGTACTTGGACACTGCGTAGAGGAGGAGAGTCCATGGTAGTAGTATCGAAAGAAGGTTGCAGATAATTTCAATACAGAGTTGGGGAGAGATGAAGGAGGAGAGGCTTTTATTATGTTCTTAATGTACGAAGGCATCGGCTAGATAGATAGTCCGGTACCGTTTGGCTTATCCTTAGCCAGTCGGGTGAGCCTCGGGCGGATCCCCCAATCTGGCACCTTATGCAGTATCTATGATAACCCTAGTAATATGTATTATACTGGTAGGTTTCCGTTTGCATAGGTTTAGTCCCATAGTATGTTTGCTGCTGATACTGCCGAGCATTTTGTCCATATGTTTCCGTTTGCATAGGTTTAGTCCCATAGTATCTCTGCTGCTGATACTGCTGGTAGGTTTCCGTTTCCATGGGCTCGGCTCCATAGTATTGCTGGTGCGTATTCCCCGCACTGGTCTGGGAGAGCCAACCCAGGTCGTTGAAGATCATGGGGTTGCCCATTTGCGAAAGGTAACGATCGGCAGTGTATTTACCGTACGATTCAATGGTGTCTAAAAGTCCCGTAAAAGATATTGTGAGCGTTAAGATAAATATGAGGGAAGGAAACAACTGACCAATATCGGCTGGCAATACAATTTGACCCTTCTCATGGAGTGCCTTTAGGGTCTCCTTGACCCATACTCGACAGGTCCATTGTGGCTCCCCTGCAGGGAGATGGGAGCAATTCATCAAGGGAATCCGGCTGGCGTAGTGATCCAAATACTCAGCCTTTGGAGATTTGGCGATCATGAGGCAGACCACCATACTCTTAGACTTGGAAGGGTCGCGAACCTTGCGGTTCTCATAATAAAGGTCAAGTGCCTGACGCCCAGCATCTGTGGCATGAAAAAGACGACCCGCAGGAGGCTTGGCATCTGTACTCCAGAGTCCCCAATGCTGCCGTACATTAGATTAAAACATATATATATATAGCCGGGAAAGGAAGATTTACATATTGATGCTCTTTTCCGTTGTGACGGAGCCACTGAAAGGTAAGATAAAGAGTGTAGGGCTGACTCATTGTTCTAAAAAAGCAAAATAATAATATTTAAACTTGGGTCTTATGTATAAGAGGTAACTGGCAGTAGATGATTGTATGGAATGTAGAGAATCGACTTTGTTTGAAGCTATGTAGATATCCATGGGAATGAGGAAGAGGGATCCTGTATTTATGCTAACGGTTCCCTTTACAAGTACAAGACCCCAGAACAGTCCAAGGACATTCCCAGGGCTATTCTCTCTGCAGATTACCAAGTGTAGCCTTGGGTCCGAGAGAAGCGTTTCAATTCCAGCCGCCGACCCATGACGGGATCTCATGGAGGTCACTATATTTAGTCGGTATCATGAGTTTAGGCGCCCGTTGTGGATTACCCGCTGAACTGCCGCGGTGCCGCTACCGAGTGGGCGGGAATTGACGGACTTTAATTGGCTGGTTGAATCTTTGCCGCTTACCCTAGTCATCATCTGCCTAAGGCCGCAACTGTAACCCACCACGTTTCATAACACGAGAGAGTGGCCGACTATTTCCCAACAACGAAAAACAACATGTCATGGAATCGAGCATGATACCACTGTCACCAGAAGTCTACAATGCAGTCGACGCAGTCGATCGTGCCCAACTTGCACATCCCGCGCCGGCTCTCTTACGCGCCTACATTCTCGAGGCTGTGCAGCCTCAAGCGGCCGCAGATTACGTACAACACCGGCTAAGCGCCGATGGACATGCTGATGCTCTTGTCGCCAATTGGATTTATGTGATTGACTCAGGTCAGTATTCCATGTTTGTTCGACTTATCATCTCTCACTTACTGAATTTCATGTCCCCGCAGTTATCTCTGGCGTGCAGCCGCGTGCTCCTTCACCGGATGAGATAAAGAACATCACCAACCGAGACGGTAGAATATGTTGCGTGACGGGCAAACAGGGTAGTCTCTGGGACCCCGTTATTGTCGCTCCTATTTTACCTGTGCCATCTGGATGGCTCAAGGGCGAGGTTGGTCTTCTTTGTTTTGTTATTCCCTCTTATCTAACTCTGCACACCAGCCCCGGGTCATAGAGCTTCTCAACGCATTCTTTGGCCGCCAGTACCTCGATTGGTGGCGTCACTTCATCGACAGGGCCGAGATCTATTCTCCATACCACACTCACTGGCTCGTCCGAAAGAGCGTTCATGAGGCCTTGCAGTGCGGCATGGTCAAGTTGAAAAAACTGCCTTCATCCATGATCGAGGTAAGAAACGCTAACCATTTGTAATGAATATTGTTTGACCTAGATGTCTAGTTTAGAGTTGAGCATGTTCTTATTGACGATGAGCAACCTGTGGATGTGAATGGCGTCATTGCTCTGCTAGGCGACCATTCAAGACAGGGAATTGAAAAGGCCGATGCACGACTTATTGGTTCACATGCTCGCTTCTGTAAAAGCATCCAGCTAGTGAAGCTTGCTAGGGACATTGCGCCTGGTCTGTTCTCTCAGTCGAGAACCATGACGAGTTCCGCTCGACATCAGTTGCCAGTGCGGATTCCTTCTCATAGCCTCGACCTGGGACGCATATTTCTACCCCCACTGATGTGTTTGTGGCGCTTATTCCCATCTGCGCTTCGTATAATGACATACGAGCTTTTGCGGAAAATTGGAAACCGCTTCTACAACAAAGATGGATATGCGCTAGTTCAGAGGTTGCCTTTTGGCCTATACCTCAAGTGCAATTCCGACTCAGACACTCTCAGGAACGAGTACAATGCTCTCAAGGTTTTGGAGCGAAAGACAAGCATTCTTGCCCCACGAGCAATCGATATTGTTTCCCAAAACACTGGCGATGATGATTTCAGCTACCTCCTTATGACTCGTGTCCCTGGTACATCCTTAGCGATATGTCAGGATGCGCTCTCTGACCAAGACTGCGCAACCGTCTCCGCTCAGCTCAAAGACTACATTTCCCAGATGCGCGATATCCCCAACCCTTCTAAGATGGCTATCTGCAATACCTTGGGCGAAGCCTGCCGTGATCCTCGAATTCGAGATTGGGCCCCCATCGGACCTTGTCCAGATGAAGCATCGTTCAGCCAGCATCTACGCTTTTCCGACGAGCCCAGCCGGCGTGGACACAAGATTGTTTTCACGCATGGAGATCTTAACCCTCGCAATATTATGGTAGAAAGGACGACAAACTCTACTGGAGCTCGGGGGTGGCGGTTGAGTGGCATTATAGACTGGGAAACGGCAGGATATTACCCTGACTACTGGGACTATACGAAGAGCATGTTCGAGTCTTTTCGGTGGACGAGACGGTACAATACCATGATAGAAGGCGTGTTCAGTGAGTTTGGGGACTATAGCGATGAATTGGCTGTAGAGAAGCGGGCTTGGGAGTCAGGGGATGGTATTTAATCTGCTGGGAAGCTTTCGTATTATATTTGCAACTTTCCGATAAATGTGTAAAAGGCAAAGTATGAACTCGTGAAAACAGTTGCCCTAGTATGGACACAGCTCTATTATCTATGTTCAAGTGGTTGCTGTGATGATCATCTGCGATTATTTCTATTCCCAAAGCATATTGTTTCAGACGACGGCTGGCGTTCTTCAGCCAATCAAATCAAGCGAACAGCCCGCTGAAGACGGCTCGACAGGTCAATTGGTCCTTCTTGACAGACCAACTACTAGCGTGGAGCTGAAATACCTTGTCAGCGAGGAAAGCTGATCTACTTCGGTCGATCAGTTGACAGGACAAATGCCACGTCACTCAAATGTCTTATATTTGACGTCAGTAGTATCTATCAATCAACAATTATCAAGACATGGGCGTCGATGAACACTGGGGGAAGGCGGCAAGGTCGGCGAGATTCTGGAGAGTCGTGGGCTCAATGGCGACGTAAAACCACTTTTCGCACTGGACGCTGAATCAGGAAAGCCGTACACATTGTTCGAGCTCGGCGGAACGTACTATTTCTTCAACGTAGAACATGACTCTTTTCAGCGCATTACATACCCTCAAGATCTTGCTGAAATTCTCGGAACTATCACGGATCCAGATGGTGGACTTAACAACATTTCAACCTCTGATGGTTGAGACTCCTGTAGACTAGAGTACTGTACTATTGGATAGGCTTCCTTGGAAAAGAAACTATACTTTCATGTAATGGAGGCATGTTCCAACGGGAGCTGGGGTTCCTAGCGTTAGCGATATTTGACAGGAGTGATACCCCACCTTGCCTTCAAGCTAAACGCGATGACTAGCTACGCCCGGGAAAAGATTTACAATAGATTTCCATGCACATGCACAGGGGTTTTCCAGTTGTGGCTTGTTTCAGATGCTACGATTACGTTGTCGTCCAGATTTGATTGGATGTGGGTACTGTCCGTGTATTTAAGTTCCGGAATAAAGCTCAAAAAGCATTAGACAATCGATGAATTGGCTGCACACAACCTAAAAAATAATGTTCTGGAGACAGGCCTGTTCATTTTAGCGGCCGAAGATGAGACGACAAGCATTCTACTGCCCGGTAGGCGGGGCATTTACGCGCTTAACTAGTAGGGATCTTTACTCGTATAGCAATGTGATTGTCACGATGTTACCTTGAAGATGATCATAGATGGGACATATTTATTCAGCGGCCTTCTCTCATGGTAGCAGCGATATTCTTCTATCTTTCACTCTTTCTGTTTGTCAAATTACGCTCTTTCAAAACTTCGCTTCGCCATGGCATTCGCTCATTTCTTCTTCATTTGTTTCCTCCCTACATTCATTTTCGCTTTTACTCACCCTGGTCTCTTGGTATCTCAATCGGATATCAATCGTATCCAGACTAAGCTTACTGCCAGGAAAGAGCCCTGGACGGCATCTTGGGAGAAGCTGACCAGCATCCCATTCTCCAGCACGGAGTACAAAAACAATGCAGTAAAAGAAGTCAATCGAGGTGAGAATGGAGAGGCCCTCTGGCACGACGCTGCAGCTGCCTTTAACCTCGCTTTGCGCTGGAAGATTTCCGGAGAGGAGCGATTTGCCGAGGCTGCATCCGATATCCTTGTCGCTTGGGCAGACAAGTTGGAAGTCTTGAGTGGTGGCGACGATGCGTATCTTACTGCAGGTCTGCAGGGATATGAACTTGCGAACGCCGCCGAACTTCTCCATGACTACAAGCCTTTTGTCGAGACAGGTCGGTCAAAGGTTGTCAAGATGTTTGACGAAGTATTTTTGCCAATGAACCTCGACTTTCTCAATCAAAGACTCGGATCGCAACATAATGTCAAACACTTCTTTGCAAACTGGGAACAGTGCAACATTGCATCTGCCCTTGCCATCGCTGTTGTCACCGACAACCAGACAACCTGGGACTTTACCATTGACTATTTCAAGAACGGTGTTGGTAACGGAGCCATCAACAACGCCATCTCGAATATTGTGAAGGAGCCGGGGACTGGCAAGCCGCTTGGGCAAGGTCAAGAGTCTGGTCGCGATCAAGGTCACTCGGGAATGAACTTCCAGCTTTTGGGAGCCATTGGACAGCAGGCGTGGAATCAAGGCGAAGACTTGTTCTCTTACAATGACAGCCGAATTCTTCTCGGGTATGTGAAAGGTGTCCCTCACTGACTCATTTGAACACTGCTAACTAAAATCTCTTCAGAGCCGAGTACTTTGCGCGATACAATTTGGGTAACGATGTGCCGTTCGAGCCATACACCAACGGAATTGTTTCTTTCGATGTTATAAGCGATGCCTCTCGCGGTGCGATCCGGCCAGCATGGGAGCTGCTCTACACTCACTATGTCCAAATCAAAGGTCTCGACGCTCCCTGGACTACCGCCTATCTGAACAAGAGCTTGGAATATTTCGGTGGATTCGAAGGTGGAGCTGGATCTTGGGGAGAGGGCTCGGGTCATTATGATGGACTCGGCTGGGGCTCTCTCCTCTACCACTTAGACGAGTCCGATGTTCAGGCACTGGAATCGTCCGCCTTGCCCTCGGTGGCGTCGTCCAAGATCCACTATCCAGTCGCCCAAGGCACCCAAGTCCCAGCATCTCTCGCTCGTCCCGATACTATGTCCAAGCCCATCACGCAAACCAGGGCCTCTCCCACGGCAACTACTTTACATTTGCCAAAAGAATCTAATGTCGTCAAGCTTCCAGTTGCTCAACCAACTATGACCAAGAAACCCCATCGCAAGGCTCACAAGGTTAAAACAGGATGCCGGCCGCCGGCGTAGAGGATTGTAGCATTATTCCAGCTAGACGCTTTAACGCAAACTTTGAGGAGGTCAGATTCTCATAAGACAGTGGGTAATCCGATTCTGTCTGTGCTGAAATATTCGGTCGATGATTACAGGTTCGACTCTGTTTGGTGGACAGAGAATTGCAATCCTATCCTTCTTACATAGCTGGTCTATGGCAACGATCTAGTTCAAAATGGGTTCAATATTATTATATAACATTGAAATATTCACCTACATAATCTTTTATAATACTAAGTTCTAGAGGAGTCGCGGAACATCTGATAAATAGACTCACAGTTTCCATCGGGATGGGAAACGAGAGTTCCTGGACTTACACCTCGGAAAAACTTAGATTAGAAGATCAACTGAAGATAACACGAATAGCAGAACGTTTGTGTAGAGGGAGATCAGACAAATAGCACGTGCGTAAAACGCTGAGCAGACAAGGGTGAGAGCCTGGCTCCAAAAGGTTACCTATGAAGCTGGTCACTAATGATGAGAAATACTGTAGCATTGAGAGTGGGCGAGGTGAGATTGGGTAGATTTATGCTAAGCAGGTCGAGATCTAACATGAAAAGAAACATGACCTAATGTCCCACAAACGATTTCCATCAACATTTCCACCTAGTTGGCCTCTTCTTCGCAGTCGCAATGACAGGAATCACACTCGTCCTCTTCCCCTATGTCAGAATCACAGCATGGGCACTTTTCATCCTCGTCCTTGACGTCAGATTTGATTCCGAAAGACCACTCCAGAGTCTCATTCCCAGTTGCCATCAGCGTCTTGATCCCTTCGACCCCAAGTGCATTGACTTGATCGATGATTTTGATAGCTTTGATCTTCTGACTCAGTTCCTTAATCTGCTTGTGAATAGAATGAATAGACCTGTTGGAGTCCTTGATCTCAAGCTCCGCCAATGTCCTTTCCCACTTGATGTAATTGAGGGCATGATGGAGCTGCATAGACTTTTCGTGCTGTTTGATGGTGTCCACTCTTGCTTCAGCAAGTGTAGCCGCGGCGTTGTCCAAAGCCTGCTGGAAATCCGGATCAAGATCAGCACCATACATGCTGGTTGACTTTCTTTTGAGAATATCCAACACAAGCTTCTTTTCTAAGGAGTACCTTTCCGCTTCTGCAGCGGAGATATCGGGGTTTGCGTAATTAGCGAACACAGCTTCCTCATCGACGTCGACAAGATCAAGGGTTTCCCTGGTCTTAGACATCAGGTTCTTTACTTTGGCGAGGTAAGTCTTGGCGGAGTTCAGCTGCTGGGTGAGGCTGGCGAGGTCCTCATGTTGAGCGTCGGTGGCTGATGGAATTGCAGTTGTCTTGTCTCCATCATTGGCTTCTTCACCACTGTCGACAGACGAGTCCGGGGTGTCATCGTTCATTGTGCTGTCACTGTCGTTCTCGCTCATCTCTTCGCAGAATCCGGAGTCATAATCATAGTCGTCATCGTCATCGTCGTCATCATCGTCCGGGGTCTCAACGAGTGCTGCCGTGGTAGCTGTTCGTTCATTTGGCACTGAACTGGTGTCCACGGGACCGGAAGACGAGACAGTATGTCCAGAAGGTTGGACACCGTTCTGTTCTGGTCGGTATGCTCCCGGCAATCTTGATGTATAATAGGGATGCTCACGTTGAGCGATGCTGATAGTGGCATTGCCGATGTAGGGTCGAACCATTATATTGTGCCACCTCCCGTTACCCGAAGCGTAGTTGTTGTTGCTGTTGCTGTTGTGAAGTGTCATTTTGAAGTGTCCTTGATACTTCTTGTTGGTCGTCGATGTTAGTAGTCAGAAAAGAAAGAAATTGGAAGGGGTAAAGAAGGCATTTATATCCAGCTAAGATACTTTCTTTCGGTAAGGTAGAAAAAGGTTCTATCTATGCAGAGGAATCGTCATTATAGGGTTCCGTGTAAGCAGAGAACATATGATGCCAAGGTTACGTACACAGAAGAGTTATGGTAGTTGAAGAAAGTCTAAGTCCATTACGAAAAGCTCTTCCTGGATGGGGCTTTGACTGCGTCCACAGTCACGCTTCCTCTTGGCACAGGATCGGTTTCTGTTTCCAAATGATTCGCCAGGTCGTCAATTCTATGAGGGCATTCAGGCGTATGGAAACTTTCAATGGCTGACGTGAGGCATCCGACGAGTGTTGCAATCCACTGTTCATGCAGGTGACATGGGATTGGATCGTAGGGCTAGCCGGCACAGATTCTGTAGATACGATGCACGTCGTTTCGGAGGCCTTCTCTACAGTTTCGGTCTAGGAAATGAAGATTAAGGTTATCTGCAGTCATATTGAGAGAAGAGATCAATGTTATGTTGTGTTGTTTAATCTGTATACTTTGCAGGAATTCCTCCTTAGCAAAAGTCTGACTATCGATGTGGAAGCGAAAGTGTAATGTACGCAAAGAAATGGCTTTATATGCAAGTGTCTGCATGGGTGAGAATGCAGTGAGGTGGAGACGCTGTTGGTCGATTCTCGAAGCGTATTTTCTGTTTTGCGGTTATTGGCGTTTAGGCGGTACCTTGAACTGAGCATGTTTAATGTTCATCGAATTAAATTTATTGGTAGATAGATGTGATGGGTACATCTCGGTGAATTTAAGCTTTCGTCAAAGGTGATCCGTTGCTTTCCCTGTCTACGCGTTGCGGGCATTTTCAGATGTATTGCCGTTGAACTGTAAAGGGAACGATGGGAGAGAGACTATATCTAAATCTAAGTCTACAATAAAGGCTCTACCAAGTAATGTCCACACGCTATCCCAAGGCAGGGCCTGACGAGCTCTGGTTGAACAATAATCGACTTACAATAAAGTCTCCATCCTTCATCACAAGCCCCATAAGGTTCAAGACATGCAAGACTTTCTCTGGAAAGAGGCAATACCGGATCTTTAATTTGACATCGAATGCCAAAAAGGCTTGATGGGCCTTGATGGCTTCATGTCTCGGAGTTTTGTCCACTGATGTGGTCGTGACTTTTCGATGAATTGTCCATTTCCTCCGTGGATTGGACTGTCTCGAAGTTATCTGCGCGAAGGTGGTCTGACAGACCCACCTCAACAGTGCTGAACGTAAATACGTTTGGACTTGTCTTGGAAGAACCCCGTGCAATGACTCCTAAAGTCAAAGCCTCTCGTCCTAATTAAGATTACCTAATGGGCCTCACGGGTTGTACACTATAGGCCTTGGAGTTAGTTTCTAAACAGGCAGGTTGGTAATTTATAATGAGGCAAAACCTCAGAGCATGTGGGCATTACACCTAGCAGCTATGGATAGTTTCGGTTCACAGATATAACACTGGAACCTCGGCACGAGACTGTTGTCAAAAGGTCCCACCAGAACCCATTACCTACCGTTCTGGGTGACCGACTAACTGCGGTCCTCCACCAATGAGAATCGGGAGGATATCTAACAAAAGACAAAGTCAAATCAAGGAACCAATGAAAAGACCCCAAATGTCCACGGGCGAAAAAGGTACCATGGAATATAAGTTGCACCCAATATATCACATCTGCATCACGTCGGTACTCTTTCTCGATGGGGAATATCTAAGATAGCGAGCCGGCTATCCGGCACACGAACTGCATTGGAGATAAGTATCACGGGAGTATAAAATGTGTGTATGAAGCCTATATCACTAGAAAGGAAGTCCAATGTATCGCTACCGAGCCGGGCTTCTCAATCACTTGAACTTTAATCAGAGAAACATGGCTCATATGCAAACCGCGATGGCCAGTTTACTTTTCTTTGTGGCTGGCGCTCTCGCTAAAGCTAGTCTTCCTCCTATCCCGTCGGACCTATCAACACCTGTACAACAACGGCTCGCTTTCAACGGACCAAACAGTCAGTTTCACTTTCATATATGACCTGTTCCTATGCTTAAACCTCTTAGGTGTGACCATCGGCTGGAACACATATGCCAAACAAGACAAGTCCTGCGTCAACTATGGCACTTCCAAAGACGCACTAAACCAGCAAGCATGCTCTAAAGTATCCTTGACATATCCCACGTCCCGTACATGGGCCAACACCGTCACCCTTGACAATCTCTCCCCAGCAACAACTTATTACTACAAGATTGTGTCCAAAAGCTCAACCATCGATCAATTTCTCAGCCCTCGTTTAGCCGGTGACAAAACGCCGTTTGCAGTGAACGCCATTATTGATCTCGGAGTCTATGGTGATGACGGTTTCACCATCAAGGGTGATGCTTCCAAGCGTGATATCATCCCCAACGTTCAACCTTCTCTGAACCACACGACTATTGGCCGCCTTGCCACAACAGCTGATGACTATGAATTTATCATTCACCCTGGAGACCTGGCGTACGCTGATGATTGGTTCCTCAAGCCAAAGAACTTACTTGAAGGCCAGAAAGCATATCAAGCAATCCTCGAGACTTTCTACGACCAGCTGGCTCCCATATCTGGGCGGAAGCCTTACATGGTCAGCCCTGGTAATCATGAGGCTGCATGCCAGGAAGTTCCAATTCTTAACAAACTTTGTCCTGAGGGCCAAAAGAATTTCACCGATTTCATGCACCGATTCGGCCAATCTATGCCTGTCGCTTTCACATCAACATCCTCCGATACCACAGCAAGGGTTAATGCTAATAAGGCTAAGGAGCTCTCTAACCCTCCGTTCTGGTTTTCGTTCGAGTACGGAATGGCGCATGTAGTCATGATTGACACTGAGACCGACTTCCCCAATGCACCCGATGCGCCAGGTGGCTCGGCGAACCTCAACAGCGGACCATTCGGCAGGCCCGATCAACAGATACAGTTCCTCGAAGCTGATCTGGCATCGGTTGACCGCAAAGTCACACCCTGGGTAATTGTCGCAGGCCATCGCCCATGGTACACTACCGGCGATGAAGGCTGCAAGCCTTGTCAGCAAGCTTTTGAGGGATTGCTCTACAAGTATGGCGTTGATCTGGCCGTCTTTGGCCACGTGCACAACTCACAGCGCTTCTATCCCACGTACAATGGGACTGCTGACCCTGCTGGAATGAAGGATCCAAAAGCTCCGATGTATATCGTGGCTGGAGGTGCGGGAAACATTGAGGGACTGAGTGCGGTTGGGAAGAAAACTCCTATAAATGCATTTGCATATGCAGATGACTTTAGCTATGCGACCATTCGCTTCAAAGATGCTAATAATCTTGAGGTGGATTTCATTCGGCCATCTACTGGCGTAGTGTTGGACCGATCTAACCTTTTCAAATCCCACAAGACACAGTTTGTCAGACAAGCTTGAGATAGCTTCATCAATTAGTCGGAAATGCATCTCGAAGCTACAATTAGGCCTGACAATTCTCCAAATCAGCTCTAGCTTTTACCCCAAGATCCCTCTCGCTTGCCTTCGCTATTTCATCATCGCTACTATCGATCATCACATACGGCCGCTGAGCTCAAGGCCATGTGTCTATCATACCCGTGAACCAGGCTCCTGGTTTCCAGGGGCTCTCCGTCGCCGATTCAAAGTCCGCCTAGCGAGGTCTCTAAGACCCCGTGTCCTTCGATCATCCATTTCCTGTTCTTCACTCTTGTCATCGATCTTTTCCGACACTCTTTTTCGTGGCAGTCGGAACCATTCCGAGATGTCATTAACCTTCCAAGCGATTAAGATGGTGGGGAGGGAGACAACAGCCGATGCGCCGACTAATTGTATACTTCAGTGTTTCATCCCCATAAGCGGCGCTGATGACTCACAGAGGATCGGGAAAAGCCACCACCCTTGATACTTGAGAGCACCAGACTCGTGCGGAAAGCTGGCCACGTCCAAGGCAAACAATGATGATAAAAATGAGAGAGGGAGCTGCGTATGTGTAAGTGGTTATTCGAAGGTTTCCAGGCAGTGTTAGTGCCTTGTAGATACCACTCACAAACACGATTGTGATTATCGTAAACACAAATATAGTATTAGACTGTTTCGCTGTATCATTGGCCTGCGTGATACTCGCCTGCTTTTGTCGTAAGTCAAGCAGTGTGTTGATCTGTTCCTGAGTCAGCTTTGTAAACCAGCAATGATCGTCAAGTAGGTATTCTCACCGAGTCATTGATATTCTCTACCTCTTCCAGCATATCTTCAATGTCTTTCTTGACGTTTGTTGGCCTGCAAGGCTGGTGATACTGGAAGTGTTGGCGGTTTTCAAAAGCCCGTTTCCAAACTAGCTCTTGATCCTCCGCAAGGGACTTGAGCATATGTAGCTCATCGTGGATGTCACGGGTGATGTTGAGAAGGGCAGCTTCGGGAGAGATGCTGTGCGGATTTGATGGAGAACTGAAGGGGTGAAACGGGAGCTTTTTAATGACGCTGTTAACGTCAGTTTCATCCTGTTTCCTTTGCCGGTCTGTTTTGTTTAGCTCCTGGAGGAAGGTTTGATAGAGAAATATTTCTCGATCCGCCTGTTCGAATGGGTTAGGTGTATACGGTATAATACCTAAACGGCTAACTCACAGCGTGTCGTAAGTACTCTCTAAACACCTCCAAGGGTGTCTTAAACACCGAGTTTGGGTTACCTGGCAAGGGTATGAACTTCCTATCGAAGAAGCCCGTCGCAGCGCCAAGTATCAACTCCATGATTGAATGGACTGATCTAGGACGATCAGAATTGTCGTGACTTTCGCCGTATATCATGTGATCTAGGACGGTTCGGAGAAGGCTATCTTTTTGTCTCTCGTCCAGTGGCGTTGTTTCTGTCGAAGCCGTGATGACTGTCTCTGATATTTTGTCAGCGTGATTCAAACATAGAACTCGCCTCAGTTCCATACTCTCATCAATTATCCACATCCATACTTGATCAACCATCAGAATCCTTCTCGGATTCTGTTCTACAGTTTGGTCTGCAGGTTCAGTGGCCGTTCTTTCACTCTCTCCTTTGGAAAGTTTGTCACGCAGCTCCTTAGACTTCCAGGTCAGGTACTTTGACAAGACCTGATCTTTGTCTCTCCAATCCGTGTCGATCAATGTTGGGTAGTAGTACTGATCTAGTGTCATTGGCTCGTGCGCCGTTGCTATCGGTTCACGAGAGCTGGCTGGCTTTTGACACTGCCCTGACCCCTCTGGCTTTCCATCATAGTTGCAGCAGTCTTTCTCTTGGTTTGTGGGAGGTTGATAGTAGCCTGTCTTCACGTATGGCATCTATGTTACATCGTTGTCATTATAGTATACATCCCGGTCAATTTCGATCAGGGACATACATAGACGGCAGTGCAAACGCTGGGGTCCTGGGACATGGCACTGGAGTCCTTCTTAGAGTAAGTCCTGCCATTCCTCTATTCGTACGTCAGTACATTGTCAACCTGTCAGGTTATGTATCACTCAACATACCACACACTGCGGCTTCATGTAATGTTGTCCTCCGCCAGCCGCTAGATGGGTCCAACTTCGTTCAAAGTGACGCATCAAAGATTGATGGTCCATCGCAGAGCGTTCTGAGTCGCAGGACAACCTCGTAAGTAGATCCTTGACGAAAATTCATTAGGCTCGGAAACATAGAGCGAATTACTAGATGACTTACTCGCATGAACTGTAACTACGGGTAGAAGACTCGTTAGCTGACAATTTTCTCAAGCTTCTGGATGGAGTGAATGGTATTTACCTCGGTTACGGGAAGGTGGATCCAGCGAAGTTCAAGACTCTCGCCAAGGCGAGTCAAAGGTCTTCCATTGTTGGTACTGGTGCTCTGGGGGATATCAGAGTACCAAGCCTTGAGTAAGTCTCCCATAGTTCCAGACTCTTGTACCAGTGAGCCAATTTTTCGCTTTAAGCAATTCAAATCCCAGTCGTCCAAGTTGGCGGAGTTCTTCGTGATCTCGTTTGGCCCGGAATCATAAATCATATTCTTGCTGGTTGCATTTGAATACCGTGCACTTCGGACTTCACCATCGAAGAAGATTTCGATAATAATGCCTTCTAGTGCCAGGCTAGGGCTATCCGCATTCCTAGGCTTTGGTAATTCAGGTATCGGATCAGAATTTGGGTTGGAAATATTGCTCAAGGCCGGTAGTGGATTGTGTAGTAGCATTTTCAGGATTCCCTGGGTTCCCGAGCCTGAAAGTTCTACAAGCTTCTGGGCATGGTCAATAGTGCGACTGGATGAGTAACCTCCCTTAGATAACAACCACCAGACCACAACTGGCTGGGAACAGTAGATAGCCCAATCGAGTGAGTTACGCAGCTTTTCCCCCTTCTCCACCTCTGTCAAGGATTGGTTGGTGCACCATTGCCGCAGGAGGTGCTTCAAGACGTTCTCTTTGCCAGGCTTTTCGTACTGAGCAAGGGTCTCCAGAATTTGAAGGGCATCACTCGGATATTCGCGCAAATAGAGTGTCTCGCCCCTTCCAAATTCCTGTATCATGGTCCAAAACAGCTCAGTAATCCTGGTGTGGTTTCTATGGATGGAGATGCTAAGCGGCGAAGCACCATGACCATCGCGAAAGAAAATCGTAGTGGCAATCTCCTTGGCTGTGTGCTGTGGAGATTGAGACCCGATCTGCTTCAATAAACATGAAACGGTCTCAAAACTAGCACTGCCTACCGCCAGGTGGAGAGGTGTCACTTTACCCGCGGCCTCCTTGGATGCTTGAAAATCGGAGAATACCTCAGTTATCAGTCGAGACTGTGCATGCAGAGCAGCAACGTGGAGCCAAGTAGAGCCCTCTCTTTCCCAACTTAGCACCTCTGTGTTGCGAGAAATACACTCTTGAACCAGTTTGATCCGACCGTGAGCAACAGCCCAATACATAATGACATAAAGCTTCGACAGCGTCTTGTGCAAATTGCTTTCAACAACGCGCATCAAGTGCCCCTCAACTTCTTTATCGTGCTGCTCCTTCGCCATGAAGATCTTCTGGTCTGTGGAATATGTTGGATCTGCTGGATATTCTGGATAGAATCGCGGGGATTCCAAGAGACGTAGCATGATATTTGTGTGCTCTTTGTTAGCTGCGGCACATAGTGCTGTGTGGCCATGTCGATCAGGGGTTGCAACATCCGCACCATTGCTGATTAGTTTGTCGAGGTGCTTGAGTTGGCCTTTCACGCAAGCCAGATTCAGGGCAGTTAGACCATGAGGGTTGACAGGGTCCAACTTGGCCCCTCTGCGAAGTAGTATCTCCACGGGTTCGTTAGCTGGGTTGCAGCATGCTTCCATGAGAGCGGTGAGGCCATCTCCAGCACTTGTCTTCTGATCTATATCGGCGCCAAAGTCGAGTAGAAGATTGATCATCTTAGAGCATTGCTCCTTACAGGCAAGGAAAAGGGGCGAGAAACCAAAGATGTCGCGTTGATTGATGTCAGCGCCTAAGCCTACTAAAAGCGCAACAACATCCCGGTGTTCTTCGCCAAATGGTCTCTGAGACAAAACCACCGCATGAAAACCGGTACGCCTATGTATATTCAAGTCTGTTGTTAATGCACCTTCGTTTCGGAGCAAGTTGAAAATGTCCGGGTCCGGGTCCCAACACGACTGCATCAAGGGTGTATTGAGGTGAGCATCCTTTGCATGAATATTCGCTCCCTTGCCAATTAGCAGCGTGACCATTTCTGACAAACGATGTGAACAGGCGTGGTGTAGAGCTGTGTCTTTATCTTTGCCAACTCCTTGCGACATGTCTGCACCAAGCTCTAATAGCAACGGTACTGCATCGCGCCTGTCATTTACGACTGCCAGGTGTAACGCTGGAAGGGAGTAACCGTTCTCATCAGATATCTGAGTTGAGGGCCCTTTCTCCCATAATAACTTCAGAATGTCCACTTGACCGTACATGGAAGCCATGTGGAACGGAGTATTTCCTTCAGCATCGCGACTGCTAACGTCCGCGCCTGCATCTATAAGACGCTTGGCCACTTCAAGGCGACCATATCTAGAGGCTAGATGCAACGGGCTCAGTCCTTTTTTGTCAGGTAGGTCGACGTTTAGGTTGCTGGCTAGGAGCAGATCCAAGCTGGCTTGGTAATTGTAGCGAGCAGTAAAATGCAGCGCCGACCAGCCTTCGTTCTGAGTTGGCCAGTCAATGCCAACAGCCTGCGCATGACTAAGAAAGAATCGGACAACTGGAATCCGGTTGCATGCTACCGCCACAGCCAGTGGAGAGGCAGAATATTCGGCGGTCTCGGAGTCCTCAAGGGTTATCGTGAGGTCGCCTGTGGCATTTTGCAATTCCGCATTCGAGGCCAGAAGCGATTTAACTTTTTTAACGTTGTTATCGTTGATGGCCTTGTAAAAGCTCTCATGGTCTGACTTCTTAGAGGGCCTCATGATCATTAGGGACGTTCTGGTAGGGAGAAAAGTAAGTGTCCTGTAAAAAGAATTGGTATGGAACTCGATGAAGGACGTAGAGAGAAAGGGTTATTATTTGGTCAGGAAACCGAGTTGAACTTGTTGGTGATTTACGCGATCAGACCCTCGAAGATCACTGCCCTTTGGTAAACCATTTTCGTTCAGCTCCTGCAATATTCAGGTCAGCTGAAATTAGGGCCCACCTTTGGTTGACGTGTCAAATCTTCAACAACTCTGCCTGATTCTTTTGCGAACAATTAGACAGCGACAGCGTTTGCTGTCAGGCATTATATCAACAGCTCGGTTTTCTCTTTGAGCTATGTCTCTGTGAGTAGATTTCTTGAATACCTAAAGCAGATATATCCTTTCTTGTCGAGTTCGAGATATGTGTTGGTAGGGTATGCGACATCACCCCTGCTCGCAATCCCTAGATTCCACCTGTGCCAAGATGAGAAAAGCAAGGTGGCAGACGATCATTGCAAGAAACCTTTTTCGTTAAATGTTTAGGCACCAAACACTCTGACATCTCTTTAGGCACCGGAAGGCTTCTGGGCCTGACATTTGTTAAGGAATACCTACTCTCATCTATAAGTCTTGGTAAGGTTCAGGTAGTTCTTGTTACCTTAAGGCTCTACAACCTCCATTGAGTCTAAGCAGATAAGTATTAAATAGTAGGTTAGTTCTAACCAGCAATGACAGAAATAAGTGGAGTAGAAATTGAGGATGTTGTAATTAGTCCTAGTTTATAGTTTCAAGCATGAATCCTGATACATCTGTAAATACCACAGCTTTCTTATGGGTACTTGCGATTCAATTGTAATAGCAACGTAATGATATTTTACATGTCATCAAATGTACAGAATTTAACCGTTCCACTCAAACTCTGTCTTTATCTTTGGCATCCAGCCCGCAATGGCCCTCTCAAGCTCAAACCTGTCCTTGTCTTCCGACCATCGGATTAGATATCGTATGCTACCGTGAAACCGATACATCAGATGATTAGGGGCGCGGAAACCACAGGCGTCAAGTAGCCTGTCACGCAGCCTTCTCATGCCTCTCGCCGATGAAATACGTGGGGCGACATAATTCGTTGGGCGTTACATCGGCCATCGCCTAGAGGTCCACCTCTCTGTGAACGTGCAGCAGCTCATGACAAGCCAAATTGTTGTGGTGTGCGGGGTTGAAAATGACTGATGGATCTACCTGGTCGGGCAAGGATAAGCTGAGAAACGACATCACCTGCGGCCTGTTGATTCGAGATACCTTCCAACAGCCTCTTGGCAATGAAACATTCGTATTTCTCATAGCTGATTCCTAACTCTCTTCCTCTGTACCCTATCCGAACCCTCGGCCTCATCAACATCATCCAATTCACCCGCCTTCTTCATCATCCGATTATCATTCCAGTAGTAGAATATCATACCAGCAATAAGCACAATACTTCCAGCATAAAGGCACAGGATCTTCAGAAAGCCCTTGGGGTAGTACGGAGCGTCATTCTCTTGGAAGATGTTTTGTCCAGCGAGTCCTCCAACGTTGGAACCCGTAACAGCCAGAGCAATACCAATACATCGGATCTGAGGATCGTGAGTGTTGATGCTAAACCACGCATCATTTAATGCCTGGGCAATTGCCACACCGGAATTGAGGAGTGTCAGGATAGCGTACTTCATCCAGACATCACTGCTTCCGACAACAGCATATTGGACACCGGCGAATACAAGGGAATACACCCCGCATAGTAGACAGACCGGACCTCGTAGCAATGTCTTGTCGCTGACCCAAGACACAAAGATTGACAAGATACATACTCCGAAATTATGAACGGCTGACAAGAAACTGGCAGTAGAGGGAGAAAAGCCGAGGTTCTTTATGATGGTGGGTGTGTAAAAGACCAACCCTCCCTTAGGGGTAATGTTGACAGCGTTGATGGCAAAATGACCCCACATAGGAAAGTTGGTCAAGCAAATGCGCAAAGCAGTCATGGGGCTGATACCAGAAAGCTTGACTGACTTGCGCGGATCATCAAGAACGACGCGCTTGGCAAGGATATCTCTCTCTTTGTCGGTAAAAACGTCGAACTTTTTGATACCAGCGAGTGGAAGCGTGTCGGTCGTCGAGCGAGGCATGATAAAGATGAAGACAACGCCAACCAATATGGTAAAGATACCATCGATGAGAAAAAGCCATTGCCACTTTTTCAAGCCGTGGTGTTCTGGGATTCTGAAGATGAGACCGGCGAGCAGTCCACTTACGCCAGCAGAGCAGTAGTTTCCGACATAAACCAGCGTTGCCCGTAGAGCCATTTCCTTCCTGGTGTAAAATGATGCGATTATGGTCAGCGCAGCGGCTAGGTATCCAGCCTCCCACATTCCCAGCAAAAACCGCGTCGCGTAGAATGCTGATTTGTTGTGTACAGCTGCTTGGGCTGTCGCAATTGTTCCCCATGCGAATATTTGTATAATAAGCCAGAGCGCAGGTCCGATTCTCGATAGAACCATATTGAAGGGGATCTCGAAGATAACGACGGCTGCTAGCATGAGTTGGTTGCCGTAGTTGACGATGTCTTTCGTTATGCCGAGATCATCGGTGAAGCTGGTGGTCATGGCGTAGCCTACATTTCCCCTGTCGAGCTGCAATGCGAAGAGGCCAAGCATAAGAATTGGCAAGACTGTAAAGTCAATTCTGTCATGGTATGTCAGTAGGTGGCAGATAATACTAGGGTGAAGAGATACTAACTTTCTTCTCAGTTTTCGCTCACCCTTTTCAGTCCAGTCGCAGACGGGAACATGACTCTCAGACTCCTGTATTGTCGCCTTCCCAGCGGGATTGATGACCTCTGGACTGTTCACCCTCAGGTCAGATTGCGAGGATATGGTAGCCATCCCAAAATTACTGCAAGCGATGAACTGACTATCTAGGGTGTCGCCTACGCCCAGACTGGGAACACCAGATCTTTAAGCGAAATCTTGGGGAGAAAATTGGAGTGATACCCCGCTTTACCAACATGATCGACATCTTCAGGACTTATCAGCTCGTCTGAAATACAGGTTACAGTCAAATTGTTAATGATTAAGTATGTGGCTTACTATAGCTTGTTATCTGATCACCCGCTTACGGGCCGCACTAAGACTGTAAGTCGATCTATGTCGGGCATAGTGGACTTTTTCAGCCCAGTCAGAGGGACCAAGGCCCGTTTCTACTGGTTTGGGACTGACCAAGCCGGAAAGATCTCCGTGGGAACCAAGTCGATCAGTGGGACCGGTCAATCTTCATCATTTTCTGACATCAATTTTCGGACATCGTGATTTTTTCTGGTAGGTGACCACGTGGGGGAGCAATTATCTACCACGACGAAGAAAATTGCCTTTTCATATATCTCTTCGCCTGTTATTTGATAGCTCCAAAATAGTCTGGGTCATATTGAACTTGTCATAAGTTTGACAAGGTGTGGCCGGTGATGTGGTAATGTGGCTGCTCATGATATGGTTCTGAAAATAGAGATACGCTTAGTGATAAGATAAGATGCGATAAGAGCCGATTAGATAAGACTATAGATAAGAGTCTCCAGCCCAACGAAGTTACAAACTGTCTCAGCAGGACTCGAAATACTATCCTTCTGCAGATAGAAGTTTCCGTTTGCGTAGATACCTAGAAGTCCAAAAAGACTGATCGGCCTTACTCTGAATATTGAGATTTATGTGAGATGTGGAAAGTAGCTTGTAAAATCGTATTTGCTAACATTGCTGTAATGATCGACATAAACAAAACATGGAGCGAAAAGACTCGCGTCTGTTTCATCAAAAGGTTCAGGACGAATTCTTACTGCTTTGATTTGTATAGTAATCAAAATTACTTTATTCTTTATTTTTGCACATACATCGCTCCGTACCCAGGTTGGTGGTGGAATCCTTTTTCGTTGCTATTTATCATGAATATTTACCCTGGACTCTGGTCTACAAGAGCAATTCCGAGTTCCGCATCAGGGCGGCTAAGTTCCGGAGTAGGTGGGTCACTTCTTCCAAGACACTATTATTTCCGAAAGATCGGCTAGTTTCCGCAGCTAGTCTACTGTTGTCGTCGCCAAGTCCTGATGGAAATTACATTCCTTGTGGATACAAGTTACTCTTCCTGGAAGACCTTACAACTTGGACAAACTTGAACTGGTTTTATCCCCGGTATTTTTATCGAATCGCACTACTCGTAGATAAAAATTGGACTGCAGTCTGACAGCCCAAAACAAGGTCATTGCTGATGTATCCCCAGTAGACCTTCCACTCGGTGGGCTTGTAGCTCTCCTGGGATTTGAATCATCGCAGCTTTCACAAGGAAGAGCTGACCCTGGTAGCACGGTCTGGCACACCCGCCAATTATAGTTTTATTCGTTTCGTCCTTACAGGCATCCCAAACTATCTATACAACCTCTCTCGACTCAGTGGTCTCGTATCAAGATGTTCAACAGCCTCATCAGCACCCGCCTGCTGTTCCGAATCTTCTGCCGACACCTTTTCCACTTTGTTGTTCTGAAGTGTATGAACAGCAATGTACCCACTCTCCTCCCGAGGGCCCACATCAGCGAGCTGTAAACGAATATCACCCAACGCTCTCGCCCTCTCCGCTCCATCGAGAGCAGAGTTCACAGGCGGTACAGGTACATAGAGATTGTCGCGTGTTAACGAGCTGGCGAACCCGAGAACCTCTGGCCCGACTATGATAGCCTCTAACACAAGACCTAGAATCGCAAGGACTTGAAGAAATATTGTCGCTGTGAGGAGAATAGCGACCCAAAGCTGGCTCGCACGGTATACCTCAAAGGTCCGAGTCATGGTTCCGACAGTTGCGTTCATGAAAGGCTCAAGATTGAACTCGTCTTCATATGCTGTGTTACTGCTGTTGAGAGCGCCGAATGAGACGTTGGTATGTCCAAGAGGATTCAAAGTTGCATCCCAGAAAGTGTTGAAGGCTGTGGTGAGTCTTCTGGATTCACTATAGAAGTCCCACTCCTGCTGGCTCACGCCGCTCCAGTCTCTGTAGTCCTGCCTGGAATATGGATGGAGTTCACCCATGATGTAATTCTCCGTGGCCAGTGGTCCATCGAAGCCGCTATCACCTGACGCCTCAGGCCAGTATGCCAGTGCCTGTTGCAGCGCACCAAACCTCTTGCGCATCAATCTTGGAGGACGATTTTCATGTTCTGTGCCGTTGATTCGTCGTTGTTGATATGCATAGCAACTTGTTGAAGTTGGACGTGGGCCACAGTGAATATCTGTCTCGACCCAGATCGTTTGCATAGTGCAGTTTATAGCTGACCAGTAGCCAGATGGCCTAGCCTTCATTTGCCATTTGATAAAATAAGTAAGCTCTAGAGGAGGTGGTTCGTCAAGTTCGTTCCACTCCTCCCACGCCACTGGAGCCCGAAGACGAACATCAGCCCCTTCACCTTTCCGGTCGGATGTGGTCTTGTTTTTCCAGTAATTTGTGTCAAGATCGAATCTCTCATCCGTCAACCTGCAGTCGAGAGCGATATATGACGTCTGCACAGTAAAGTTATGCTCTGTCGCTTCTTGCGGCGGTCCCAGGCCTCGTAGCTTAACACCGAGTAGGGATGCATAATGGTGGTAACCAATTTCGAGTTCCTCTAGATCGACCGTATATGTCTTTCCTATTTTCTCCATATCACCTCTGAACTGAGGAATCTTCGGTAATTCCCACATATCCCTTGGAGAGCGCTTTTGCTCGAGCGATGAGAGAAGATTGGATGAGTAAAGTGCTGCCACACTGCCTTTAGTCGCCACGAGAGATTGATGGGCCAGGTAGCTGGACACCTGATATGCCGGGTGCAAGTAATTGATAGTGCCATTCGCCACTTCCGTTGCATTCCCGAACCCAAGTATTCTTGATGAACTCTGACCGCCCAAGGGAGATAAGGCCCACGTCGTAAGTATAATAACACTGAGAACAATGTGCGTGTGGACGAAAAAGACGCGTTCCAATGCCGTAGCAAAGCTCTGGCTCCCGAAAATCTGCTCCAGGACTGCAAGTCGGACACCACCTGACTGTTCCAGGCAATAACGGGCAAGGTTCTTGTAAAATCGGCCTACTACGGCAGCGAATAAGATGGGATATAATGAAGGACTTAGTTTGGTCAGTTCCAATACGTGTTGACCGAAGCTTGACCTCATTTGGCCGTCCAAGTTGACCACAACTACTGCGAGAGCTAGGTATCTATTTAGCAAATCACTTTTGCGAAGAAAGAAAACCAAGGGAAGAGCCTTACCAATGAAGCACAGGGGCACCAACGTCAGAACAATGTTCCAACCCCAAACAAAATAAGTAGTGACATCTGCTTGTTTAAGCTTTCTTGGCTGGCTTTGTGATTTAACGTCTGCCATGATCGATTCGTTTCTGCTCGGGGTAGGAGAAGGTCTCGTATTCTCGACGTTCCCATCAGATCCTTGATTGCGGATCTGGGAATAGGTCTGCGCGTTTGCATGTTTGGCAGGCCGTTTCTTCCTTTGGTAAATTTAGCATTGAATTGAGGGTTCAATGGGTTTGTACACCTACCAAAATCTTGCCAACAAGCCAATGCAGATCAAGATAGCGATTAAAATACCACTACAGATTCCTGCCACCGCGTAAGGTGTCATCAGGGACCCATTTCGACCGGACTCTGCATCATATGTTACATTTCTGAAAGAGGAGGGAAGCATTGTGGAAGGCGGCTCCAAAGGTATCTTCAACGAAGGCGATACCCCTAAGTTCATGCTTGGAGGATAGAAAAGATCGCGTCGCCTCGTTTCATTCGGAGATAATAAAGCGGTGCCAAGTTCCGAGGCGGGACAGCCATTGCCACAAGCCTGTTGACCACAGCATCCCACAAACGGTGGCCTTGTTCCCCAGCAAACATAATAGTCGTTACTAGACGAAGACGATAAACAAGTTTGGAGGGGCATCTCGTAACCGTTGTCGGGATCAAGGGATAAAGGTTTCACGCCGCTTTGGCATATACCGGTGCCATCGGCGCAAGGATCATCATCGCAGCAACCAAAGAACTCGATCCAGGCATTTTCGCAAATATAAAAATCCCCACCCTTTGGGCATTTGAAACCCCAGTAATCAATTGCCGCTGTGAGATTGCGCAACATGCTGTCTGTTGCGGTTGGAAGAAAATAGATGTATGGAAGCAAGCCACGAGAGGGTTGGGCAACACTTTATGCACCTCTTCCAAGGCCGCATCCATAGATACTGGGAAGTGACATCAGGCTTTGTTGGGGGCTGATTCGAAGGATCAAGGTGCAGCGGCGATTTTCTCGTGTTGGCTGCATATTCGTTATGCAAAGAGGTACATCGGACGGTGATTGGATATTACAAGGATCTTCGCCAAGCATTTGTCTGCCTCAGCGCGCCAAGATACTACAGTAAGTAAGGATTGGCGATATGCTATCACGCTGCTTTCTGTACAAGATCATCGATAGGAATTTCCCTACGACAAAGCAGTGGGATTTTACGACTGCAGAGATGTTCCTTGCTTAGCTGTATCTGCCAGGCGCATAGACACCGCAATATTCTTTGCAATGGCTGCCAGGAGTGAGCACAAGCTTTACCAAGAGCCTAAGGGATGAAATATTTTGGTTACTTTATGCTCGCTTAGACTAACACTTAGGGTGCTTTATTTATTTAGCGCACTAAGGCTTAGACAATATCTCTCGGTTATTGCAACCTATCTTTAATTTATCATGGGAAGCGCGAATGACCGGGTAGGTGGAAGACGCTGACCAGTTGAATCGCTCGCGTGAAAGAAATAGGAAGGATGATTAAGAAGCTCATGTTGGACGATGAGAGAGTTGAATAGAGAGGCTCTCGCCTAAGACTGTGTGACTCGACACAAGCGTAGGGCGCGTCAAGTGCTGGCTTGAATTGAGGTTGCACCAGTCCACCGGTTCGCTTTTGTCCGAGCATGTCTTCCTGGAAGAATGGAAATTCGACGATCCATTCAGGCTTGACTTGTGTGACAGTGTGGATTTGCGCTTTACCATGATGTTGGATCTTGTTAAAGGCGACCCATGAGTGCTGCATTAAAGCAACGTCGCTGTAGGCATCAATCAGAAGATCGTAATTGTCGTGCACTGCTTTTTAAACATGACCGTCCTTGCGGATGACAATGTTGTGATAGAGGTCCCTAGCAAGAGCCTTGGCGACCTTGGTCTCGTACTCGGCATCGAATGTCGCGGCGTGAGCGTTGCTTTGTGGCATTTTGTTGTAGACTTTGATGACCTGGCTGCGCGCCCGCAAAATCTCTTCGATGATATTGCCGTCGAGGAAAGCGTTCAAACACCACTGGTCCATACTGACACTCGGACGCAATGCTTTGGTTCGGCAATACGCGTGCAGCGCATGAAGAGATGAAATGCGATCGGACGTCGGGCAGGAAAACCGCTACTGAGCGGCATGGGCAGCGGTACCGTAATGGAAGGGGCGCGAGAACATGGACCCCTGGACACTGCCGACGGCGGCAAGCATTATGATATCGCTTGTGCAGCCGAGACGCGCCCCCTCGGCGATGGCATTCCACCACATAGGGTGTATGGGCAGCTTGGCAGCCATGCGACCCGTCTCAGTGATTGCGCCTTGAAGAGAGATATAACCCCTATAACATGGTTGGCATAGTGGAAGTTATTAACGATGAATGTACATGTGGTGCAGACTAGAGATAGCCCGGAGAAAAACCTCTGTGTCCGGAGGTTCTATGAGATTGAAATCCAGGATATCGAATCCCATTGATATGATCTTCAGAGCCTGGTCCACGAAGCAGGTGGAGAAAATAGTCGGCTCCACATCGGGTGCGAAGTCCTCGTCGAATGTCTTCTTCGTGTATAGACGGAAGCACACACCGGGCTGAGTGCGACCGCATTGCCGAGGCTTGAGTTATATGATAAGTCGTTAGACTATCCATGTCAATCCTCGGGTTGTATCCTGGACGCTTCTCGATTCCTGTGTCTACGAGATGGTTACTCTGAATGTGGAATTCGACCTGGCGGTTTTGACTTACCGATGTCATAGACAATACCAGGAATGGTGGGACTGGCCTCAGCGACGTCGGTTGCCACGACGTATTTTCGGACTGAACCGTCAGGCTGAGATCGAGATGTAGCCTTTTTCTGCTCGGCAGGAGTTTGTGGAGCGTGCAATGGGACGACAAGAAGCTTTTCACCATGTTTCTCTTTCAGGATAACACAGAGAACGTTGGTGTCCCCCATCGCGGACATAAAAACAAGGATGTCTCCTGTCATCGCCCTCTTCGTAATGTTGGCGACGGAGTACAGGGCCGGGGCGAGGATCAGACACTCACCAAAATGAACAGAAGTGAAATGACCAGACGAGTGACGAATGCAGTATACGCTAAGATTTAGGACACAGAAATAAAGTAGCCTAAATACTAGTCTAATATTACCAAATTCTTAGGCTATTACTCTTATAAAGCTCCAAGGCCACATCGGAAAGGTTGATTTCCTTTCCTACATGTTAATTTCCATTCTCTACATACTCACCCATCGACTGCAGCACATCTTCAACACAAGCACCAAACCCGTTGTACCATTCTACTCATGGCGGTTCTTGATGAAGTTCCTGGCGTTACCTTTACAATCCTCCTGGCGTCAGGCCTGGCAGGGGAGGAGCTTGAGCCCCCAGCTGGCTATGAAGAGACGCTTCACGCTGGCGGTCCGCACGCTGAGCTGCCTACGAGACACTCATTTGTCGAGCTGGCATCAGGTTCCCGATTTTCCGTCGAGGTAAAAATCCTGAATAGCCTCCCACTTGGGGAAGGGCATGATACAGCTTGTTTGGAAGTCTTGGTCAAGGGGAACTGAGTCTGCGAACATGCCATTGAAAGCGAAAGGTTGGCTCGAGAGGGCATTCATTCAATCAAGATTCCCCGTACAGGGAACAAATTCCCCTTCACGTGGGTTGCGCAATGTACGTCAAGCTAATAAGTCATTACTCAGGAATCCTCTGTTAAAAGAAAGTAAAAGATGAAGCACTCCATGATGAGACCAACAGAAGCGACTCTCTACCTGCCAAGGATGTCGACACTGCAGAACTTGTGGTAGCGAGCAGCAAGTCAACTGGACGTTCAAACGGGACTCATCTCGCCGCATCGAATGAGAATTTACGTTTCACAACGAAGTCCCTCGCACACAAGACAAGAAGCCACGGAATCTTGAAACAGTCAGTCACGGCGTAGTTGCGGGGTGCATGGTCGAGCATGTAGCGGTCGTGGGTTTCCTTGTTGTACATCCTGTACACCTCACCATCGGCCGTGCGACCTGCCCGGCCTGCCCGCTGACGAGCAGAGTCCTTCAGGATCGCGACTGGTAGTAGAGAGGTCATTGACAGCCGAGGGTCGACAGCTGACTCTAGCTTCAGCTCACACTCTAGCAAAAAAGGCAAGCGATGGCAATCCAAGATATCATGTTGACCTACCATCGACGTATTCAACGCTGGGAATCGTGACGCTAGTTTCGCAAATATTCGTGCTCACGATGATGGTCGGCTTGTTAAAGCCAAGAGTGACCGCGTCACGGTCAGCCTTGGGGAGAGAGGCGTACATGGCAATGACCTGCTGGGTTGGGTGTTGTTTGCGCAGACGGACAAACATCTCCTCGATTTCCCTCTCTTTGGTCACGAAAACAAGGATGTGACCGGCACGGATGGGCTGCTTGTGTCTGATGTTGTGACGAACAGTTGCGGTGATAGATGCTTAACAAAGGCCTTCCAAATGCATAATCGAAAGCATGTTGGACGAAGAGTAGGCTTGGAAAACCTCTTCAGTACCCAGATATTGAGGGGACTCGGCGTTGTATATAGTGGCTGACATGACAACAAGCTGCGGATTCGGACCGCCACTGACCTGTAGCTCTCGGCCTGTTTGCCAGGTTCAGCCCCCATTACGTGGGCAACTGGCCCCGTAGATGGAATAACTTTCCTCAAGTCTTAGGGCACTAAGAATAAACTATCGTAAGATTTAGTCTAAGGTCCACATGAAGTAAGAAAAGTCTTTCGTCTCTTAGGCTCTTGGCGAACTCTAATCCCAGATGCCGTCTTGAACTCCTTCGTCCCGAAGGTGTCTCTGCGGCGTGCGTATCAGAAATCGCCAGTCTTCAGAATGCCTATGAAGAACTTGACGCCCGCTCTTTTTCCACCGAGAATAAGGGGATGGCAGCCTTGCGGGTAACACCAGCACCTTCTCCTAGGCCGGAGAACGATGATTTTCTCAGGCCTTGGATGTACACACAGAAAAGCAATGATGAGGACAGGGAGCGGGAAAGGATTCCGCTCGAGTGTCTTTCGAAGTACGAAGTCCACAATCAGTATGAGTGGCATCGAGACCGAGCTCCAATTAGTATTGTAGAAGAGAACAAGGACTAGCGACCGTAACCAGCCTGAGATAAATCTTAAATGTGGGTAGCCCAAAAGAAGTTGAGACGTCATGTAAAAGCGAAAGACCTTTTGTTGGGGTAGAGCGGAAATGAGGTTCCGTGTAAGCTTCAAAGTCACGAAGTTTGAACGCAAGCTTGAATATGTCAGGGAAGGCTTATCCCAGACCTTCGTTGCCTGTCGAATGACAGTTCGTGTGATCAAAAGTGTTGTTTTATTAAGTACGCATTGCGGGCATCTTTATCACCAGATGTGTCACAAGCAAACCCAGAGTAGCAGACCTTCGTTGCGTTCTTTCTTCTATCACAAAACCCAAGTTGGTACGAGACGATGTTTAAATTGGTGTCTAGTCTTCTGTCCGAAGTCAACTGAATCGTTCTCGGTTACGTTCACTACATTGAATACCACCGCCAAACTCCCTAGTGCCAACACTCAGAACACGGCAGCGATGACATAAAAAGACTCTGTGATCGACCATGCTATCATCGACTACCTGCATTCTGATACCGGAGACCGCAATGAGCTCCTTCATTTCCTCCGATACCTGCGAAAGAATGAGCCAACGCATAAGACTATTCCGATGGAAGACCTTGACATAAAAGTGCATCATATTAACGAAATCATCAATAAGGAAGGGAGAATGATGGAGAAGATTCAGTTTGCCTACTTAATCCGCCCGTCATCCGATGACCTTCAGTCTGTTTCTCCAGGCAAAGTGGGGCTTGTTAAACGTAGCATGGGCCTCCTCCCGAGCTGTTAGTACATTTAGACCACTAACGAGTCATCGTAAGTACAATATGTCCATAGAAACGGACAAACCTCATTCCATCAGTGGATCTGCACATCTTTAATGCCCGGGTAGAAACATGTCGGTGGCCCATAAAGGATCGTCGCAACTGAAAGTGTCGCTAACTCGATTGATCTCGCGCTTGTCGCGGCCTTTGTTTTCGATGTTGCGAGATTTGTTCCGGTGTTCCCAGAGACACTAGCCCTCGGATTCCCATTCTGCCAACTCTTCCCCCTTGATTGCCTTGAGCTCCGGATCGTCATCGTCGTCGCGGTCGATTTTCGTATACCACCCTGCCCGAATCTGGCCAGGTGGCAAGTATGCCTTCGCACGAAGTGTTGGTTCGCGAGACTCGTCGGTGCCAACAAAGGAATGGTGCGCTGTACCTTTTATCCCGATGGTCGTCACGCCATTCCCTTGGCCATTCCTGTGTTTCGAACGTCTCATCCATGCTTTTGGGAGAAGTGTGAGGTACATACTCACATTAGGTACAGGTCTTTTCACGCGGAACCACAGTATTTTCTAGAAAATGGGTCTAATGCTTAGCGCAGTAGAATAAAATATGCCAAGTCTTACTCTAAACATGCATCAAGTAACTGTGGTCCCTCATCATTCAGGGCCTCCGGGGAGCCAAGTACCCTCCGATCCATCAGTCATTACCCATTCCTCATCCTCGCTGGGCAGCTCCTCACCGTCCAGGTCCCACTCCACTTCCTCGTCGATGTTAGCATGTCCAGTAAAGCCCGAGTCGGCAGCAGCATTGCAGATCTCCCACTGGATATCAAACATTTGTTTGCATTTGTCGATATCTTCAGTGAATCGGATGATGGTACAGATATCTCCACTTTTGATAGATTGCCGCGATTTGTGATCTCGTGCAATAACATATACCTCGTCAGAAGGGGGGTAAATGTCCTCACTCGCCGTTAGTGCCGATTCGGACCCAAGGGCCTCATTCTCATCCTTCAAAGTTGCGCTGAGCGTCGGGATGGTGTTCCATGGTTTCAACCAGTGAAACTGAAGCGTTATACGCGATTTCAAAGGATCTTCCGGCAGGGCAACTGCACTCAACCACTTCAAAGCCCACAACCCTCGTCTCCAAAGTTGATATAAATCCCGACTGACGGAGATGACATTCCATGACTTGTCAATGGAACCCTTATGATCGTATAGCCTTTTGAGGTGTTCGAGAGGTTCCTCGCCAGCTGGGTTATCGATTATCACTGACAAAGCAGATGTCAGGGACTTTGTGTATTCCAAGTACTCATTGGTGCAGTTCCACTCGATTGGCACTATGAAACCGGCAAATGCCAGAGGGTACCCAGTAACGACACATGTATCATTGTCAAGTTGCAAGCACAGGTTGAATGTTTCTTGGCTCCGATCGATCGGGTCATCGGGTTCCTCTGACCCTTGAGCATGACTCATCGAGGGCTCTTCCTCGCTGCCAGGTACTTCTGCGTTAATCTTGTCGGTAGTGTATAATATTTCAGAAGGTAATTCAAAGCCGGCACAGTCCCAAAGTTCTGATGGTTCGAAAACTAGAACATTTGTTAGAAGAGTGAAAGGGCTCGAGGGAAGGGATATCTACTTACAGTGCCTTGTAAGTGCTCCCCAGCTATCAAGTATCGGCTGGCCCTGGCAGGGAAGAAAGCCCTGTTTTCCGCAAGTGATTGAAAAATCCTCTAGCTTTCTGGGATCCATACGTAATAGATAGGCGAACTGGATATGACTGACCATCCAGTGCTCGTTGCCTCGGACCTTTCTTTGTTTCTCGATGATGGCCCGAATATACTCGCATCTTAGGTCATACTCTTCGTCATCAAGCGGCGCCTCTGGTGACTTATTTCGCCGTCGGTATTTGATCAGTCTTAGAAGCAAATCGTAAGCTCCGTCGAACGACTGTAGGTAGCTAGCGATAGCAACGTGAAGGTTGGGGTCTTGTGATCTCGTTGCTGCGTCGTGAAAGTCCATTTTGATTGTGGTGTCGACAATGCTGCGATGCGAATCTGCCCAAAAATGATTAATCTAGGTCTTAAAAGAGTTAAGTCAAGTGTGGGAAGAGGAGGTCTACTTATATTTTCGCGGGAAAAGTCTAAATCGATCAAGGTCGGCATTTTTTTGTCTTGCGCAAACCTTGTGACAGCAAGGGACCAAGAAGGTTCCTAGTAAGCATTGTAGGCATAACACTCTGCATGCATAGATTTAGTGAGAAAACCTTACCTTTTATTACCCTAAACGTGGGTGTCGCAACCTGTACCCCGGATTACAAGCGATCGAGACAAAGCAAAAGGTACAATGGTGGTGAGGATCTTATCTTCGCTTATCTTATCAATCTAGCAAGGTTTGACAGGCGTGGCGCTGGGATGTGGCCTGCAAAGCCGTCTCGAGGCTTAGGGTAACTGTGCGACTGTCATAATACCACATCTAACGACGTTCTGCAAGATTTACGACTAAAAGTAAAGTGACCAAAATGAATCTAAGTAACCATAAAGTACACAAAGTATGTAACGTCTTAGGCTTTTGCGCATTCAGAAACCCTGTGATAACTCTTCACAAAGCCATCAAACACAGAAAGCCATCGAACATGCAAATCCATGCAATACATGAAAACAACCCGCCCCCAGTATTCTTTACAGGAATGAAATGTAATCCGCGCAATGCTACCGCCACACATCGATGAAACCATTATCTGTGTCTTCCGAGGATGTTGTATGTAGTTTTGGTATAGTCATAAGTGGGACAGGATTTACTCTGCGACCGAGTGACACGCACAACAGCTTCATCGACAGGACGTATGTCATGCACACCTACACACGGCTTGAGTCCAAGCCATCACCGACAATGCGAAGGGACGGACAATGTGCTTGCCTTGAGTTGATTTAGACATTCGATTTTGGGTAGGTATGGTGGACTTGAAAGTGTTCCGATGTAGATCTTCTTGAGGCCATTACCTCTAGTAGACTGTAATCACGTTAAAATGGCAGTCTGTCAACTCCACTGACAAAATACGCACTAATCAATTTTACGCCAGCCTTTCCATTCTAGTCGAAGGTCCGGCTGTTAGATCCGATCAGATAACCGTTAGTGTGGTCAAGCGAAATTAGAAGGGCCGCAGCCCCAGCGACTAAAACACCATTTCTATAACGCGTGACTGGTTAACTTGCGTTATCAGATGGGCTATAAGAGATCATCGTTAACTTACCAGTAACGTTGTCAGCCTCCTGTCGCCTTCTACAGTCAGTCCACTGCAGAACGCTTATGCTTTCCAGAAGAACCACTGTGTAGAAAAGATCCCATACAAAGACATTGTCACGATGTTGGGGTTATCTGGATACAACCCGTCAACAACTCTTGTTGTGGAACAACATCTGCGAGAAATTTTCCGGTGCAGGGGTCATGTGGGTCAAATCTGATCAGCCGTGTGAGAGTGCCGACAGAGTACTACGTGGGGAATTGAGCCTCAACCACTGAGTGATCTTCCATGGGTCATTTCCGGTTTTGGTCTTAATAGTCTCGAATTTGCAAGACAGCGGAACAAGCGTCTGTTGAGGGGCCCACTGTACGCGTCGCCAGAGAAAATAAAGATGATTAGTAGGGTTATACTTAAAAGCAATGTTTCCCGTCCTGAACATGCCAGACTGTCGATCGCGAAAAGCAGATGAAGCACCATCGAAATGCGGTCCACCAATTCCTTCACCGTGATCCTGTTCGTGCTTGCTTCTTTTTCAGCAGCACATTTAGGGCTCAACAAGAGATTTACTACACCAACCGTCGGCGAATTTGAGCACGCCGCTACCAAGTCATCTCTCGAATATGTTACCAACTCCGGAATCTGCGAAACTACACCCGGAGTGAACCAGTACTCCGGCTATCACAATTATGGTGAGCATACCACAAGCCACTATCACCAATCGATATTGACAGTCTCAAGATCGGAATACGAGCATGTGGTTTTGGTTCTTCGAGGCCCGCAATAAGCCCAGAGAAGCTCCCCTAGCTCTCTACCTCAATGGTGGTCCCGGGTGCTCTTCCGAGATTGGGATTTTTCAGGAAAACGGGCCTTGCCATTTTATTGGCAATAATACCGAGCCGACGCTTAACCCTTACTCGTGGAACGAATATGCCAACATGATATATATCGATCAGCCATTTGGTACGGGTTCCAGCGAGGGCACCGGTATCAATACGACTGTCGCTGCAGCGCCTCATGTCTGGACCTTTATGCAAGCCTTCTTGGAAAATTTCCCGAAATATGCGTCTCGGGACTTTGGCCTCTTCACCGAGTCTTATGGCGGCCACTATGGTCCAGAATTTGCGGATTATTTCCTCAGACAAAATGACAAAATCCAAGAAGGGCTTATATCCGGCCACCAGATCAACTTGATCGCCTTAGGTATCAACAATCCTTGGATCGACCCTACTGCTCAGTTCAAGGCTTACGCTACATACGCCCATGAAAACCCTTACAAGCAGCTCATCAATGAGAGCCTTTACGAGCACTTCCTCAACTTATATGAGGAGAGGTGCGTCCCTCTACTGAACAAATGCACAGAAACAACAGGACAAATGGAGGCTTGTGCCAATGCCAGTCTTACGTGCAATACGATCATGTATGACGAATTGATCGAAGCGAGTGGCGTGGACTTTGGTGTGAACGATCTTCGAATCGGTAGCGAGGATGTTGATCCTAGTGAGACATACGTCGATTACCTCAATCGACCGGAAGTTCGGCAGAAGATTGGTGCTCGTCAAGAGTTTGAAGAGTGCAATTTGGAAACCTTTTACAAGTTTGGCGATACGGGAGATGGTAATCCTCAGCCATCTGTCAATAGAGAAGTATACTGACAAGCTAAATAGATGCGCGCTCGTTCTCAAATGCACTAGCAGATGCCATAAATCGCAACGTTACTACACTCATCTGGGTGGGTGATGCTGGTAAGCGTTCTCTTTGGTCTTTCGGTTTAGGTATCTGACTACGGGGAGCAGACTGGTCTTGCAGCTGGCCAGGCGTTCTTGAAGCCGTGAGCGCCCTTAATTGGCATGGACGTGAGGAATTCGCGTCTGCTGAGTCGAAGAACTTTACGGTTGACAGCAAATTTCATGGGACATTCAAGTCGGTTGATAACTTCAGCTGGCTCAAAGTAAATAATGCTGGGCATTATGTTTCGTATTACCGTAAGTGGAATTGTGTTGGCTGTTGATTGCGATGCTAATACGTGTACAGAACCTAAGCTTGCGCTTCAGCTGTTCAAGCAGACGATGCAGCGACAGGGTATATCTTCAACGTAACATATTGGCGTGAAAATGTCAAACTTGACCGAGTCCGGGCTGGTAAGCAGTCACTACTACAGGTGACTATCTATATCTGAATTCAGCATTTGCATACTCTAGAAGCTTCTACCCTTCTTTCTTAGAGTGGTCCACTGTAGCAGCTACTTCAAACTCCTCCTCTATGGCTCTTTGGTGAAATGTAGAGTGTGCGCGGATTCGTGGCCCGAAGCGGTAAAAGACAAAAGGCAAGGGCGCTAAAGCTACTGAAATAAAGCCCAGTATAGATGTGGCCCACGCAGCGCCTAGTTTGTCGTACATCTGATGAGAAAACAGAGGGAAGCCTGCTCCAAAACAAGACCTGAGAATCGCATTGGCGGCCAGTGCGCTGGCTGCATATTTTCCGTAGCAGTCGATGAGATATGATGTGATACCAAGCGATAGTACCACGAAGCCTATGCCGAAGGGAATGCCCGATATGATACAACTTGCCCAGTGGATGGATGTATCGGCTGTCCACGCGAACCAGAATAGTCCTATTGGCACGAGCCATGAGAGGAGGATCAGGTGGGGTAGTCGAGCTTCTGGTTTGGGTCCACCAAGCTTCTTGACCCAGGTGGCGTAGACGCGGTTTATATATGGTGATGCAGCAGTCGCAATAGCCATTCCAGCCCCGATACCTAAAGTTCGGTTCTTAGCAGAGGACCTCTATGATGGGGTGGAATGCATCGTTACCTAAGAAGCTCAGACCAGAGATGCCGGCGTCCCAATGCCTTGTCTGCTGGAAGACATACGGATAGGCAGTGAAATCCAGATACAGTATGCCATAGATAAAAGCCATGTAAAGCGAGAGCAGAAACAGAATTGGCTCGGTAAGAAACATGATGCTTGGTCTAGTAATGTTAGTCCGAAGCATCGTGATTACTTTCTGATGTGGCTCTTGAATGCCATGTTTCCGTCGTTTTGCCTGTAAGAGCCGAGGAGCATAGGTTTCGGGGAGAAACACAACCATGGTGGTATAGATAACACCACTCAGTATGGAAACCAGCCAGAAGTCCCTACGTGAATTAGTATTTGATTTATGCTAGCACGAAGAGAAAGCTCACCATCTCCACTTTTAAGACTCATGTTAGTTACACTCAGCACAGCGTCTATAAGATGGTCGGAGTCACTTACAGATTTATATTCAGTCAGAAAGCCACCGACAATCGGCGCAATGACCGGACCTAAAAAGCTCGCCGCAGTAAATAGCGCAAGAGGAACAGAACGATGGGTTGATGGCCATAAGTCTGTTAAAGAGCCGCCAGAGTTGGTAACTGTTCGTCAGCAAGAAAAGTCTCCACTAATAAAGCGTAGCTTACCTGTAGGGGATCCGAAGAAACCACACAGAAAGCGAAAGAACAAAAGAGCAGCAATATTAGGTGACAGAGCGCAGCCAATATTGAATAAAACAAAGAGTAATAACGTGCTCCGATAAATAGGATTTCGCCCGTAAATTTCTGACAACGGTGCAAAGATGAGTGGCCCTGTACCGAAGCCAAGTAAAAACGTGGTGACGCCTAGAGTTGCGACGGTAGAAGAACAGTTCAAGTCCTTCGCGATGGCAGGAATGGCGGCTGTGTGGATTGATGAGCAAAAAGCAATGGTAGCAGTCATGAATACCACTATTGAGAGTCAGCTACCCAATTGGGCGTCGATGAATCGTTGGGCAAACAAACCAATGATAGTACAAGTCCATCTACATACGGGGGAAAAGTTTAGGGGATTCTCATCGTGGTTCAAAGTGATGGGTTCTGTTGTTGTTTGGCTTGACATGGTGGCCATCGGCGCTGAAAAGAAAACGTAGAGATGGGGGGTGAAGAAGGAGAGTGGCGGGCCTGTCGAAAGTGTGATAATCGCAATGCCCCAAAAAAAAACGCCGACGACATTCACTGGAACCACCTCGATGACTTCTGCATTTGCGTGATCAACTATTCTTCGTTGCAGGGACAGGAAGTTCCGTCTGACTTGTGTGTGAAAGAGGAACGTGCGCATGATATGATGATATTCAAGCATTTGTCTGTGTCGGTTAAAGTCAAATCCATGATATAACGATTGTTTGGCCGCTGCTGAAATGACGTGATAGCAAGATTATGCGCTAAAAGGGTAAGTGATCTGCCATGAACGAATGGACATTGTCTCAAGATGCTGTGACCCGGGCACCTTGCAAGTATCTCCATAGCTTAGATATACTTTGAAAAAAAAAAGAGTTGCACTTCTCTTTTCTTAGACTACTGGTCTGGATGATGCCGTCTAGGTTTCCGGACAGCTGATCTCCCTTTGAAAAGTATTTCCTCTTCATCCTTTTCGTCAACCAATCTTACCGCACCCTCAGCCGACTCTCGATTTGTGGCACCTGGTTCCTCTGTTGTCGGAACCGTGGAAGATTCGAGCAACTGAGCAGTCTCTTCTAGTGACACACTCCTGTTGCGAGGATCTGACACTGTGCCCCGCCAAAAGGATATATATGCACTCGAATCATGCGGTCGTCCGTCGGCTAGCCTCTCGGACAGCATTCGAACAACGTCTGCTCTGATTCGAGTCTTGATGCTTTCCATTACAAGCATTCGCTTACGGTCTGTTGCGTCGCCTTGATGCATATATACATCAGGCATCCGCCAGGCAAAATACGTATTTTGGTGAGAGGGCCGAACTTGAACATCGGTGGGGTATTCATCAAAAAAGTATGAGCACAGTTTGCAGGGCGGCTTGCTTGACCCGATGAATTTCCAGCGATTGAAAAAACGTTCAGGACGGATTCCACCTTCGGTCTTTTCTAGCCAATCATGTACCAGCACTTCCGCATGCACCGTCGGTTTAGGTGCATGACGCCGAAGTTCAGAGACCTTAGTGTCTATGTCGTGGACAGAAAGTGAGCCTAGCTGTGCTGTGAAGAGACTCAATAACGACTCATCGCTAGACATTCCGTTCATAATCTCCGCAGCTGTCCAAGGGTTTGTGGGAAGAACACCAGGCACTGCTGAACTCGACTGTATCGTGCAGACCTGAAAGCCTGAAAAGAGCTGAGGCCAGATTGTTGCGACTGTATCCATTAAGCTCACTGCACGCTTATAAGTAAGTAGTCGACCCGCGACATGGACAAAGTCTGACCAGTATGCCGTCGACATCATGTTATCTTCACGCGCCAGGCGACGCCTGACATCGACAAAGATATGACACCTGAAAAAGTCGTTTAAAGAAGCAATCAGGTCACATACGGCAAGACAGTCAACTTGAATGAATGAGTACTAGATGGGCGATTGGCTTTGGGTTAGAAAGTGCCAACACTCACCTGGTTTGGATTTACATGTGTCAAAACAGGCTTGTAAAAGGCCTAGGATTTGGGACATCTTATTTCGAGTCGTTTTACCTAGGTCATGTCAACTCCACGACTTAACAGTAAAACAACCATGCCAAACCTACTTTCTGGTGTATTTTCACGCTCACAAGCCTCAATGCACTGTTGCAGATGGCCTTTGAGCGATCGCAAGTATCCGATCACCCGACCTTTGCACAGCTCAAGCGATGCATGTAGGGCCTGCCGCCGAAGGGTTTCTCGTTCAGCACTATGGTCTGGTGGAATAGTAGAGAACATTCGTAGAATAGAAGATATGCTGACTTGGATCTCTTCACGTCTCGCTGGACTTCTTTCGTTGAAACCAATCACGTACTGGATATAGTCGGGTAGCTGTAATACAGCACAAGCCAAAATTGCTCCGCCACCAATCTCAGTGCAACAGAGGAATGCGATTTTGGAGACAAATGCGCGGAAAAGCGGCTCTAGACCTGTCAAAGTATCGAACTCTGGGTCCTCTCCTGGTCTTCTTTGCGGACACATGGATGTCAAGCAGATTAACAACAAAAGGGGAGGGTAGAAGCGTCTGACTAAAGCCCGCTTTGGAGCGACCAAAATCAGTTGTTGAGTTCCTTCTAACTCTGATGATAAGCCGGCGTAGAGGGATGATAGCTTCGCTGGATACTCACCCATTTCCGCAAATACCATGTGCTGTAACGTGGGTAATTGTTATTCTCTGCAAGTTGTCGAACAGAGAGTATATGTTTATTGAGAACTAATATACAACAATATCTGCCGATCACGTTGTAGCCGGTCTACGAAATGTGTTGAGATAAACAGTGCTATTTCAAAGAAAACTGGAGGAAAAAAAAAGAAGAGGAAAAAAAAGGAAGGAAGCCTCAGGCATTCAAGCTGAGCAGCGTGGTAGGCCTCAGACATATCGCGGCTTGAAAAGCAACTGCTGATTGGACGAACAGCGAACTGTTGGTTGGAATAACATCATGCCCATAACTAAATTGGTATGCCTCCTGCATATCAGCCAACGGAATGGTGCGCTGACACTCTGTAGCTGCAGTCGCAAACGGAGATTGTGTCATCGATATCCCGTCGCCCTTGAAACAGCCCAATCAAATTTACGTTGTTAAGCATGCACACAATTTCAGTCTGCAGGATGGGAGATGTATAAATTTGTACTTAAACGCTGTTTTATCCCAGCAGTTTACTTTTCTACTTGTTAAATTTTGTTTATGTAGACTTTTTACAGCAGAAATAAAAAGTAATACAGTAAGTTTACAAAACTCCAATACCGTATCTACATCTGCTTTAGTAATACGATCTAGTACCAAAATCGTTGAACTAATGTTTTAATATTACCTCACAGAGGACAGTCCTTCAGTTAGTTCTTACTACGTCCTAGGAATGCTTATTGGCGACTACTATAAGAGAAAAAGATGGAAAATCATCCATCTATCGCCGGAGGGGCATTGCCCCAGTACGTATCGTTGCGCGAACTTGAGCTCCATTCAAACGTTGATGCAGCTGCTCTACCCACCTGCACGGCTGATTCTGATCAATGCGGCGAGCATTAGTCTCCAACCGTCGTACCAAACAGCTCAGATTCATCTGACATTGGACCTTTTGATCAGAATACACCAACTGAATACAGCATGTGCATGGCCGATTCGGTCAACAAAGCGTTGTGCAGAGGCAAATCAAAGCGACGAAGAAATCCACAGCTTTTTCAAGAACATAAGATGCCTCCAAGGCACCATTACCTCTATGGCAGTGCACTTACAGGATACTTTTGCAAGTTTCCAAAATGTAAGAGTCCTTGCAAGACATATAAACTACCAAGCCGTGTAACGTGAGTCCAACTATCAATCTCTCACGAACGGAGGTTGACAATATAGGAAACATGCTCGCAATCACTACACGCCGGTTTTATGCCCATGTTGCCCAGAAACACGAGCAGAACAAGGTGACATGGAAAGGCATGTTCGAGTTAATCACCCCTCTCATGCAGCGTTTCTGGGTATCTCTGGCAAAGTTTTGCGTTGTTCCATTTGCTGTGAGCCCATCTCAAATAGCAGGAAGGACAACCTCAGAAGGCATATGAGTAACTCGCACGGGCTTGAAAATGACGGACAAGGACGTTGGATCCCAATTGCAGGGTGATGAGGAAACTTCAAGAAGGGTTGTTCTTTTCTACTGTTTTCTTCCGAAAATATATTCTATTTGCCTCCCAAAGGCTTCTCATTTTAGCTTCTAGTAAGGCGATCGTCCGCAAATTTCTTCTCACCAAAGAAGGGACTTAAGAACTCTAAGGACTTACTCTAGAGAGCAACTCTATTGTGCTAAAAGATTTGTCTATCGAGATTCGGTAGTAGATAGTACGGTTTAGCTTTCAGTGCAATTACTAGCTAGCAAATGGAGGAATGATAGCTGGGATATCCTGAAGGTTAACTACCTTTCTAAGGTCTTCTAAGGATCACTTCTTTACCCTGATAATATAATAGTATCATAGCGTCTATGAAAAATATAATAATAAACAATCTATCAAAATTGTTTTTTATATACTATTCTCTGAGCAGTTGACTTATTTTCAATAAGAGGTAGAATTATATTTATGCTCTGGGCTTTGGGCAGCCTACTTACAAAGTGTTATTATAGGACAAAGCAGAACTTATATACAATGTAGAGTTACTATTAGCTACTAACTAAGCTAGGAAAGGAGGGCGATAATAGAGTATCGGAAGAAACGTGGTGGTGGTCAGAGCCACTGGACTGCATTCTAACATTACGGGGCATAGGAGGAACTGTTGACCCTTGTCTCTTCTTTTTTTGCCTTATGTAAGTAGTCCAGTTCCAATTTATCATTGGACAACGATGACTACGTCAACTTAACCACAGAGTGATTGCAAATCCTTACTTAGACTAAGCATCGCGAACGGGAGAACAATGGCCGTGTTTGTATTAAAATTTAAGGCTGTGATAATATTTCGGCCCGATCAAATCATATACGGATATTCCAGCCCGTTGAACTGCTACTCAACATGTACCTGAGTTTGTTGCAACGTTCGACAAAGGCGTTATGCGCCTTCGGGACGCGCGGGGAAGCAATCACATCATAAAACAACCAAGAAGCAGTGCGATGTCATCATTTTTTTCCCCGCCTTGGAGTGACTGGGTTTGAGTCACCCCAAATGCATAAGTTGATGGTCGGAAAAAGGAACACCTCGGCAGTTGTGATCTCCCCAATGATCGATTAAGTATATCAGGTCCTCTCTCCATCTGGTTTACAAGTCTCTCATGATCAGCATCCAACTTCGCGTATCCTTCATCGATCATCGTGGCATCCTACTACCCTGAAGGCGAGCGCTATTTTGTTAGATGCTCCCTCCAACTTCCCAACGGTCGGAACGCCAATAACGAGAGACACTTTTACAGACATATCCTGATGGAGTACTACTGGAATGGTCATGTCACAACTGGCAGTCAAAGCAGGTCTCACACGAGGTCGAAGTGGAGACACGGAACCGCTTCAGGACTTAATAATACCCGCTACGGGGATTGGGATAGATTTTGGGTGGGTGAAAGCAAAGAAAAGAACCCTCAACGCATGGTAGCCATGCATAGTCACCCTAACAGTCTCAACTGGAATGAATGTCGCGATCTCAGGGGAGGTGGCCCGCGTAAGTACATCCTTCGTCCCATTCGAATCCAGAGCCGTGAGACCGAATGGGTTTGGATCGATGCTACGATCCCTCTTAGAGCCATCTACTTCCCAGTCAGCCAGCGAACGGACCAGGCTTTCGACAACCTGTGTACCTATGTTGTCATCGACTTCAGACACAGGGAGAGTGCCTGGATCATGGATTACGCTGGAGGTTTCGCCACCCTTTATTCCATGACGTCGCACGCTGGTCTTGGTCGGAGAGATGGTGCCACTTGGGGTTTCCATGTGCCCGACATCATTGCCTACCTGTCCATCCCTCATAAACTTCGCAACCCGGATTATTCGTTGTTCAAATCCAAGAACCGACGCGATGACTTGGTCGTGAGTGCTGCGTCGCGGCTATCGTGGACCAGCACTACTCGTGTCATACATCATCCCGATTTCTTTCGCGAGATTGACTTAGCCAAAGTCCTCAGCGCAACCTTTGGAGTCAAAGTTGGCTGGCGACCCTATGAGCCATCACGCTTTCTTAGAGATCTCATCATTCGGCTTGTTGACAGTGCTCTGGGCATGGTCCCGGGCGTTGGACCTCTTTTATCGATTGCGTTTGGCATCGCGGTGCAGGCGCTGGAGGATCCTCATTCGTTCAGTATTGACAACATCCTCGGCCTCAAACAAACTGCTATGGATGAAGTGACGAGATCTTCAAACAAACATCGGAAGTATCTGGCACCTGGCTTCATGGGCAAGGGGCGTGGCCGCCAGGCACTTGTTTCCTTGAGCGATGATGAGCGAGCTAGTCGGCAGAAGCATGGCGATGAGCTGAATGAGAAGCTTACCAAGGAGCTGAAGCCCCAGATCGTGATTCGGTCCCTTTTGGAGCAGGAGTTGTTGCTCTATGGGGCTGATAGAATGAATGGTGTCGTGGAAGAGGAGCAGGCAGAGTTGAAGACGATTCAGATTGAAGCGCGAGACGACGAGGGGAAGTCTGAGGAAGAGGATGAGAATGACAAGGATGAATGATTGAATGATAAAACAAGGAAGAAGGCGATTGAATAATTGGCTGTGATATTTCACGTTGAAGTAGGTTTTAGGTACTGGACCAAATTGACAGTTGAGTGATTGTAACGCCGTGCTGGTTGAGTTGTTCTGGTGCATAGGTTTACATACATGGCATTCAATCAAGTAGTAATATTGATGCAAGACTCTTGTATTCTTAATGACTATCGAGGTTCTTCCTCAGTTCCTGCAATGAGAATTCCCTTTTCTTTAAGCCTATTCATAAACTTAAGGATTCCCTGACAAGCAAGTCTAGCCACTGTGTCGCCTCCTTCTAGGCGAGGGTTGAAGGAGCAAACAACAAGCGAAGTCGGGTTCACTTTTGTAGGTATCATCTGCATCACACCAAGCAAGTCCTCAGGGAGATAGCCACCGGGCGACGGGAATTCATTGGCACGGCCTAGGCTCTCGTCGAGAACGTCTAAATCGAGATGAACATGGACATCTTCAATCTCGCCTCTTCGTCGATCCAGAATTTGAGCAAGATCAGTGGTAAAATTTACTTTCTTATCTGTCTTGCCCCAAACAACGTCAACTTCGGCTTTCTCGATAGTTTGCGCCTGTAATTCAGATACATCCCGCAGTCCACAGTATATAACCTGTTTGACATTTACGGGCCGATGACCAGGGACGGTCTTCATCAGCTGATGCCAACTGGTACCGACCAACATCGAGGCAGCCATAGCGTCGAGATATCCATTCTCATGAGTCGAGGGAGTGTCGAGGTCGTCATGAGCATCAAGCCACAGAACTCCGTGCTTAGAGCCAATCAAATTTTCTTGATTCAGGCCGGCTATAGTTCCGACGCTAGCGTAGCAATTGCCAGAGAGTACCAAAGGAAACGAGTTGTTCTTGGTGGCGGTTGACACAGCATTTGATATACGACGAAGAATCTCGAACGTCCTTCCAATTTCCCCCTCAAACTCGTCGACGGGACCAATGTTGATGTATGAGACTGGAGCTAGTTTGCTGAGATCTCTATCTATGCCGTGAGAGAGAATGCGAAGAGGGCCGCCGCCGACGCGATGATCGTAAATGCCAACATGGTAGGGCGCCACAATGATGGTAATCGAGGTAAATGGCATTTTTGCAGCCTTGATTGAATTCTTATAGATGGCATACGTACATATTGATGTGCGACAAAACAACCTTTATATGTATGAAGTGGGAGTGCGCTAATATATTCTACGCGGGGCGCTGAGTAATTGGCGCAGATACGCGTATTGATTAGAGTTGAAAATTCTACCTTTATCTTCATTAACGTTATTGAACGTCAGCCGGTGCTCAACCTACGTCATTGACTTCAATCGCACTTATACTACGTGCTATTTTCAATATTTTGTCTTCCAAGATAGACGTCCCATGTTGCTAAGCCTCGACCACAGCCAATAATGTTGAGTGACAGCAACAACCAATGATGTTAGGTCTAGACTCAGCCGCAAACAACATGACCAGTAAGGCAGACTAGTCGAATGTGGCTTCATTAACGTGATTTCTTTCATTTCGGGGCTAACCTTGCATTTCCCCCCTCTCAATCTTCATCATGGACCCTCTCTCAATCGCTACTGGATGCGCCAGTCTCATAACGACCATCGGAAGCTTATCCTTATCCATCACTTCATTTGTCCGAGGCTGTAGAGAAGCCCGCACGGATTTAGACCGCGTATCGCGCGAGCTACATTCCCTCCAAACGGCGCTTGAGCTGATCCAAGAGGACGCGAAAGATGACACAAAGCCGTTTCCCGACATAATTCAACGCCACGTCTCTGACATCGTGACAAACTGCAATTCGGTTGTTGTCGAAATCCAGACGTGTATTACGAAATATGGCGACGGAAAGGCCAGAAGCAAGGCCGCGTGGGCGCTCAATGGGCAAGGTGACATGCAGAAATTGAGATCCAGCCTAGAAGCTCATAAGTCGGCGCTGGAACTGGCACTCGATATGCTCACTTTATCTGCTACCAAAGACATCAAGGCAGATACTACAGAAATCCGCAATAATACAGCTACTATCAAAGACGATACGACTCAGATTCTTGAAGAAATTGCGCGGCTGCAAGAACGACTACCTGCAACAGCCGCTGCATCCAATGATTATATCTTGCAAAGGTTTCTTGAGGATATGGCAGCCTACACAGAATCGACGCTCGATGTCGATGGGGGTTTCAGTGACCGCGCAAGCTCAAAGGCACTTTCATTTATCGATGAGGGAGAGGAGAGTTCGCACGCCCGAATTCAGTCTGACCTTTCTATCTCGAAGTCCGAGACGGAGCAGCCAGTCGAGGTCAGCCAAGTTTCCAACCGATTATCCACACATGTGGAAGCCATATCCATAAATTCAGATCCTCTTAGTCTTCCTTATGACTTCCTCCCAAAACAGCCAGTCTGGAAACGGCTGCCGGAACCTCAGGGGGATGATAAAAAGGCTAGACAAGCATCGGGTGTGGAAACCTTATCCTGCCCCGATGTCACCGTTGAGAATTTGCAGCTCGATTCGAAACCAAGTCCGGAGCTTCAAAAGATACGAAGAGAGTCTTTGCTTCCTACGACGCCAACATCCCTCAATCATAATCATGAAATTGAAGAAAACCAAGGTCTGGGAAACAGCAATTCAAGCAGCGATAACAATTCTGCCAACTCGCCCAACCTACTTCGTGAACAGCCTGAAGAAGACCGACCAACAGTTCAAATCAAAGATCTCACACCAGAGGAAGTGTATATGATCGCGTACGGTATCCGCACGTCTTTCGACAACTACGTTCTCAAACTACCTGTCCCAGAAGCGATGCTGAAAGCTGTACCCCGTACCGACCATGATGAATACACTGAGACAAGATTTACCTTTGTCACATGCTCGCCGTACTTCATGGCTGGCAACAGGTACTGCCTAAGGCCCACATTCTATACTTCAAAACCAGTAACAAAGTTTATCCTAGCTCTGGAAATGAGTTTTGCTGTTAGTATGCATATCAAACAGACATGGAAGCTCATACATGATGCAATCGCCTATGCCGAAAGAAAGATTGGACCGGATACGTGGAGACAATTCCGTGTACACATTCACTCTAGACGTTATACAACCAAGAATGAGTTGGACTTTCTGGAGAAAATTGGGGCAATCCAGGATTTCAGCATTCCTCCTAACCCAGTAGTAACGAAACAGGGAATGGACGCCGCGCTAACGCAAGATACAATGGAGGTTGGGGGTAGAAAGGTCCAAGGCACTATGCAGGAGGTATGTCAACGCTTGTCCATCTTTGACTGTAATGCAGAACTGATAAGGACATAGTATACAGTACAGCTTCGTGCGGATACGGATCGCACTCGTCGATCGAGATCGGATATCATCCCGGCAGACGTTCCAATTCAAACAGTAGTGACACGACACGCAGGTAGAAACGACAACTATGATCACTTTAGTCATTGGACCAAAGCGATTCAAAGGATATTGGATGCCACCTGTATCATAGATATGGGCTATGTTAACGACCACAACTATGAGGATTATAAATTCCTTTATAGGGCTTGGATCGCAACGAAACCTTTTAAGGTATCGAAAAAGGATGCTGTCGAGCTTGTCAGGTTTGATGATCTGATTAAGCAAACCAGAACACTTAAAGAGAGGCTGTTGGGATAAGCGCTTGGGTGAAGAGCAAATAAGATATAGATAGACACTAATAGATCATATTGCACAGTACCCAACGGATAGCTTCTCAGCCCATATTGGTTGAGCCTTTCTGAAATATAGACGGTTGTAACAAACATCGCGAGAGAGACACTGCCCACTGTGGTAGGGCGACTAGGTTTGCAGGGGTTAGCAAGAGCTAGATTGTACCCTGGACCGCTAAGTGATGATCTACTCATATACCAATCCAATTTATTAGCTCAGCCTACTTGATAGAAACGAGGGCCGGCGAGACTTGAGACTTCAGCTTTCTGATACATGGTCATCCATGCTTCGTTGAGTTACGACATCGTGCTGACGGCGTAATCTGAGACAAACTGCGCCAGCCTCTGATCCTGTGAGACGCCACTGACATATCATGATAAGCCTCCAATTTGAGGCTGAGTAAACAAGGGAGATAGAATTCAATAGTATCTCGTACGGTGGTACAATTGTGACATGTGATGCTGACTAGTGAGACATTAGTTCAATAGTTCTAATTCTGGACCGTGGTGGCTTGTTTACTCCGACGGGCCAAAGCCGCTACTTCCGAATTTTGGCGGACGATCTCAATACAATAAAAGCCCAAGGCGTGCACGACACTGCATGACCGCTTATCCTTCTTTAATTATTTGACACAATAATCATGAAGGTTTGTTTTGTGATATCGATTGTGGCGTCGCTGGCCAACGCAGCGGCTACACCCAAGTCCAAATCCCCGGTTTGCATTGTCGGCGCTGGTGTAAGTGGCCTTACGGCTGCAAAGGCACTAGAAGACAAGGGATACAAGATTGTTATTTTTGAGAAGCGCGATACTATTGGTGGGAAATGTCAGTCTCATTATGAAGAGTAAGTCAAATTTCCCTCGTCAGTCATAATTCCGAGACCCTCCGTTGACCCGCGTAGCGGCCAGTACTTTCCTCTTGGCGCTGTGCTCTTTACTGGAAGTCCAAGTTACGCGCAAACTTACGCATTTGTCAAGGCTTCTGGTGTCGCATTCGATGAGTTCGATCCTGCATTTGGCTATAACTACAACCCGAAAACTGGAGCTGCAACCTTGATGCAGCCTCCCTCTCCTGCTACTGCTCAGGCCTTGCAGGAAGAGTTGTCGCGATATACTCAAGTTTGGCAGCAGAAATTTGCTCCTTATGCTGTGCCAGGATACAAGGTGTGTTCAGTATTGGTCTCATGTTATAATGTAGTATTGACCTTGGCTTCTAGAATGGCGTGCCGAAGGAGTTTATGGTTCCTGGAAAGGACTGGCTTCTAGCAAACAAGTTTCCGATTATAGCTTCCGTCATCAATCGAAGCGCCGGGAACTACGGATACGGCGACTATTCTCAAGTTCCAGCAGTAAGCTACAAACATCATCCTCACTTCTTCATCTGCAAAGCTCACGCTACGTTAGCTTTACTACTTACAATTCTACGCGCCGGATATCGTTGGAAGTTTTATCGGCGCGATTCAACCCTACAAAACAGGTAACTCCACATCCGAAGTTATCTGTTGTGGTGATGGCTAACACCCTCAAGACTTTTATAAGGTCCTGAAGCGATTATCTCGTAATCTCAAAGGACCAGTGCATCTAAAGACGAGAATTGAGCACATCGGTATGTCATTTATCGCCTGCGTGAGGTCCGAGCTAATACATATAGAACGAAAATCGAAGCCAAGCATCCAATACCGTACTGCTGGAGGAAAGCAAAGCAAGACGCAGCTCTGCTCCGACGTCATCATCGCATTCCCTCCCACTTCCGAAGCTCTCAAACAGTCAGGACTAGCACTTTCCGGCGCTGAGAAATCGCTCTTTTCTCAAGTCGACGTCAATGGCTACTTCTCGTCAGCCGTTCGCATGAGTCATCTCGGCCACAATCTCAGCGTCTCCCAAGAACTTCCAAACCCACTCGTCCCTTTCAAGCCCGAAGGTCAACCCGTCTATCTGACTCCACTTCACGCAAACTCCGACATCGTCAACGTTTACTCTGTAGACAATCCCGCTCATCCTAATGCCGCCCGCGTCAAGAAACTTCTTGTACAGGATTTGAGCAAGATCAACAGAGACTTGCAAAAGCCTAATTCGAAATTTCAGGCATTAGATGCTGCAGACATCCGTGCATTCAGTGGGGAGATCCCATATTTTCCTCACGTCAGTCCGGAGTCATTGGCAGATGGTTGGTATAAGAAGTTTAATAGTCTTCAAGGGAAGGACCACACTTATTTCACGTCGGGGCTCAACAGTTTTGAACTTGTGGAGTATACGATTCGTGCTGCGAGGGACTTGGTGAAGACGCACTTCTGAGCATGGGTGAATGGGGTCGTATTACAGTGCTCAATTCCATTAGCTCGATACTGTGCTATATCTACTTTCCCCTTGAAGGTTTAATCTGAGTATGCTTTTCTTTCTAATTAAAAGAAGAAAAAAACGGTTTAAGGTAGGATTAACAGATAGAGTAAGATGGGAGGAAGTCCTGTTCTGGCTCATCAAGACTTTAATCCTGTATTCATTTGCTCGTACCTTGTGACGATTAGTTTTGTTGCGCCGAATGAGTGTTCAAAAAGCCTTGCTTTCTAGATAAGGTCTAGACTAAATCACAGGAGTTTGTGTCAGCAAATGCGGTCCGGTGATTGGTTGAGCCGATATCACGTGGATAACCCGCGCGATGTGATCAAAACTGCGCATCTTTCCCCTCTAGTTAGAAGACATATTGCGCTTGAAATGCTCTTCTGCACGCTCTATTCGGGGAAAATAGCTAGATTCGTGGGTTTGCGCCGTTTGTGCCTCTGTATGCCGCATACCGCGAGAGCTGGGCGGGAAATAGTTAGGCCGAAATCGGTATCTCCGGCCTTATTCCCACGTATCTCAATAACGCGTGCTGAAACAGAGTTTACGATGTGCCCACGAATGCGGGGTCAGACTGGTCACACGCACTGATTTCGATTTGTGACTGTATAAATCCAAGTCTTTATCCAAATCACAAAATCCAACTAGCCAGCAATTGTGCAGGAGTATCTTTCGTGTTGCTGCCTAGGAACGTTGTGGTCGTCTCTATGGATACCTCGGGCATCTATTTCATGGTTCCCCAATCAAAACACTATTATTTGTTTCCTGGAGGTAGGAGGCCCGACAATACGTACTTAATTAAAAAGTCTTCTGATCACACGATTTACGAACGTTGTGGCCATGCCAAGACGTACCGAGCTAGGACGCGCTTCTGGGTATAAAACGCGCATGAATGCGTTGAAAATGGTGGAAGAGCAACTCTGGCTTCGACTTCACACTCTATACATACCTTAACTTTGTTGTTCCCATTCCCACTGATATAATGAGTTCGTTGGAATTATGTCGTACAAACATTGGCCGACTTCTGAACGCAGATTGTCCCGACGCAAACGCTGGTACAAAAGCTTACTTTATATCTTTCTTGAGGAGTCGGGTCGATGATCCTCAGGAATTTTACGAGTCCCTTCGAGTAAGAGGAAAGTACAAGGTATTCGGAGGGAAGGAGAAACCTGCGGATGCTACGTCGCATTATCATTTACTGTTGGTGTTGGACGGATCCATGGCCGTTACAGACGGCGTTAACGAGTTCAAGATGTGGAATAACTCTGACTTCCAGGATGAAGTTGATAGTTATGATATTCAGGTCCGCGTGAAGCGAGACGAACAATACCCTATCGAGTTTTATAGACTTGTTCACATTTACATGTTGCATGTAATTGACCCAGCTACTTGCTTTGGTGACCAAGATCTATCACTGTTTGCTGTGGGGACTGAGAGCAGCACAATAAGAGATGCAGGAGGATTGTTTCAGATTGGAGATGATGCTCATGGCATGAATCCTCTGACCTACCCGAGAACGAAGAGCATTGCTGCGTTTCTACGCCTGGAATACCATCCAACACGCAGGCTTGTTTGTAAATGTATTGAGGTTTGCCCAGGTACAAGACTCTGTTCAATCTCAACGACTCCTGATCGGGCTCGCGACGATGATGTCTCTCATGAATGGTGTGACCGCGCCAGGTGCCACTGGTACTGATGAGATATAAAGGATCGACGCCCGGGCAATAGTGAAGGTAACAAAAATTGCTACTGGTGGCTTAAGTGACTCTCTTTGCTTCGAGACACCGCATGTGAGGGCAGAGCCTGAGGACAAGCTTGTGGCGATCCAACGGAAGATCGCTGATGGGATGGACGTTTCGTATATCGGTTTTCCTTCTTTTCATGACTTCGACAATTGTATCTGTATCCCTGGTCACTCTTTTTCTTTTTTTCTTCTCTTTCTTGTACAAATATGCTCTCAAGTTCGTGAGCTATAGCACTTAAAGCTGTTTCTATAACATTCTTTTATTATGACATATGTATGATGAAAGCATTTGGACCGAGATAAAGTATCCCCGAGCACGGAACTATATAAAACAAACGACATATCAGATAGTCATTGAAAGCGTACTTCTAAATGAACGGCTAGGTTAATTGATATTTTGATTCCTTTCGGGCTGTTTGGTATACTCAGGCTTTACAAGATTTGTTTTGATTTCTATTAGTCTGGTTACAACTGCGATCCAGATTAAAGTAGACTTTTCTTCCTTGCCATCGCAGTAGCCCCTGGCTTGGACGGTACTCCATCGATAAACATCAAACGTCAGACGCGTTGGTCGGTCCATCATCATTAGGGAACTCCTCGCTCATGACTTTGAGGATTTGAGATTCACCAAGAAGCTGAGGTCCGTCGTGATATATCTTTCGTTCCACCGATATCTCTTCCAAGTCGTACAGGGTGCCACCCACCAGGTGCTGATTACCGGTAATTAATGTGTGTATGCTTCCGCACTCTGCACCTATTTCCCTCACTGACGCAAGTGCTTGCTTTATATCTGACTGATAAATGATTCACTAGTTTCGGTGAAATCTCTTTCATATCTCACCAAAGCTTCTCGCCATTGAACCGCCATCAGCAGAATGGCTCGGTTGGCCCTTCCTCACAGACAGTTTCGCGCCAGGTATGATTAAAAGGACAAAGGAAATGCAAGTTTGTAGACACAAAAGACACGGGGTACAGTGAATAAGTGCTAGGACCTTACGCCGATCACTTGCATTGTTTATCTATTATGTACCTCTTAGAAATAAATACATATGTACAAAGAGCAATTCGTTCACAACCGCCCATAGCTATCGCCCAATTTGAGCCAGTAAGGCATCCCTATTGGATTAGAAATTGATGATACGCCACTTCTGGCTCTTGATACAATCAGAACAATCCCAACACCCCTTATCGCTCCAACTCATCTTGTTGTTACCGAACTGACTCCATTGTATGGATTCCAGCTGGTGGTAGCCAATAGCGCATCCAGACTCTGCCGACCAAGCCGACGCAGCACAATTCGGGTTCGAGTTGCAAAGCGCTGCACAGCGCTCCTCAGAATCCTGGTAGGGGAACTTGGATGGCGCCGTATCATAAGCCCAGGGAAAGTAGCCACTGTGTTGGCAGACTAGGTCACTAGAAGGGCTGCTCTTGATCTGACAAACAGCTTCGGCGCTAGCAATGCTAGGGGCGCAGGTTGCTTGAGGAAGTGCAGTCGCAAGCGAGGCATAGTAGTCATCACGGTCATAGTCGTGGCAGAAACACTTATTGCAGCTCTGCTCACTCCAGTACATGCTGCCTTCTTCTTGTCCAGGAGTGAAAGAGGAATCATATATCGAGCGGGACGAAAAGACACATTTTTGCTGGTCGTTGTCATAGGCAGATGCCTTGCAGCGACTTGGCATGTGATAGCAGAGGGCAGCGCAGTTCTGGGTATCAATTTGCCAAGGATACTCTTCGTCACGGAGTGTGAATGTGTTTTTGAACTTGCCGGATTTGTTGCAGTCGGAGTAGTCGGCGTTGGGATCAATGAGACAACCATCTGAGAGGGCGAGAGTACATTGAGCCATGATTGACTCGGTTGTTGTTGGGAGGTAAGAGGAGGAGAAGGTAGTAAGCTCAGTTCGTGTTGGAGGCTCGGTCGTTTGCTCAGAAGTGGTTCCGTCAGAGGTAGGGCCTTGGCTAGTGGTCACATCGCTGGGTACTGTAGTTGAGGGCACAGCAGGAGTCGTGATATCAGAAGACGCTGAAGCAATGACGGTTGATGATGGCACGATCTGGGAGGTACTGGTCTCAACACCCAACGGGTTCTTGGTGTCGCAATCATGGCACTCGAAACAGTCAAAGTCATTCCAAACCAAAGACATTTGCTTGCCAAGATCAATACCAACAACACCCAGTCTATCCCCAAGCATCCGACAAGAAGTCTCTTGTCCAAGAGGGTTCAGCGCAAAGGCCTTGCACGCTGAACCTTCTCGCTTGCATAGCAAGGCGCAGTCTTCGATGGAGTTCTGTCGGGGATTGCTTTCTATTGAACGACCCCATGTACCACTCTTTGGGACTCCGGTGGCCCAGCATGCTCTTGGTGCGTTGGGCTGGTCGTTGTCTGAGAAGATTGGGATTCCAGGGATGGACTCGATTTGGGTTACTTGGGGTTGAACTGGTGTGCAGTATCCGGGTGGGGGTGATCCAGCGGGGCAGACTCGTGAGCCAGAGGGTGAGGATGTTGCAGATGAGGCAGGATCATGTGTTACGGTCGTGGGAGCATCCATGGTGGCTGTGGTCGGGTCTAGAGTGGGCACTTCAGTGTTGCTCTGAGACTTCGTAGATGCGTCCCTAGAGGATGAAGGGCTTTCCGTTGAGGCAGGGTTGTATGTAGCGGTCGAAGGAGCGTCCAAGATGTTTGTGGGTGGCTCGGAAGTAGGAACTCCAGTCTTCACCTCTGATTCTGTAGATGAGTCAAGAGTGGGAGCGCCTGAGACGGTCGACAGGGTGGTGACACCAGTGGATTGCGATGTTTGAGCAGTCGTGGAATCACGGGTGACAGCCTCATCAGAGGACCGAGACTCTGTTGACGGACTGGAGCTATCAATGTCAGAGGCCGTAGAGACGATCGTTGCCGCGTCTTCGGTGCTCGAGAGTCGCTCAGAAAGTGTTGATGGTTCATGAGCGGTCTCGGTGGTGTCTAGCGCGGCAGATGTCGTTCCCACCAGCAGTTTGCTGGTAGTTGTAGGAAGAGGTACATCACCCCCGTCGCCAAAGTCAAGCTTGACGGTGTCGATCGTGTCGGGCGTGACCTGGTTGGACATGAAGATCGAGTCAAGATAAATAGCCGCCACTCCACCAATGGGACAGTTAATTGACACCGCAAAAGCACCTTCAGTATTGGGAACGTCGGTCTGTGCGAGAACAGTGTTCCACTCGATGGCCAGTCCCAAGCTGAGAATGGTCGAAGTAAAGAATTGAAGGCCACCGATGGAAGCGCTCAGAGTACAGATATTGACGCCGCTGCTCGCAGTGACGACGGCGTAGAAGAACCGAACAGTGTACTTCTTCTTCGTGTCCAGGTCCAACAGCTGCTGTGAGATACTCGCAACGTTTCCAATGCCTCGCTTGCGCTTGGATGGGTCATTGCGAGCTGACATCTCGACGCAGCCTTGCTCCTTGCTTCCATCACCGGTATAGCCCTTGTTGGTAACGATCTGAGCTTGACCTTCGACGACGAAGCCAGGAACTGGTACGTTGGGGTCTCTCGTGGCGAAGTTTCCATTGCTCAGGACATTCTTGACAGCGAATGGCGCCTCTGTCTCGGTAGTAGATGGCAGTGCAGTGGTCGTGGTAAGGTTAGGATGAGGCTTGCATCGACTGGCTTCAACACTATTGAAGTTACCCAAAGCAGCAAATGCTGCCAATGCGACGAACGACCGCATGCTGAAGACTCTGAGTGCGGTAGCCTGGAAGGTGCTGAGAGATAGGAAAGAAGACAATGATCAAATTTCTGGGAAGCGGTGTCCTGGTGTTTATGAAGCTTCATACTATGGGAGGTGGGACCCTTAGACTCAATTCGCCCTGACTAGTGAACGCCTCGTTTCTTTACGAGCTGAAAGTAATTACAGCTTACACTAACGGAGAAGCCAAAAGCGTATGCTTAATTTTTCTCATCGATTAAATGGCCTGCACATCATCGTAATCTGATCGCCTTTTGTCGCGACTTTCCCAAGTCTTATACGTTCAATTTTATGTTCCATGGTGAATCTCATCCCATCGTGGAATCTCAGTAATCCCGACATTTGGATAGGTGCCTGTGCTCAATTGCGCTAGCTCCAGCGCGACACTACCACTTGACCCCTGATCTTACCAACTTCAGAAGAGCCTGGAAGCCAATAGCGCGTATAAGCGCCACAGACTATTAGATTTTCTCATGAGCTTGTCACTATTAAGCTTGCACTCCGTACTTGAGATTTTGCGATTAATAAACTTCATTTCGCGAAGAGCAGATTAAGAGCAAATGAGAAATCTGAGTCTGGAAATAGCATCGATTTTTTGCTATCCATACTCGGTTTGTTTCCACCTGCGGGTTGAATTGGCAGCAGGCCGGAAGATACAATCGAAGCAGTTTGCATTTTTCCGTTACTGCACTCAGCAACGCTTGGAACTGTCGACTCATAGCGCGCAATTGAGATAGTTAACTGAATTTTATCTGACGATGCTGACGATATTTTGGGTCAAGTACCATTTTTTCCACATTAAACCCGACAGTGCCTCAGCATGCTAATCCGCGACATTCCCATTAAATCGGTCATGGGATTTAGGGTAGCTTCATCAGCCAAGAACACGACAGTCATTGTGGCACACAATACCTCACTCGTACAAACCCAATCGGAATCAAGATGTGTCTCAAGATCTCGTGAGTTGGAATGCTTTTGCCGTGTTGACTCACTGTAATATCACCTCTCCCTTGATCATGGTGATATATTTATTTCCCGTCCCCATATAAACAATTGCACCTCGAAATTCAGAAACCCGTCTTCCAATTCTTTTCCCCATTCACTTCCCAATCATGAAATTCACAACCATCCTTCTCGCCTGTTCTGTGGGTCTAGTCTCTGCGCGCAGCTCCAAGATCCGACAACAATCCGCCACCTGTTACGATCGATTCGATGCGATAAAGGATGCGAAAGCCGCAGGCTGTGATAAGATCAGTACCTATCTTATCAGTGGCACATTTTGTAATCCATACGGCTGTGATTGCGAATGGGGATGCATTGAGAGTGATGGGTACAATGACGAATGGATCCCATATAAGTGTCCCAATGGATTCGGTGTAAGTGACTCTAGAACCATTTTTCTGTAATCTATCTTCTGATAAACTGTGTATTTAGAGCGATGTTTGTTCTGAGTAGTTCTGGTGCTTTGGTTTATTGGTGTATATTTCTCTTGTATATAGCCTCGCACGGTAGCTTTCGCTTTCACAAAGTAGCAACATTCCCCATTTTGTAATTCTCCTTCATCTTGGAATGTTTCCCAGAAAGATGACAGATCCCCCGCATGCGATAAGCAAAGACCTCTCCCTCCGCGGACTTTGTCTCATTTTGATCTTTCAGAAATGCGAATGTCTCACATCGAGACGTTTGCTGACAGAATCCAAACTAACATTCGGTTCTTAAAAGCATAATTGACATCAAGAGTTGAAGCAAAACCCGTGATAAATAGCAAAATCGACCATATCTTTGTGTAAAGTAATTTCTGCACCGTCATGCTGCTGATCCCATCTGGATATATCTCGAACAGTTGATAGGAGAAATGCTGCTGAAGATGGCCCGTACAAGTTCAGGTTTTCCTGGAACAGATATGGAATGCTCTGACTTATCTTGGTAATGGGTTCTAGATATTGCTGCCGCTGGGTATCATCAAGGACATGGTCCTCAGTCCCCAATCTTAGTTCCTGGACGTGAATGAAACAGATAGCAGTTAATGCCCAGTAGTGTGTAAGGGCATTGGCCACAGTTACATCTCTGAACCACAGGCAAGTCTGTTGACAATCAGAGATGCCCACTGTGTGGGCCCAGTATAACGGCTGAATCAGCGAGCTCCTGTACCCTTCTTCCCACGCCAGAAGTCGGTGGAGGGTTGTTTTCAGTGCATTCTCCAGGGCTTCGCTTTCGTTTTCAAGGGGGGATGTGCGGGACTGCAACAGATCAAATCGCTGTAGGATAGAGGGAATGGAGATAGCTTCACTTAGAAGCTGCTGCATTGGAGAAGCAGGGATATCTTGGAAAGGACTAACTCTCCACTGTTCATCCGAAAGGAAGGAAGAAGTTCTACTGATGATGGCCTTGAACACCTACCTAAGTATCAGTGTATGTCACCAGACGAAAGACTTTTGCATGTGATAGGGACATACCAAAAGAGGTCTAAAACCAATGAACAGCCTGTGTGGAACACCCTGACTAAAGAATGCAGGGCGAAGATGTTGGAACATGGCGCTTATGCCATCGATATGGGGCATCCAGTCATTCTTCCTGGCACTGAGAATCAACTTTACTTATTGAGTTAGCAAGCGCTAGCAGTTTAGGTAAAAGATAATTGAGCTTACTTCAGTCAAGGTGAGGCACATGAGTGATGCTAGATATTGGCCATTACAAACACCAACACGATTGCCAAGACTTTCTTGCAGAAGCCTAACTGTGGACCCATAGGACTGCCATATTGTCGGGTTTGTTGATCTCTGGTAAGGAAATTTGGAGGCTATCGCCAACGCGAGAGTTTTGACGGAAGCTGGCAGGATCCGACTGCTGCCACTGAAAGTGAGTAACTCCGGGAGCGTTGCCACCCAACCGCCGCAAACACGAGGTTGCACGTCTTGGACTTGGCCCAGCCAGGCTATCTCATCCTCTGGCACATAGCTACGGATAATGAGATTTGCCGCATCCTGGACAGCCGGTGCGGGTGTCCTTGTCAAGCGTATGTCTTGGCTGTTTGAATGGCATTCTTTGTGTCTGGGACGTTTCCGACCATTCCCGTCGGTCATGATAAACTCAAAATGGGATGGATATCCAGCGCATGCTCGACCGGTATGTCGACACTGGGAACAGGATGGTCGCTTGCCGTCACACTAGGCGTCACCAGTCAGAAGCCAGAATGACTAAATCGATGCATGGCAAAGGTAAAACCTACACCGATCTTGTGTTCCCGGCACGTCTGGCAAACATTCTTTTGCTTCAGCTTCATTTCCTGATTATTGGTAAGTAATTTCGTCAGGAAAAGGTTGATCAACGTTGTTGGGAAGTCTTGGCGGAATACACTGCTGTTTATAGAAGGGTCCTGAAAAACACGGGGGGTAAGGTCGTTTTTACGTCACGATCCCTTGCTTACACACCTTGCTCTAGCGTCTTGGCGGAATGAGTTTCCCAATTGTGACTAGACTACTCTGTAACTCTGCCAGGCTGCTCCACTTGATCGGGACTTGCCACCTACAGCTTTGTGATCTATCCCACTGCTTTATTAATCGCCAACAATTGCAAAGGAATCTTCTTACTGGATTAAGGCTTTTTTTATTTATTTTAAGATCTCTCAAGTTTAAATTGCTGATAAATCAGATGTTAGTTAGCCGCGTTCTAGAGATACTTAAACAGCTCCAAGGACGTCTTGTGCTGTTTGACACTTGGAAAATAAGCATCTTCAAACTCAACCAATCACCTCTCGCATCACCTACCCTGTCTCTCCGATAGACACAAGCCTCACAACATGTCTTCTCTCCCCAAAGAATTCAAGAGTAAAATCTCTATCACTCATGTCACCACGGCGACTGCAGTGGTGGAAATTGATGACGTGAAGTTCATCACCGATCCCATTTTCGACGAAGCCCCCCGCGACTATGACCTATCCCACTTGGCCGGTATGGAACCTGGAGAGGTCGTCTTGACTGTCAAGGACGGCCCTCATCTGAGTATCAAACAGCTCCCTATCATCGACTGCATCTTGCTTAGTCACGAGGATCATGTTGATAATCTCGATGATACTGGTCGCCAACTGCTTCTTGGCCGCCGAGTAATTACTACCCCGGATGGCGCCAAGAATCTCTCCGATTATCCCGGTGTATCTGCCCTTCAGCCATGGCAGACATTGAAGTTCCGCTTGGCCGGCGAGGAGTGGAGCATCACTGGCGTTCCCTGTGTCCACGTACCCGGTGGAGAAGTGACAGGCTTCCTCTTGCACAAGGAATCATTCGGCATAAGCCCTGATGGACGACCTAATGTCTTTTACTTCTCTGGTGACACCGTGCTTCTTGAGGATGAGTTCAAGAAGCTGCGAGAGAAGTATCACGTTGTGGTTGCCCTCGTCAACCTTGGACAGGCCATGTCGCCCAATCCCGAGAGCCTGACTGGGTTCAGCCAGATCACCATGGGAGGAACTGACGCTGTGCGGTTGTGTGAGATTTTGGAGGCTGACCTGGTAGTCCCGATGCATTTTGAGTCGTGGACGCATTTCACCCAGGATGGCAAAGCTTTGAAGGAGGTTTTTGATGCTGGAGGTATTTCTGATAAGGTCAAGTGGTTGACTTCAGGCTCAAAGGTACAGGTCATTTAGACTATCACCTACATGTGCTGTTTAAAGATAATCAAATGTTATCGATACAATCATAACTCGATTCCTATGACCTGGTTAGCTGAATCCTTGTTTGGATCCATAACATCATCATTCTGTACGAGTATGCGGCTGTGTCGGACCCCACGTCTTTCTAGATCGCCTAGCTCATGCAATCACGCAGCCATATAGCATGAGACTAGACTTATTCTAGTAAGAGATGCGTTGGTTTGTGAAGCAGCCAAGCTCAAAGGTCGACTAGCATTGCTGCAGGTATAAGCTCCCTGAGTCGCGGTCTGCTGACAAACCCCCTAGCCTCCCACTTGGTCCGAATCTTCAGTGGGGTAACCTCGTAGTGTTTCTTCCTTCCTTGACTAAACAAGGTGACCTGGAACATCTATATAACTCGAACAACCGACGGCTCTCGAGGCTAGTTCATCTATTCCTTTGTCCAATTCTGTCAAACCTTTTTGCCACTAAAATGTCATCCCTTCCCTCCTTCCAAGCTGCGCTGTTCTATTCAGCCGCCCTTGCTCACGTAGTCATTGTTCCTAAGCACATCTATGTTGGAGCTACTGCAATAACAGAAGCCGTCGCAACCATTCCTGGTCAACCTTGCTACACTGTTGCAAAATCCATCCTCAAAACGGTTTGGGACCATGGGAATGCCGATGTTCTTATCCTTGGTATGCCTTCCAGCGTCTTCTTTCGTGCAGTACTCTGGGGTGTCTGATTTTGTAATAGGTCTTTTGAACTACAAATGGGCCAAGTACGGCCCACCTGCATTGATCGTAGATAAGATGATTCTGGGGTTGTCAATGGTCGCTGGGTTTTACGCAGGATGACCTTACTGGAAGCTCAAGATGTATTCGCCACTGGTTATGCTATGGCTCGCACCTATTACTTCCACTGTGGCTACGATTCTTGGTTGACTGAAGAGTTCTTTGGGAGTCAATTTGTACGAAACTTGACATATTACGCTACAAGGTCCCTTGATATCTAGCAGCTTACTCTAATGAGACCCCAAGATATTATTTGATAACACATTCAATTCCTATGGAGCTTGGTGAGAACGGCTAGAACTGCTCTAGACCGGAGGCCTTTCCATAGATTTATTTCTCTGTTCCACTTTCCTCTTACTAACTTCCGTCTTCCACTGGTTGGAATATATTCTCACCTTTTCCTCCACCTAATGTCTTATTAGGTAGTTCCCCATTATTTGTGGGGCGACATACCTTGACATATCTGAACAGTAGCCATACAGCAACGGTGAGTAGCAACAGGGTACCTAACAAAAGAAGATATCAGCGCCAATCAGGATTGTTCTCGAGTACATTTACATTCATTCCGAAGAGGCTCTAACACGTTTCTTTAGCTATTTGAGCTGGAAGGGGTATCATGTGGTCTTACTCTTAGGGAAATTAAAAGGCATGAGTGCAGAGGCGAACCATAAGGCGTATCAATATATGCAAAGTCATTCTACGTGCTTTATCTTGACTGGCCGGTTCGCTGTTAATGGCGTATCTGTGTTACCACAAAGGTGCAGCTGAAAAGAATTCTTCACGGTTTCACTGCGGCTGGGAACCAATGACTCGTCTGAAGTGTTGAAAAGTCTGCCTGGGAAGTCCATGGTCTCTTTCATTTCCCACAATAACTACTATATACCTAGAAGCTATTCAGGTCAATGTTGTATATAGCCTTTTCCATTGCTAGTAAGTCTTCTGAAATATTCACGGCTTTTCTTTGCTTGCTTGCTCGTCTCGCAGGGCTGAGAATATGCCTCAGGAACAGGTTACCCTAAATTGTCGACTCCGTTCTTTGCGCCTGACAGGGGTTTTATTAAGCTTTTCCGCTTCTAGAAATCACCGACGCTCAGTGCTACGCAAAGGGTCAGTCTTGTCTTCCGACTAAGCGCTGTGACGAATCATGCAACAATGCCCAGGCGACAACAGGCGACGCCAAGCGCGCCAAGCACATTCTTTTCATAGCGAAATGAGCTGTGCCTCTCCCCAACTGTAATTGTTCAGGGCTGTGTCTTTCACGATAAACTGATAAAAAGGTCAGGTTGGCAACTTTCATCGTTTATTCCTAGCACTCTACTCTCGTTCCATCAACGTAAACCTCATTGACAGAATTACCTACAGCAGAATATGCCTACCGCTACGGAATTCTTTGGCATCACTGCCCATAATCTCGGTCCTCTAACAACTACCTTCACCGCTCCATCATCATGCGCAACCAGTATCAACGATAATCATGTCCTCTTTGTCAACGCAACTTCACCTTATTATCAAGAAGGTCGTCCTCGATGTGGTTCTGCGACTTATGCCGATTGCTTTCCCAGCGGTGACGAGCTGGACTCTTTCATCAGTCAAACCTCCCCCACTCTCTTTCGAACCACTTCTCTTTACTTCTCCCCCGGCCTCGCTTGTCCCGCGGGTTGGAAGACCGTCGGAGCATTGGCACATGCCGAGAGTGGGAAGATGAGCGCATCTGGTGCGCTTGCACAAGAGCCGCCGGATGCTGATCTTGAATTTCCACGAGCTGTCTGGGTTACAGACGTTTGGAGGAACATGTTGCATAAATCTGAGACTCTTGCATATTGCTGTCCAAGGTATGGCTATCCTACATATCCTCATAAGCTATAAAGTGGTCAAACTAATAGAGATAGTGATTATGTTGGCCATGCAAATGGAGCATGCGTATCCACGCTCGGCCCAGTCAGCTCTTACTCGTACTCTCAGCAGTGTGCGGTATGGTTCACTAATCGCGATTTCTACACCTCAGTTTCATCCGTCTCCGGCCTGTCCTATTCACACGGTGTATGGTCGTACCTCACCCCGACTGGGACCCAGGAAGGCATCACCTCATCCATGGACTTGGGAGAATATCTGGGAGAAACTTCGAATGGCTTTGCTGATATTGCGGTTGCTACTTGGGTCCAAGCGGTGCCTTTGATCTACAAGAAATCGGATATGGATAAGAAAGGTGATGATGGTGAAACTGAGACCGCGTCCACTACTGAGACTGCGTCTGCCACCGGGACCGAGTCTCTCACTGACCCAACGACTGCCGAGAGTGCCGCTTCTACTATTACAAAACAAAATACTGTTAGTAAACTCGGCTTGGTATTGGGAGTTCTTGCTGGTTTGGGCATGCTATTGTCTTGAGATACGCAAACAACTTGGTACTGTCACCACGTTTTCAGCTTCAGAAATTCTATACTCAACGACTCAAATAAAGGAACTTGTATTTTAACATATGATCTTGTAATTCAATACGATAAGCTCAGTCCTCCATATCACTATCATTCTCAACTGGTACATCGATGCCAAGCTCCCTCAGATACTCTGCAATCTCTGGTTTCTCCTGCCCGCATTGCTCCAGAATGTCTTCATCAAGCACAGTTGCATCAGCTCCATTAGCTAGCAGTATCTTGACAGACTCAAGGCTCCCGTCGACCACAGCATTAGATAAAGGCGTATTACCCATTGTATCCTCGGCCAGTACATTGCTACCAGCATCAACAAGAGCTTGCAGTGTCGAATTCTCCATGTCAATCTCTGCAGCTAGATGCAAGGCTGTGCGACCGTGGTCGTCCCGAGCTTTGAGATCTTCACCACTAGCTATTAGTGAGTCGATAAGCATCTTTGGGGCTACTACATGCGCAGCAAGATGCAGTGGACCATAACCTGTCGTGAAACATTGCCAACGCTCTTGATCTTCTTCGAGCTCGTCATAGCTGGCTGCGCTCTCGTACGGCCATGATTCAGCTGCTTGGAGGTACGACTCGATTGACCCTCTTCGGGAAGAGAGGCGAATAAAGTCATCGACGAAGGTGTCTGGGGTGGCCGTTGTCAGACTGGGGCTTAGCCGTCTGGCCGCGAACCACAGATATCTGTTCTTGTCTAGTCGCTCTTTGAGGGAGGTTGACGATTTGCAAGCACCTTGCGCGAAGGCGTCAGACGATAGATATCGCATGAAGCCGACGATGCTTCGCTTGTCGTATTCAACATCGAAAATCACACGCCTCAGGTAGTCGCCAAGAAGTGGTGATGCGATCCGCATCGACTTATCTTCTTCGCTATAGTATATGAGGCCGCGGCAACCTAGAAGAACTTCAGAATTGTTGAAGTCCTTCTCATCGTGACTGATTTGCCAAGCGCTCAAGGCTTCGAGTGCCATGGGTATTGTAAAGCTGTAGCCTGCTTCAGAAGCTTTGATGATATGGTAGAGAATGCAAAAGATCATGTCTTTCCACTGTGAGGTCGTGATTTGCCTTATAGCCTCTTTGCAAAAGACGTCTATCTTATCCGAGACAGAGGCTCCATCACAGGAAGTTACAAGTTGGTCGAGACTGGCTAGGAGCTCTGGCGTGGGTGATTCGGTAGACCAAGCCGGAATGGGGAGAAATCTGTCGCTCGTCAGTACCCCATTTCGCCTTGTACACGAGATACTTACCGGCCATCAAAGAGCTTAACCATGTTGTGGATTAACTCATCATGACCCGAGGACAGGTCCTTGCCTGACACATCTCGAAGTAATTCAATAATGTACATTTCCAGGTCCTTATCACTCGCTCTAGAGATTATCTCAAGAACTTCAGGCCGCATCGAGAAAGCACCAGTACACGCATTGCGGCCAGCGAACATAACCCGAAAGACGGCGTCAGACTCACTCGGATTTAACGAAAGCATTAAATCCCTCAGAGCTGCCTCAGTAACACTATTGGCATTATCAAAAAAGATGAAGGCCTTGTCAAACTCGGATGCAACAAGGTGAAGGAGTTGATTGAACTCGTCATCGTCTGGATATGGAGTATCATCTAGAGCTTTTAGTTGTTCCCAAATGATTGACGTGGTGGGGAGCTGCGATACCAGCTGTCTCAAAACAGAGGCTAACGCATGGTTGAAATCGACCTTGTTGTACTGTTTATGGTTCTGTTGGAACTTGACACAAGCAACTGCATAACCCTTGGTTTCTTGAACGTATTTGATGAGGCGGGAGCTGCACTTTCAATTAGCAGGGAGCTTCCAGCGTGTGAAGGATAGACTAACCACAGAAACGTCTTGCCAGTCGCCGCTGAAAATTTATTAGCAAAGGCAATTACTCGATTTCTCATTGTGCTCACATGGTCCATGAAGCCAAAGCAGAGACGGGGAGTTGTTGTGAAGCCACTCCTTTGTCTTCGGGTTATCGAGAATCCATTGGCCTGATTCTGGAATGCGTGCGCGCTCGAGATGTTTGTGCCAGCTCTCTGATCGATCGCCGGGACAGAGTCTCCTGAGTAACTGATCTCTTTCGCTAATGGACATCTCGACTCTCCTATCGCTATGAGAATAGAGAAGTTTGTCTTGGCTTCGGTGGTATGGCAGAGAAACAAACGCACCTGGTTTTAATGGCTGGTGCTCGTCCCTGGCCCTATCCTTGGTTGAGCGGTATCGTAATATACCGCATTCACGGTGGGGCTGGGCAGTCAAGGAAGGGTCAAAAACGCTAGGTTTGTCAGCAACCCGCTATTTTGAACCAGTGATTTTGCAGTAAAGAACAATCCTATTTTCCTTCGGGGCTGGCGAGATCAAGTTGAAGAACCTTGCTCAACCCCTCATATTCAATCAAAGCCGACAGAATGATGGTATGGTAAGACGATGCCGAGGCTGAGTAGCGGTGGAAGTACCCGTGAGCATTTCTACATAACCAGGGGCCTAGGCTAGACCTTTGTGGACCTGCAGATCGTTGCCGCAAATCTATCTACTTTCAGTAGTTGCCGGACCATTTCGACATGTTAACAACACAGTCAGTAGTCAGCAATGCCGGAAAGCCGAGACAATATAACCGCCTTGGCATAAGGTTCGAGCTAACTAAACGTACTTGACGTAAGCTCTCAGCTAAATCAACAGGGGTCTTTACGACGAAACCACTTACATTACGATTATTTCGAGGATACGCCACAGATACGCTCCATATCACTGCGTAGTACTGCGTCCACAGATGATACTATTGATGATACTATTGATGATACTATTGGGTTGTGTCACGGCACGTGTAATTGAGAGGAAGATTACATCACGTGATCTGATTCAATTGAACACGCCGACCGAAGTCAGCCTCTGGCTTCGGCCCACCTCGACTCTAACTTTGAACACGTATTCCTTCCACCAAACCTTACTGAGTCATGTGTTCATTATCATTAGAGTTTAGTGGCTAGTGCAACCTTGCACACCTAACCTTACTAAGACTTGACCTACTGGAGGTTGCTATTGATGATACTTTAGAGAGAAAACTTATCCTAGCCTTGCTATTTAGAGATACCCTTGTTCTTCGTAGTACTGCATATCAGCGACTATCAGTGCGTATTCCTTGGAAGCAACAACTTCAACGAAGTCGAAAACACAGTGGAGGAAAGAGAAGGCAAGCTCACGGACCCAGCACCGTTCAGTTCCAAAAGGTACTTTCTGTTTATTCGGTCTCGTGTAAATGTAGTTTGTGTTGTAAAGTCTTGGGTTGAATTGAGAAAATTTGCTTCGCAACGCTGGGATAGCATCTTGCCGGCAAGGGATACCGTGTGAATGTCAGCATCAGATGATACTTGCTTCGTAGCTACGCTCCTCTGTCTCTACCTCAGCGCATTTGTAGCTTGCAGTGTGGTATCCTGAGCACTTGGGTCTCTTGCAGATCCCGTTATAGTAATGATTCTTATGATGAAGCTGTCAGAATTGATTTAGGAAGGAGAAGAATGAGAATGTAAGGACGTAAAATCGGTGGAAGCTGTATACATATAAGATGTTGACGTTCCGCTACAATTCCAGCAGTTTTAAAATCAAGCACCACTGTCTCATTCACTCATCGATCAATAATTCGATATGCGCTACCTTCAAAATATGGTCCTCCTGATCAGCGTCCTGGGAGCAGCCCCTGCTGTTCTTGCAGCTGCATCATGTATTGAGAGCTCTGGAGTTGAGGTCGCTCAGTCGAACGATATGTTTCCTATATTACTCCACATGCCATGCTGGTCCATTCACACTAACACCATCAGGCGCCGATGTACAGCCACTACAAGCGTTCCAGCCTCAGGACGACGACGCTGAATACGACGACGACGATGAGGGCTTGACAGGCAATTACGGCGTCACTTTGTTGGCTCAGCTGGAGTACCGAGCTCGTGTCAAGTGCTTGACCAAAGGTCGCCCTGGCAAAAACTGCTACTACTCGCAGTGCCCTGGAAGTAAACAGTGCAAGGTCAACGTACGAGGAAACTGTATGTTCAAATACACTCAGAAGAAGAGGCCCTTTGGTTGCAGCCTGTGCCTTTGCTACCGCTCAAGCATGTGAGGAGTAGATACTGGAATATGTCAGAGTAGTTTTGGGTATCATACTGTGTTCCCTGGCTCTTTACATATGTCTTACACACTGAGTATCCGGAGCTTCGTGTCCATGTGTCTGTTAGGTTTGGAAATCAGCCAGATTGTAGTTGCTCTGATGGATCCAGGCACTGTTGAACCGGCTAGATATTGACTTGATCTTCTAGCCAAAGCCAGGCTACATGTTACTGTATCAGTAGGAATATGTCTAGAAATGTGTCACAGATTTAATTAGTGTTCTTTGCTGTTCGAAGTCGGCAACTTCAGGTTCATGATAATCTCGATAACATGAGTGAGGACAAGTCGGATGATTATAGTCAAAAGCCACATCCTTCGCAGCGGTAGGAATTGTCTTGAAATCCCCACAGACTAAGGCTGAGTGTGGCGAAGCAACCGAAAGAGACCTGTCAACCAACAAAGCATCCAAAAAGACATCACCGCTAAGTACCAATCGTGCTCAACTGTTGGTTCACCCCGGTCGGGTTATACTCCACCACTCGTTTTATCCCTCGCCCACTTTGAAATTACCTTCTCTTTCGGGTCCGGCGATGCGCGAATTGACAGGTGGCAGTCTTTTACCCACAACTCGAACACTTCCGAGCGACTTTCGCTTTTAGTCACCAGCGTCCCGAGTTATCACTCTCATACTTTGTTTTCGTTTCCCGCTTTTAAGAGATCACTGGCATAAATACCTTTCGAAACAATTTGGAATGTCCATCAACTCAAACGAGACATCAGACTCTGATTGTGAGAGTGTCGAAGAGCCTACACCATGTGATCCGCAGGAGATCAAGCAACAATTTCTGGACTTCTACAACTTTCTGACTACCTTGCATTTCGACAAGAATAACTTAAAAGTGCCTCCTCCTGGTGGTTAGCCTCATTTAACACCAGAGTTCTGTGCTCACTTTAAAGCCAATCACACAATTGAAGTCCTGCGACATCTACCGTACTTTGACCAGCGAACGAAGGTCCATATTCATCGTAGATCAACCTTGCTGGACTATACGGCTTTTACCCATAAGGAGTTCAAGAACGCTGTAGCTACATACGAGCTTAATAACAAGTATTGGGGCACAAAAGGCGAGATTAATCCAAAGCATATCTTTCTTATATCTCTTAGCGGTAAGCAAGGCACTTATAACCTATTCCTAAATACTAGAGATGGAGAAATCATCTATAAACAAATTAGCGTCTACGAAGGCAATCATCCCATACAGCATTATTTCAACTCATTGAAGGACATATACCGGAGGTTAGAGCTTATTAGACTTCCGAACAGACGTATTATCGACACGTAGGGTGCTCCAGAACCAGAACATACAATCAGCCTTGAAGAAGTTTGTAAAGAAAGCGAGCAGTTTCTAACGAATCTTGATAAACAATATCTCAGACAGTTGTTTCGAGAACACGGTTGGCCGGATGCATTCCGCAAGGATAGCGCAGTGGAGGCGGTAGACAACATAATAGATGCAATTGAACGAACGGGCAGAGCATGCGCAAGTTGGAAACTTTAATGACACATTCTCTTATGAACAGTGGCCAAAGCGTTTTCTGTTTCCATCGTCATGTGACTCAGTATCCGTATAAAACGTGCTCAACGGCTCAACAACCCACCAGCGGACCGCGATCAACGAAATTTACCGTTACCAACTACCCGCTCAATCGTATCCAAAATGCCCAGACTGAAAGCGGATGCTGGTATACAGCACACCATCGACTTTAAAGATCACACAGGTCGACCAGCGAAGGCAACTTGGTTTGGCCGCAAATATCAAGTCTTACCGCCTCTTCCAAGCTTATGCTTCTATTTCGTTCATCCGGATTTCAATCTAGAAAAGCTTAACCTTGGGTTCTTCTGGCAGGATGTAAGAGAGTGTCTCCACGAGGCCTTTCGATTTGAAATATTCTCTATTCCTCGGGGGAAGTAACGCCGACTGTGCTCAGCATTATCGCGAAGAGCTTGAGGCTCGTGGCGATGTGTTTGAACAAGTCCGAGAGGTTGACAGGGCCAAGAGAGAACCCGAATATGCAGCCGCGCGAAAGGCTCAGGGCAAGCTTCCCGGCTTGGTATCATCCCACAGGTACCCGGGAGCCATGGCCTATCACGGGCTTGTTATTGTATACAAGGATGCGACTTGGAATCGGGAACATTAAAAAAACATTTGATGTTGTTCAATTCGGTCCCGCTCTGACATCGGAGGACTTTGAGCCCGGGGATAAGAAAATTGTACAAGAGCCTTTGTCGACAACGCGGGTGCTAGCAACATCAAAGGAAGATATTGAACGGTCCGAGGATCAAGGGTTCGGGTCACAATTCATGAATCATAAGCCTAGCAACTGGTGGTATGACGTCCTGTATGCTACTACTGATGCCAGGGACCTTGGTTGGAGTTCACGGTAATGGTCCTGAGGCATTGTGTACCGCATGCAGTTTGAGCAGGCAACGATTTATATGCCCGCGGATTCGAAATACTTGTATAATTTGGAACCATCATTCTATGTACAGTCGAATTTATTTTTCCTCTATCCTGTGCTGGAAACTACCATATCGCCCTATTTTCGGATCTGCAATTGTGGACACAATTCTATGGTCCATCCCAGGCAGCAGCAACGTCTCAAGGCTGCAACAGGCCATAGCGCCACTGTTGACCTTGTCATGTGACCAGCGGCTTCTATAAAGATCTAACCAACGCCCTTCTACTAGAGACCAGGAGAAAAGCTTGACCAACCCACTCAATTCAAGTCATGGTGCGAAGGAAAGTAGACGCTTGCAGACGGGAAATTTTTCACGTCACAGACCATGCAGGCCGAACAGCAAGGATCCTTTGGTTACGCAGCCCGACCGAAGTCCTTCTCCCTCTTGCAAGCATCTGCTTCTACTTCGTTCATCCAAATCTGGATGTGAATGATTTCGACTTTTGGAAATTCAGGAATGATGTACTACACAACGCGGAGGATTCGCTTCAACTTCGGGTCAACATATTCTTCATCCCTGGGGGCACTGACGCCGAGTGTGTGGAGCATTACCACAAGGAGGTTAAGTCTCGCGGCGACGTCCTTGAGCAAATTCGGGAAGTCCAGGAGGCTTACAAGGACTTCTACAACAATCACGGATATGTACACGAGGAAAGAAAGAAAGGAAAGCTTCCCGGCCTGTTTACGTCTCGCCTGGGCGAAAGTACAGGTTATCACGGCCTGATCTTTGTATTCAAGAAGGCAACTTGGAACCTCAAAGAAGACGACAAAAAGTTGGACATGGTTCAGTTTGATCCGAAGCTCATATTGGAGGAGTTCGGGCCAGGAGAAAGGATTCCAATACTAGAACCTGTCAAAACAACACGGGTCCGAGCTAAGAAAGCTAGGCGAGAAAGATTGGATTATGATAGTGATCCAGTGCAAAGAGGGTCTGAGGATGAAGCGGTTTGGTGGTGGTTTGAAAACCGGAGAGACAGCCGGCTGTGGAGGGGAGCGATAGAAGCCAAAAATATAGCTATGTCACTCGGATGGACAGCGTGGTAATCGGATCGGAATATTACTGTATTCTGTGAGTATGATGGAGAACCCCGATTCGATACTTCCACAATCCTACAACCTGTAGATGGAAACAGTCCGTAGCATAGAACTCCGGTTAGCCCTGTACTAATGTTTCAAACAAGGTTTTTGTTGTGATAACGTATTTTTTAATTGAGTTGATCAAAAGTCAGTTGCGGAATCCGTTCTAAAGTAATTTTCGACGTATAGGGTAACTCAAGCGCGTCAAGATTGCCCGCTCAACAAAATTAGTTAACGCGTGGGCCAATCAAGAGCCAAATACAGCCTGTACGCGCTACACTACTGAAACAAAAGCAATTCTAATGTTGACTCCGGACCCGGGTTTTAGCTCATCTCATTTCTTACAATCCAATAAGATTGTGACCTTTTTCATCACAAGATTATCGGCATCATGGAACCTCCTGCTAAACGTATCAAGCTCGAAGCGGACATTGAGCCCACTCTGTCAGCGTTACCCACAGTAGACATATCTGCGAACAGCAATTGCGAGGCGGACCTGTCTTTCGAGGTGAAAGCAGAGTTAAAACCGCACTGCTCCCAGTGCAACTTGATTTTCCACAGCGACGCCGAGCATGCATTTCACATTTCAAATTGGCACTATACACATCTTTGTAAAGCCTGCGACAAGGGATTCCCTGATCGTCATAGCTTCGATGCCGTGAGTATCCACTCTGGAGTTACAAGACCCATTGGCTGAAGCCTTTTTATAGCATAGAAAGACGCATCCCCGCTTCTCAATCAAGTGTTTGGGCTGTAAGGAAAAGTTCAAGGTCCACTCAGCGATGGTGGAACACCTTGAAAGTAGCAAATGCACCTCGGGCGCGAACGCCGAATTACTCGCCAAAGCATCAGATGATTATATGAACCAGCGCATCTTCAAGTCGGAAAAGCCTTCCAGTTCAACATTGGACCCTACCTGTTCAGGTTGCGGGGTTATTTCTAACACCATGAGTCAAGTCATTGCTCATTTGGAAAACAGGACGTGTTCAGTGCGAGCCTGGCTAGATGATTACAAACCCTTGTTCGAGGCTCTTCAGCAACGTATCGCGGAACAAAAGGCGGACATCAACGGATGTACTGTATGCCATATGACATTCATCAACGCCCATGCGCTCGAACAGCATCTGCGGGTCAAACATAAACTCACCCAATGCTTTGGCTGCTTGGAAGTTTTCGAGATGACAGGTGACAGAGAACACAACGCCGTTCATCGAGGTACTGCCAACAAGCAACATTTCCATTGCTTGAATTGCCGGTCAATGATAGACGACAATGACCACAGGCAAGTCTCATATAGAACATGCGGTCCTAATCAGAACTTTCAACTCCTCCAGCTGTAGCACCTCCAGTGCAAATTACGAAAGAACAGATGAAGCAACATCCGCAGGAGAACGAGAAGAACCCGGATCTGCAATCCTTCTACTGCAGCTGGACGACTGACGATGAGGATCAGTTGAGGATCCATAACATCTTTTGCAACTCTGAGACGAAGCGCACATGGTGTGACCTTTGCAAAAAACGATACAGCTCCGCCAGATGTTACTTGCAGCACGTTAGAGACTCGCCAAAACACTTCACATGTGACCTTTGCGTGGAGAAAATGTCAACAAAAGGTCGACGAGAGGTGGAACATAACTCGTACACTTTGCAATATGTGTCGTGGGAGGCTTTGGCTACTCATATGAGAGAAAGCCATGCCGCATGTATTTCATGTAATCGATGGTTTGTTAGCCACCTCGCGCTCTCCGACAGGGAACAGCTTAAAGAACACAATGAGATTCATCATTGGTCGGAACCATGCACAGCATGCGACTTGACGTTCCCAGATACCAGGTCCCTTGAAGAGGTAAGTGTTTTTCTCCGTCTTGTTTCCTGTTTGGCTGATCTGATTCTGTCCAACAGCATAAAACAACTCACCCTGCAGAGCCAATCGACTGCCTTAGTTGCAGTAAGACCTTCGGAAGCTATTCACTCATGATGGAGCGTTTGGAAAGCGGAAATTGCAACTCAGGCGCAACTCACGAATTTATCAAACAATCCATCAAAGATCCATTCAAGGATCCCAAAGGTTTTAGTACAGACTACAAGAAGCTGTCCGAATACTTCTCCTTCTGCCCTGTATGCTCAAAGGAACTCCCACGCTTAAGCCTTCTTCTACAGCACTACGAGTCGCGCAAGTGCTGGACACACGGATGGCAGAAGCTTACGCCGGTGAAGCAGATGTTTTACTTGAGGTTGAAAAGAGCTATCCTCGCACATATCGAGTGCGTCACATGCGACAACGTTTTTAAGGATCAGAGGACATGGAATGAGCACATGTGGAAAGAGCATCAAGAGCGATATTGCTTCTTGTGTAAAGACGATTTCTCCCAAAGGACCTGGTCAACACATTTCGGATATTTACAAGAAGCATGCCCCGAGGAAGAATCCTGGCATGGCAAACGCGAACCAAAATCATTAGCATGCAAGGATTGTGGCCCTGATGCTATATTTGGAAGCGATCGGGAGTTCTACAATCACTGCTGGAAAGAGCATTCCACTTGTGCAGTATGCGCAGTTACATACAACAACACGGAAGACTTGTCAAAGCATGATGCCAAAGTCCATGGCAAGTGTGGAATTTGCGGGCATCTTGCAAAGACCTATTGGGATTTGAGAACTGTAAGTATGTCGCTATTGGTAAGGACGTCAGTGATTGATTGTTTTGCAGCATTGTACGGAGAGACATGGGATCAAACTTCCATTGCGACCAGAAACGCCTCCTGAGAGCTTGAAGGAACTACCAGAAGCAAACTCAGATCGGCCAATTCAGACTCAGGACTCTGACACGGGGAGAAGGCCAATGAGGATGGAGGAGACGTCGATACACACAAATCCACAGGCAGAGCAGGGGTTGATCACGGAATGGTTCAACGCGTAGAATCTGAGAAAACCAGCAATGGCTTTTGAAAGAATAAACGCTCATATTATGCTGGGTATTGCTGAATTCAGTGTGCTCTATCTGCATAACTAATGTAGTTTGAGTGCTCACAAGAAACTACAAGGTCATAATCCAGCGATGAGAGAAGCTTGTGTCATTTGCGACTCTCTTTACTTCGCTCCGGCACCCAAGACGCCCCTAGCCTGACCAATGAGGAAATCAGCACCCTCGTCAGCATTTCGACCGTAGGAAAGATGAGGCGGTAGGACAGCGGCAGTGAGAACACCGTCGCATACCGTGTCCCGGGGTAGAGAGGCACAAATAATCTCCGTTTTGGCTGGGTCGAAGTTGGGGATCTGGCCCCCATCAGCGCGATCTTGTGTGTCGCCAAACATGATGACGCCAGCGATACGATCCTGTTGGTCTTGAGGGAGATCCTCGATGACACGGTGATTGACGGCAGCGCCCTGGCTATTTGGGAGGTTAGCAAAAGCTGCTAAAGCGATAAAAGCAGAGTGACTTACGAGTAGCCACCAGTGACAATCACGGAGTCAGGACATTGGCTCATAGCATCATCGAGAATTGATTTCATCTCGCGGATACCGACAGGATCAGCACCTCCGGGGACGAAGTTGGTTGAGAGAAGAGCAGCATAGTCAACACCCTGTACGGCTACCTGGCCTGGGAACGCATCCTTGAGATTGTTGGCGACATCAGGACCGACAATAGTTCCCTGTTTCATTGTAAGAGAGTCGTACATTCCGTATCAATATCAAACGTACCATGTTGCCGATCTCGGTAGAGCCACGAGCCCAGACGAAAATGATGTCGTTGCAGCCATCGTCCTTGAACTCGTTGGCCGTGCTGCGGACTCTGTCGCCAAGTTGACGTTTACTCTCCCTCGCAGAGTGGTCAAAGGCCAGGGCCAGAGAGGCGAGAGTGAAGAATTGAAGGAAATGCTTCATAGTTGCAACAGAGATTGAGTGGTTCTTAGTTGGTGTAAAGATGAGTAACAGGAAGTTCTTCTGATAGTTCGTAGAAGGAGACCTGCTCCGGAAGAAAAGCGAATGACGAAGTAAAGAGTGAATGAAGGATATCGTGCCAGACGATATAGATAGAAGTGAAAATGTAACCTGATGATAATGCCTGTGTATCGAGATTTGTGAACACGTAGAGACAGGCTTATATAAATACCAGTAACTACTGACAGTATTCAGAACGTCTAGCGCTTTGGCGCTTAGTCCCAATGTGGAAAAGTTTACGAATATGTAAAATAAGCTTATTGATCATAAATGACAATAAAGATAACATGGCGGTCACCTCGGCAGTTTCATCACGTCCGAGAGCTGAAAGCTGGGGATTCTTGACCGCTGTCTTTTTGAAACGGGCCTCGGCTCGCTGGTCATAATTGCGCTCCCACTATTCGTCTTCTTCTTAAGCATCGTTTGTGTTCGCGTGATCAAAAGTGTTATTCATTGAATAGTCATTGCCGGGCATTTTAACACCAGATATGGCACAGGTAGATCCAGGTAGCTGAAACATCTCTTGTCATTTCCCTGCCAAGTGAAACTAAACCCTCAAGTGTATCAAGACGATTGGTAATAACAGACTGGAACAATTGGGGAAATGATTGCGAATAGCGCGATTGTGAATCATGCGTTTCAGGTTAAAAATGCAGCTTACAGATGGGCAAAACATTACAAAACACAGCTGTTTAAACTAAAGAAATGTAGCACTTGGCATATTGACTTCAAAACACTAATAGTGTAAGATCTCTTTTAAAAGATGTGATTCGCAAAATGTAAAGAAGATGGCTAGATGCATTGTACTTTGGGAGGAGGCTTATTGGGCACGGATCTACTCCATACTGATAAAACACGGAATGGAAGTCTAAAACACGGACCCTTATTCGGAAGCTACCGTGCCGAGACCGAGACTGGCAATGCCAAGCAGTCAGCCCGATGCTTCCAATTGCTCGGATTGAGGCGAAGGATCCTCTCAAGCTTGCTTACACTTGTGTCGATGACCTTATCGGCGAGTAGGCTAATCGCCAATCTGATAAGGTAGCCCTTGATTCTTAGGATGACAATTCCCACTATTCTGGGCTGGACAAGCTATTGAGCTTGTGTGTATAGCATTTGCATTCTCTATATAGAACAGCTCCTCAACTTAAAACTATACAACCGATTATCCAAATACGTTGCATCCGTAGAACGAGAAGCTGTGAAAAGTACTGAAACAAACAGCTCTTAGAATTCAATTAGACAACCTTTCCACCGCCCCGACTACAGCATGAATCTTAGAGGGTGAAGACCAATCCTTTCAGTGAGTCAGCGTCTCAAGATTCTCCTTTTCCCCAGGCATCAGGGACTCCCATCACTATGGCCACCATCATCCGAGCCGCCTGGACAATTCTCATGGCTCGACATCGCGACACAGACGACGTGTGCTTCAGAACTTCTGTCTCTGGTCGCAACGCCCCCGTCCTAGGTTTAGACACTACGACAGCGATCGCTATAGCCCTAGTCGTCGTGAGGGTACATCTTTTTTTCACAAGGGCAAATCAGTCGAGGACTTATCAAAAGATATTCAACCTCAAGCGTCGGAAATGGTCGCTTTCGAACAATTTGGGCTTCAGGATACTGTCAGCCTCAGCGAGTCAGCCCGGCAGGCATGTGGTTTTCAAAGATTACTAGCCATGAAACCTGTAAAGCCTTCAACAGCAGCTGTTAGCTCGGAGTACGTCATTTCACTGAGAGGTGAGGCGTCGGGGGATTCTTCTAGTTACTCATTGGTTGTTCAAGGTTCGCTTCATGATGATGATGTCCAGTTCGACATCCACAAACACATCTTTTAATTGAGTATACTAAGCTCTGTTCCTTAACTCTCCGTCGTTATGCACTGGCGCTTCCTCTATGTTCTCACCATTGATGCAGTCTTCGCGGTTATCGACCACCATCCTATCAGCTATGTTGTCAAGATTGTTTTTGCTGGAGTAGCATGACGCGTTCTGCTTACATCAAGCTTATGATTGGCTGACGCGTCTATTGATACAGTCTATATCCGACACCCAGAAGCTACCCTACATCCCGAAGATTTTTAATACAGGTAAGTCATAAGTTGCCATGCCCGGACTAGACTTATGCTAAAGACTACAGAGTCCTGGTTAAGGGGAAATAATCATAAAGGGGGATGGTGTACTTGACGATCACCTTGTTGCTATGATCACCAGTCTAGCGATGTTCTTCAAAGGGTGCGGCGAGGGGTAGCATTTGAGTTGTCGTTACAATGTCGTCGGCACCCATGCAAGCGCGTAGTTCAAGTCACCAGAAACATTGCTTCCTACAAGCGTAAAGAATGTGGTAAGTCATAACAGATGGGGCTATTCCGAGTTACCGCTACAAATAAAGGATCCGATTCGACACTTATAAGTGAAAACTACTGACGACGACACTCGGAGGACACTGTTGGAAGAGATATGCATACATTATTCCAAGGCTTTGGCACATCTATGATTTCCAGGAATGTGTTTCTAAGAATCACATATCTCTCAGATATCTCTCAGCCAAGTCATCGCCATGATAGGTACTCCTTCTCTTCAAACAGCTACACAGACCCAGTACTTCGCCCACAATGCTTTACAGCCTGACCCAATAGATGGATTCCATTTATACAGGTTAGCCCAGGAAATCTTGTAGTAATTCTGAATAGAAGCACACGTAGTAGTTGATTGGACAAGGTGGAACTTCTTGCAACCCTTGACCATGTTTGTCTGGATAGGCGAAGGTGTTTGCACACCACCAGGCGTGGTTGGGCTCGGTTTAGGCTTCTGGCCTATGACCCCGATGCACACATTGTAGCCAGCCCAGAGGCCGTTGCAAGACTTGTCAATAGCAGTGTTCCACTTCAGAAAGTCCGACATATCGAGCTTATAGTAAGACTCAATTGAGGAACAGGTCGTCGTTTTAGAAACAAGGTGGAATTTGTTGCATGAGCTGGTCATGCCACTCTGGATAGGCAGAGGTGTCTCAACGCCATTATTTCCAGTCGTAGGGGTGGGTGTCCAGCCAGGGACACTTACGCAAACGTGGTATCCAGCCATAAGGTATTGGCACTTATCTCCAACAGATGGATTCCACTTGTAGAAAGTGGTAAAAGGAAGGCTGTAGTACTTCTCGATCGAATTGCAAGTTGTTGTTTTCGAGACAAGATGGTACTTGTTGCAATTCTTGACGATGCCACCCTGGATCGGTGAAGGTACGTTGCCTGTTGCTGAAGGCTTCGCGGTGGTTGTAGGCTTGGTAGGTGTGCTTGGTTTATGGTCGATTGTGGAGACACAGGCCCACGCGTTGGCCCATAGTCCAGTACAACCGGTTTCGATCGACGGATTCCATTTCAGGAACTCAGCGCCCGTGATTGAATACTTGGAGGCGATATAGGCACAGCCTTCGCCTGACTTGACAAAGTGGAATTTGTTGCAGTTATTAACGATGATAAGCTGTGTCGGTTCGGGTGTATTGATGCTGCGTATTACAAATTAGCGACCGGGAATCAAGTCAAAATAGCTGGCCGTGGCCTACCTGTTGGAAGGTTTGGTGGGTGAAGGTGCAGGTGAGTCGCCACCTGGGACGTAGTCAAGTGCCATGACACATGCCCATGCGTCAGCCCAAAGACCCGAGCAGCCGTCTTGAACGCTGGGATTCCATTCGACGATTTTTTCAACAGGAATCTTGTACTTCACAGCGATTGCAGCGCAAGTCTCGCCTTTTGCAACCAGGTGGAATGTTTTGCAGTTATCAACAACCTCAAGCTGCAGGGGCTGTGGAGTCTGGACGCCTGTTATAATCATCAGCTCTGGGTGTCGTTTCGTATCCGTGTTATGACCTACCATTGGAGGGTTTGACCGGTGTGTTCTGGGTAGGCTTCGTAGTGCTCGGCTTGGTGGGAGTTCCAGGTTGAGGATCTGGAACGTTTTCAAACATTGCTTCGACACAGTAGGACTTGCCCACCGTCATTCCGCCACACTTGGCCGTGATGGAAGGATTCTACAATCGCTATATGTCAGACATAGTGTGTTTACGGACAGCAGAAAAGAAATTAACTGACCCATCGACGGAACTGATCAATGGTGATCATGTTGTTTTCCAGCAGATCGTCGCAACTTATGGGTCCATTCATATCAAACCACCAAGTGCAGTCTGCTGAAGTGTTCGCATCGTAGGGGTTGGCTGGTGCAGTGTCCCGACGAGAATGGCGGTCGATCACTGCACTGGTGCCTGTCTGCAAAAACGCAGTGAAAGTTAAGAGGTGGGCGAGGCTTCTCATGGTCTAAGCTGAGATACTGAAGATGCGTCTGTGATACAAATCAGTGAGTTTGAAGCATCTCAGCGACCTTTTGAATACATGAACTTTCACAGAACAGAAGTAACTTCGTATCTTTCTTTGGCCATTTCTTGGCGCGTCTGCTGATAGTTTGACCACTGAGCGATATATCTCGCAATCTCTGTGGTTTGAAGGACCTTTGTGGATGCAAACATCACAAGATCCCGTGCAATCTTGCTCTCCGCTTCAACGAACCATGTACATGGTCCTCGTGGTTCAACCAACAGTTCATTTAGCCTATGTCACCAAGTTGCCTGAGGGCTGCAGTGGGAGATTACATCTCCACGCCGAAGTCTTTACGAGAGACTCTTACTCATAATGGCAGGTGTTTCATCGAACCGTAGGATGGTTCTTTTCAAATCTGTTGGTTGTTAGTCTACGAGAGATGTCACCCTTCAGGTGGCGTCGGCTTCATCCGTCTCCAAAGTTCCGATTGGTTCGTTTTGAGATCCACTGATCAGGGGCAAAACCTTCTCCTCAAAAAAAAGTCCGTGTTACACCAATCATCATCTACAATGAGTGGAGAGTCCGGAGAAGCTTAAAAATCGTGGTTGTTGGTTGTGAACTGCAGGGTTTTCTTTTTTTTTTTGTGTTGGCTCTAAGTCTTTTTACCTTTTTAAGAAGGAGAAACAACGTCGTGAACTCCGTCTTGGCAGAGCAACGAACGGCTAGACGGGCTTGGCACTGAATTCCAATCTCGGCAGCAGATTTCAACTTGTACTATCGACTCTGAAGGCCTGTAAAGGTCTTGTACATCACTCGCTTGGTCGTTCCGATGATCCACCTATTTAACAGGTAAAAATCGGTACCCTGGCCGTACGGCAAAATCGAGGTGCAGGGATTTCTTGAAACCTGGTTCAGCACATGCTACGATGGCGAATTTCGGCAAGCCTGTTTGTCCCCAAACAGGACGCACATTCAGGGGATTTTCTGCTCCGACGACTTTTCGAACAATGCTATGATTTACCGTAAACTCCCCCATGCGGCAGGCGCGCAAGGCACACGCCGAAAGTAAGATTTAAGTCAAACGTTCGCTTCACTCGTAGTATTGGGAGTTATTGTGCCAAAGACCCATCTAAGTGGCATTATTCATGGATGTATACGTGTCATGCAAGCAAGAGATATTGTAATTAAGCTAGAATGTGACTTCAATAAGATCCTCACATAGCGTCGTTGACGACAGCAGCGGCGAGTCCACCGCCAGCCATGAGCCAAACATCAGCTCCTCGAGCTTGGATCTGTGTACCCTTCGATTCTTCCCTGCGATCTTCCTTTGCGGTTCCCTGAGTCTCTTCTGAATTGCCTTCAGTAACATCCGATGAGACCTGAGTCTCTTTGGGTGCTGTTGGGGTGACCTTCATGCCAGTCGTTGCTTTTGTAGTTGAAGCTGGTGTAGCAGCAACTCTGTCCACGGTGGCATGGGCTTGTGCGTAACATTCACCCCAATGGATGGTGTTGTTCAGGCGAGCCGAGCCATAGACAACCCCAATCATGGCATTGAACCACTTCTTTTTGCAGACGTGGGCATATTTCACAGCGTATGAACTGTGTTCCGACCACCACGACGAAGCTGAGCTGCCATAGGATGACCAAGCTGGCAATAGGGTTTTGGGTGCGTGGTTGCTAAAAGAGCACCACTCCGACAGTGCTGGATATGGGCACGTCGGTAGGCCCATAACGTCCACATCAGTCAATGGACAGTCTTTGAGTAACTCATCGCCATAGGACAGGAGAGCCGTCGATAGGCTCCCGTTGGGAGTCAAAGCGGAGAAGATTGGATAAAAGTCTTCGAACATGCAATCGATGTCGTTGTCCGAGGTAGTTGGCTTTGCCGAAGGGAAGAGGGTCTCATAGATGGCGGCATTGGTGGCCGAGCCTTGCAAGAGAAAGATAGCAAGAGAAAGCTTCATTGTGTTCAAGTTTGGTAGACTTGGCTTGTAGCAGATTCCGTGCTTGATGTGAATAGAGAGCTGAGGATAAAGGGGCAGTGAAGTAATTTCTTGAGAGGTTCTCCTGACAAAGAAATTGAGAAGATGCGAGGAGTCTACTCACGTTGTCATGTGAAAATTACTCGCGAGTAACTACTCGCTCTTATTCACGACTCCGAGGGTTGATCCACACCTAGTATCCAATCGCCAACAAGTTAAATGCGTCTCCACCTCCACAAGTAGCCTATCCAGTAGTTCCTGTAAAGCGGCATTTACAGAAAGACCAAAAGATGCAATTCTTCAGACCCGTCAGGGTCCTCTTGGTACATGTTGGCCAGCAGTATGTTGTTGGTTCATGGGTTTCCTCCACAGTAGTGGAGCATAGAGCCAATTACCCTTTAATGTAACGTACCATGTGTCACCGGGATGGTCCAGAATTTCACTCGCATAAGCACTCCGAGCAGAAACTTCCGTTTTTAACACTCCGGGTCATCATTTTGACTCTGGTGTGACTCTGCACAGATGGGGCCCGGACGACATGGCCAGGGATATAGCACCCTGGACCAACAGTCACCAAGCTAACGCCACTATCAATGTCACGCTCTGTTCCTCGACCCTGCATGGGGGAATAGTTGTAAGTGAGAGGATAATGATTCTGGGATGCATTATCGAACTCCGTTGTGCTATGAGGCATCGGGATTCGCTCGATGCTCTTTCACGCGACATACTACAGCTACGGGTTCTAGGCCGAGCGGTTAAGCAGGCCTGAGCATAGGCTTCTCTCTAGACTCTTGAACCTAAGCGACATGAAATTGTGTGCTTGCTATCAAAATTATACTTTCTGGTCCACATTGATGCAGCTGTTGGTAGTTCCACGTTCATTGCCGTCCGCTTTGTGTCGCGGAGTTCCGGGTTGCCACCTATCGACTTGTAGTCAAAAGATGTTCTGCAGCTAATCCTGAACTGTCAATCCGGTATTAAACTCAGACGAAATCCCCCTTCATAGAACTTAGTCTTGTGTTAACCAATGTTTGCATACACTCTTTACAACTGTCACTCTTTGCGACTCTCAACACGATCTCTTACTGTGTCATAGTAACACACTCTTTTACTGTATCATTCTCTCTTATTCTATCAGACTTTGCTTCTGTTATTTACTGTCATTCTTTTATTTTTCATTGCATATAGATGCTACCTTTAACAACATGAGTTGGGCAAGATCTTCATTGTTTCTCGCGTGGCTCCTTTGGGCTGCCACGGTGATCGAATGTGCCATTAACTTGGATGGCACACAGGCTGTTGATCCAGCAGGCGAAGATGATCCGTCACCTATTAGTGACATCAACACCTATCATCCTGATCAACACGACTGCCCTCTGGTCTGTGCAGACTATTCCAACATTCACAGTTGGATCCCTTATCTGTCTGTGGAACGCCTTCACCGTTGCCCAGATCCAATGCTGCTTAAGCTCTCTGTTTCGCAGCCACTGGACCGGGCGGATTCGACCATCTTGATTCGTAGCTGCACCATCGAATCCAAGTCGCGTTCTACCAGGAAGAACATCACCACAACTGTTGAGAACCCCAAAAAGGACACCACCCTTTATGAGGGAGGTAGTCTGAAGACCTCTGCAGCTTGCATTGTCGGTGGCACCTTGGTCAAAGACAAGCTCAGTCTTGGTACCACCCGAACCTCCAGTGGCAATAAGACTTTGATTGCCAACACCATGGGTGTTCTCCAGGGTATGAAGGCGTACTTTGATGAGAAGGACAACTGTGATGAGAACTTCTTGTTCGCTTATCATCAAGAAGTTGTCGCCGGCTTATATATTGGGGCCGGACTTGGCAAACGGACGGCTTCCTTGGCGCTTGACTCTCTTTCGCAGCATCTTGGAAGCATCGGCTCTATCTCCAATCAAACGTTGGTCCAACTCCATGACTCTGGGCGCAAGCCTGATCGTGTCTTTGGTATCTTTGTGGATACCACTGGTGACCTTCCCGCTGTTCAGAAGGCCACCTTGCGATGGAGTCAGGGATCTTCTGCTGTCGGCAGTGGCTTTGACCTTTCTCGATCACTGTCAAATGCTAAGGTCTACGATATATCTGGTATCACGGACTTCCCAGCTGCTGGTGAGCCAACACCAACACCAACACCTATGCCCTCAACCTCGGTCTCAAAAGAGCCTACAGGCCTCACGAGGAGACTTGCAAGTTTCGTCAATGCCAACATCCTGCAAAAGCGTGCTGTCTGTAAACACATTCCCGTTGAAGCAGGGGACAGTTGCGCAGCACTCACACGACGTTGCGGTATCCGCGGAGCCGATTTTGTAAAATTCAATCCCAAGTCCGACTTGTGTTCTTCTCTTGAAGAAGGGGATCACGTATGCTGCTCTGCCGGTGATCCGTACAAACCTTCTGGGCCCAAACCTGATCCTGATGGAACTTGTGCTACTCACCTCATCAAAGAACGGGATACTTGTGCTGCCTTGGCCAAGAAGCACAGCGTTTCTGTCAAGGACCTTGAGAAATGGAACAAGAACACTTGGGCTTGGACGGACTGCACCGACCTCCTTGTCGGTTACAACATGTGCCTTAGCTCAGGATTGCCTCCCATGCCTCTGCCTCAGGAAGGCGCTGCATGTGGTCCTTTGGTTCCGGGTACAAAGCGACCGACCGACAGTTCAGTATCGCTCGCTGATCTAAATCCCTGTCCTTTGAAAGCCTGTTGTAGCAACTGGGGCTTTTGCGGCGTCTTTCCTGGTCATTGTACTATCAATGAGCCCGAAAAGGGCGGCCCTGGAAGTAAGGCCAAAGGGTCTCAGAACACGTGCGTTTCCAACTGCGGGCACAACATCAAGGAGAACTCTGGTCGCCCGAAGCAGTTCGGTAGGATTGGTTATTATGAAGCCTTCAATTTTGATCGTGAGTGTTTGTGGCTAAAGGCAAGGAACGCTAACACAGACGGGTCTTATACGCATATTCATTGGGCCTTTGCTTCTATTGACCCACAGACCTGGAAACCTGTGATTAAACAGGGCAAAGACCAGTGGGCCGATTTCAAGAAGCTTCCAGTGAAGCGTATTATTTCCTTCGGCGGTTGGGCTGACTCAACAGCCCCCGACAAGTACGCTATTATTCGCAATGCTATCATCACCAACCGGGAGACATTTGCTACCAACCTTGCCAAATTCGCCAAGGATGAGGGCATTGATGGTGTTGACATTGACTGGGAGTACCCAGGCGTGAGTATTTCAGTCTCTCTTATGTTTGCTCATGTTAAGTCTGCACCCTCTACACTTTCGCTTCTTCATTCTTCTTTCCTTTTTCCCTTACTATCCTCTACGGTGTCTAATGTAATGGCGAAAACAGGCTGAGGATATTATGGTCGGAGGGTCGCCAATTGGGGCCAAGACAGATGGCCTGAACTACCTGAGATTTCTTACCACCCTGCGTCAGAAGCTTGATCCGGATATGTCACTGTCCATTGCAGCTCCAGCATCCTATTGGTATCTCAAGGCGTTTCCGATTGACCGTATCTCTAGCGTTGTGGATTACATCGTCTATATGACGTATGATTTACATGGACAGTGGGACTACGGCAATCCAAACGCCTTTGATGAATGTCCATCAGGCAAATGTATAAGAAGCCATGGTAAGCTCTTCCCAGTTGCTGTTTCAGTGGCCGGGGCTAACATTCGATAGTTAACATGACCGAAACCCGAAACGCCCTCTCAATGAGTATGATGATCGCTCTTACTATGAGAAGATTTTGCTAACAAGGCGGTACAGTCACGAAGGCTGGTGTGCCAAACAACAAGATCTTTGTCGGCGAGTCGAGCTACGGAAGGTCATTTCACATGGCCAAGGCCGGCTGTTGGAAGCCGACATGCGAGTTCACTGGTTCTAAGGCACTCTCAGACGCAACTCCGGGCAGGTGCACTAAGGAAGGAGGTTACATTTCCAACGCTGAGATCCAAGAGATCCTCCTTTCTGGCGAAGGTGTTGAGACCATGTACGATCGGACGTCTGAGTCGAATATCCTACTCTACAAAGGTATGAAGCTCACCATGAAGATTTTGTCCAAGGTCTAACGAGTTACAGGTGACTACGTCAGTTATATGACAGACAATGACAAATTGGAGCGACGAGTAATCTGGACCGACTTCAATTTTGCTGGCACTATCGATTGGGCGGTAGACCTGCAGAGGTTCGGAAATGAGGACTTCAATGCGGCCCCATCTATTCCAGAGTCTGGGTATGGATGCGTACGCGGCGATGATATGCTGGACGACTCTCTTGATCTTTGCTACTTCACTTGTAGGTATGGCTTCTGTCCTGAGTCGATCTGCTCGTGCCAGGAAGAAGGCAAAATCCGGAAGTTGCCCAAGGTCAAGAATAAGGATGAGGTGTGGGCTGATGATCCTTTCAATGTTGATCTGAACCGGCTGTGCAAGTTTGCATGCAAATACGGTTACTGCCCCTCCGAAGTCTGCAAGAGGAAGTCATCAAATTCCGGAAGTGTCGATGTTGATGTTGATGAAACGAATGGAGTGATCACTGTCCCACCTGACTACGATGAGGATTCTGTCAAGACCCGAGACGAGAACGACCGGATGTGCTACATTTATCGAGTTCCAAACGACAGGGAAGAAGGTTTGGATTCGTGCAAGAGACAGTGCCAACCGACCCTCGACAAAGCCAAAGAAGAAGGGCGGACTTCTAACTACGGCTGTGTTTCTTGGAGGCCTTTGGATGAGCCCGTCGTCTGGCAGAGGCAACCAGCAACTGGTTTGGATATCATCGGTGGGCAATGCAGTTGCGATAACTATTTGTTGAATCTGGGTATGGACATGATCGTCGAAGCACTTCCGGCTATTGGACAGGTGGGTCATGATATCTGTGTCTGGACGCGCAACTCACTCAGCGATGTAGATTGGATGTTTTCTCTTGATGTCGTCTGTCAAGTTGATTCTTGACATCGGGCTGGAATTCTTTCCTGCTGGTCGGGCTTTTACCGCTGGAACAGGTCTGTCTTTATCTCTCCTCAATGGCAAACTAGGTACTGACAGATAGCAGATATGTTGCTTACTGCGGCAGAGTTAATCAACTATGTCTATCCTGAGGGCGAAGATCCTGCTGGAGCTTTTGAGTGGTGGCTGAGTCCTTGTGGAGGTTCTGACCTTGTACCTGACGAGTTCAAGCAAGTCTTTGATATCCTCAGTCTGGTCCCGACCGGTCGTTCCAGTTATAGAACTCCCAAGAACATCAAGAAGGGTAGCGGCAAAAAGGGTGACGACGGGAACCCAACCGATCGCTCTGCTCCTCGACCTATCGGCGGTAATAAACCTCCTGGCGGTGGGAAACCGAATCCAACTCCGACGCCCAAGCCCAAGCCGTTGTGCACCGTCCCTCAGGCCTTGGAAACGCAACAAATCGGTGTACCATGTAACACCCTTCGGTTCGTCTCATGCGATAAAAACGACAATACAGTGATTACGGACATGGTTATCACTACCATGACATACGTGGCAAACGCCAAAACCACTGATATTACGAGAACCTGTAGGAATGAGCACGAGCAGGCCTGCTACCACTACAGCTCCGCCAACAGCAATAATCCACACTGGTCAACATTGCTATGCCCACAGAGCGCAGCGAAACCATCAAGGGTCCGAAAGGGCCCTAAGGCAACTTCAACGTGGGTTGCGGAGCATAAAGGCGAAGGCTGGAAAGATGAAAGCCTTCGGGATACCAAAGACTGCGATATGGACGAATGGCCCCCTGCTTATCTGATAGAAAAGGATTCGGACACTTATCAACAAGCTGGTAAGGACAGGAAGGGACAGCGAATGCGTTTCCTGGACGCAGGACACAACAGAGGAGCTGCTTCTTATTGGAGAGGTCTTTGCTTTGTTGACGCCATTAAAGGATTGACTCAGAAGGAATTTCATGATATGGTGATGGCAGGCAAGAAGGGAAAGTGGGCGACGAACGGAAACCACAAGAAAACAAATGTACAGGTCGAGATCGACATACGGCCACAGTTCAACTTGGTCTACGAGTTCGACCAGCCTGGATTTGTCGGTAACAAACTCAGGGACGATGGCATTTGGGACAATGGTTGTTGGCCAAAGAAGGCTGCCAAGTCTGACCCTGGATTCGCCCTGTTGTCTTTGGACGAGTGGTACATTAAGAATCCGAAGGCGAAGGTTTGGGACTATACTCAGAAGTACTTACCCAAACCGGGCCCTGGGGAAACCAAGAACGGTGACCCTTGATCACACTTAGCTGGGTACTTTAGACATTTTGTGTCGACCTTCGCTAGTAGACTTGGACTGTGTACCATGTAATACATTCAGCTTCGCCGTGCATTAAGAAATTCTGCCTGTTGGAATTGTGCAGTCGTATTGTGCTTATCATATTGATTGGCTTTTCACACGCTGCCACCCATAAGACTACAATAAGCATAATTGTTCGCTTTGACATAATTTCACTGTTGCAAAGTTCAACTCAATCCAACTTGACAGCGTGGCAAGAAATATCCCATTAAAATTACCAGTTCCATTTGACTCTCATTACCCTACAAGCCAATACACTAGTACTCTGCTCGACTTACACCTGAGGCCGCAATGGTAGAATTTACCATCTATAAAAACCCCGCCATTGCCCACCTTTTGGTATTGGCCATCTGTCCTAGTTTCAACCACGAACACCAGCAAGCGCAACAAAGGAATCAGGAACAACAATGCCTGTTTCACCTGAGGCATACTCCCCTACAGAGGTGTCTGAGATCCTTCTGGACTTTTACCAATTTCTGACAACATTGCACTACGATGCACAGTATCTCAAGACCCCGCCACCTGAGGGCTGGCCCGGCCTGGATCCATTGCTGGACTATCTAGCTAGGTCAGACCATGTCCGTGAAGTTATGAAGCGCATTCCTTACTTCGACAACGATTGTAAATCGTATATCCACTTCAAATCTCGCTTCATCGACTTTCCAACACTACCTGAGCGTTACTTCAAAAGTGTAATGGATTGGAGAGTTCAATGGAGCAACGAGGCATGGTCAAACCGACGAGATACCATCGTGGACTTCTATGACTTTTTCCCTCTTGCCCTTGGTCATGAAACCTGGAGCCGTCATATTTGGTTCAATGCTCGAGATGGAGAGATCATCGAGGAGGCTCACAGGGAGGGCGACTCTGAGCCAGTTGATCTCAAAGAGTACCTGGAGGCGTTGAAACAAGCCTATATTAACCTTGACCTCATTCCCTGCCGAGGAAGACTTACGATCGAGGTGATAGACGTCAACGAGCTACCCGAAGGACAAAGGGTCACAGAGGGAGAAGTCGTTGCACAGGACGACGAATGGGGAACGGATCTGGATATTCAGTACATCAGACAGCTATATCGGGACTGTGGATGGCCTAACGTCTTCAGACGGGATGAAGCTTTTGATGCAGTCGATGCCCTTATGGACAAGATCAAAGATCGCCGAGAAGAATGGGAAGTAGAGCGCGAGGATTGGATTACTGGACATTGGTGCTGATAAGTGTGCGTAATCCTCCATATCCGTCTATCGGACAGTGGTAAGCATGGACTCAAGTTCGCATCGCTCTAGGACGCAAAGAGAAATTGACTTGGACTTACATAAGATTGAATCGCAAGTAGATAGCAGACTTGGGCACGTCAAATAGAATATGGATTTTTCTGAGGTCTAAGTTCTAGATTTTGCATTATTTCGGCTGATTACAGTAGACAGCAGCCCACAGTGGAGAATTGTTTGACCAGCACCAATTTTAGTGGCTGAAGATAGGGTTAACAGGGGAAACGCAACCTCAACATCAACCACGATGAACATACAACCCATTCCATACCAGCCACTCAAATCCGACGCGATTCGTCTCCTCCACGTCCATCCCGGTACATCCAATTCAATTAGCGTTGATATTCACACTGTCGAGACCTCCGCAAACCAAACCTTCTGGGCGTTATCCTACGTCTGGGGCGCTCGAGAAAACCCCGCCGTAATTCTCCTCAATGGACAACCGTTCAGCATCACGAGGAATTTGTACAATGCTCTGATTGAGTACAGGCGTCACACGTTCGAGAATGGTACTGAAGAAAAGGCATTGATATGGGTCGATGCTATTTGCATCAATCAGAATGATAATGTTGAGAAATCTGTCCAGGTTCCCCGCATGTCGGATATCTACGGGAAATGTCAGCACGTCTTGGCTTGGCTGGGCCCCGTTGAGAATAAGGATGAAGACACGATATCCAAGTTGTCTGAGAAATTGAAGGACTTCAAGTCACCGGGTGGTGAAGATCTTGAAGAAGATGAGCGAATCAAGGCATTTATGAAGCTTGGAAAAGCAGATCAAGAAACTGCAGCAGAAGTCGAGCTGGTTCGCAAAGCGCTGAAAAGCATCGGTCATCGTCCTTGGTTCCGACGCATCTGGATCCTTCAAGAAGCCGTCCTAGCCCAAAAGTCGCCCATTTTACTCTGTGGACAGTATGAGCTTGGATATGATATCTTCTTCAAAACTTGGGTTCTAATGCTGAATCCCTCTGAGGATGGGCAACTTCTTTACTCGTTCATGGCGAAGAATCCTGTCAGGTTCAAAGCAATTGAGGTCACGTACAAAAAGATATTGCGAGAAAGAGGTGCAAACGGCCAAGGTGAAATTAGCCAGAAAAAACAGTCCGCACTTGACATCTTCAAGCTACTGAGCGAAGCGACTGAACTCGAAGCTACCGTTGCACACGACCGTCTGTACGCCCTGATTGGCCTCTTGGCTTGCGATGCTCTACCAAAGGCTATACAGCCCGACTATACCAAGCCTCTAGAGAACTTGTGCCACGACCTCACTGTCTTTATCCTCAAGCAAACGAACGACATCCGAGCTTTGAACTTGGGTACAGTGGGCAGTTTCACGGGTGTGCCTTCTTGGACTCCAGATATTCGCAATAGTTGGACGGCAAGGTCTAATCTTGGGAACAATCTTGGCGGACATTTTCACTTATCACCAGATGGATATACTCTTACACTGCCGGCTATTATCCTTGGTCAGTGTGTTTCTGTCAGCAGCACCGTCAAGCCGGACCCCGAAACTGGTATCATGCCGCCTTCAGCCTTTTTAAAATATGATCAGGACATCATCAGCCCTGTCGCAGCGATAAGACAGGTGACGCGCATGGAGGTTATGATTGAGTGGCTCAAACACCATTTTGCAGACATATATACTGAGGAGCGGTTAGTCCAGGATCCCTCTATCTTGCAGAGGATTATGCTTGCGTATACATGCATGGTGCACGACCAACCGATTTCAGCGCTTGGTACAAGATATGGCAGTAAGCAACAACTTCATGGGGCATTTGGAATGGTTACAGATCCTATTATTCAACATAACCTCATTGGGTGCAGTAGTTTTGTTCTGCAGGATGGAACAGGAGGGAGTCTTCTTCACGACGGGAGTGTTGCGGCTGTTGGAGATGCGATCTGTGTGTTTCAAGGTCTTTCCGTCCCGCTTTTAATAAGATCGGATCATGGGAATAATTGCAGGGTCATTGGACAGGTTTCGAAGTGGGAGAACACTGGATCGAGTTTACCTGCAGAGGTCCTTGAGAGCTATCGGTGCTCATTCGAGGGATATCATCTGGGCAAGCAGACGGAGCATGCTGTTAGAATGATGCATTTACATTAGAAGGTGGAAGCGAAAATCTGCCACCTATTCAAATTCTTTATGAAGAATTGTCCTCAAGGCTTAGGCTGCTAGAATAGAATAGCCTCAGTGCTAGTCTTAAGCTGACATAAAATGACTAAATTATTTCGTCCCTTCTGCTCTTGGGGATAATTCTTCTGATGCCCTGAGGGCAGAGAGCATGAACTTCGTATTTGATATTTCACTGATTCTATACTCCGCTATGTTTTTTAAACTTTCTAGATAATACCTTATTCTCAAAAAGGTAGTCGAGAGCCTATGCGATAAGCGCTCCTCTCTTTTTACCATCAATATACAGGTTTATGCCCCGATGTAGTCAAGTATCTAGCAAGCAGGTAGAGAACTCTGGCCCTTGCAGTTGGCAGTGGTGCTAACCTCTTCACTCTTACCGTCACCCTTCTTGACACCCTTGAACTCCTGGCAGACCTTCTTGACGCCACTTCCGCAGGTACCGGAGATATTGGCAGTATCGCCGTAGTTGGAGTTAATACCAACAAGGTTAGAAACACCCCTGGCTTTGACGTTCTGAACAATGACGTTTCGAGGGCCACCGTTGTTGGTGCAGTCGCCACATCCTCGGTAGAGCTTGCCAGCGTTGACGACAGTAAAGCCCTTGATAGTAACAGTGCCCTTGCCATTGTGCTGGATGACCTTGTCCTTAGCCTCCTGAGCACCACCACCCTCGATCAGGGCATCACCGTTGCCAAGGATGGAAATAGCATCTGAGATATCAATCAGTTATGGAACGACAGTGGAACGTCAATAGCAAGCTTACCTTCGCATACATCTCGGAACCAAACGTTCTTGAGAGTACATTTTCCTTTACAGTGAACACCTTCAAGTTGGTTCACTCCAATGATGACGTTGCTGAGAGTAGCACCGTCGTTGAGAATGAAAACGGCACCTTCACTGCCGAGGTCCTCATCAGTGTCGCAAGGGCGGTTAAGCTCGAACTCCTGGTTCTTGAAGTCATTGTTGGCACCGGACAGAGTTCTAGGTCCTTTGAGGACTTGAATAGCACCGTTTCGGGCGGGAATGTTGAGGGTTTGGCCGAAGGCGGCGGTGGCGAAAGCCAGAGGAGCGAGAGCCTGAGTGAAATGCATTTTTAGAATGGTTTGAAAGTTTCGTAGTAGGGAGTTGTAGTGTTGGCCGGAGTGATTGACTGAATGGTTGAGTGACTGAGGATGACTTTTTTTTTTTTTTTTT